CATCATCATCATACCTCCATTACAACTGCCAAGGCGTGCATGATGCATACAGATGCTATACCACTAGCAGACTTTTTCTGCTACAGCTTGGCTTGCCTGAACTACCATCCCTTTTATATCTTAGTTCCAAAAAAACCATTTTGGTGATGGAATTAATAATGGAATTAATTATGGAATGAACGATGAGAATTAAGAGAATCAAGGTGATAGATGACAGCTTAATAGGTTTGCAGCACCCTTGGAAGACAACCACAGGCTTGTGTTTAATTTTTCCCTTTTGATGTTCCTTGGAAAGCCTTCAATCGCTTGGAGCCCCTGTTAATGAGAGCGTCATCCAGCGTTTTCCCTTCCAAACACAACGCATCAATGCCAGTACGTAGCTCAACATTCTTCCTCTTCTCGGGGTTCCAGTGTCTAATTGACGCATTTACGGCGGGGGTATGGACGAGCGGGAGAAGATCACATCAACTACTCCGTAGTATGGTTGGGAATCCATAAATTATTGAATAAACAACAGGCTCGCTCCACTAGGATAGATGCATACCAACTATACATCATTTGAGGCCCTCGAAGAGGTAGTTCCTTGTCTTAAATGCCCCAGTGATCTACGCACGGAAAGGATTTTACCTAAATCATGCCGGAGACCATCCGGGTGGGTCGAACTTGCATTGTGCGCGAGTGCATCTGGCTAACACCCATGTACTCTTGGATACACAACGTACGTAGTTAATTAGATCTATACTCCGTACTGAAGGCTCGGGTGAAATGATTACCGACGATCGATCCGTGGTGGACGCATAAGTGAACAATCTGCGGGCCGTACCACGGTGAGACATGGAATCTCGGCCTTGCGATGATCTACAATCGTGCTGAGAGTCTTGTATGTAAATCTTAACTCATCGGAGCATATTACCTTACCAAGGGCTCAGCCTCGAGAAAGTACCCACTTGGCACCCATCTGTGCAGTGCTATTGGTGGCAACAAATATGCAACATGCCGGCTGAGGAACACTCTTCAAATCGTGCATTTCAGCAGAAAGACATGATGATAAGTGTGCAAAGATTAGTGAGAGGTGAGCACTAAATCGGACAGTTAAGGGTTTCTTAGGGTTAGGCATTATCTGACGACGATGCAGTGAAACTTCTCCCGCTGTCAGCGGAGATTTCGGTTTAATGAGGAGTATGGGTGGAATGTATGATCTGATAGAACAGGAGCCGTTTCAAAAACACTCTTTGATTTGTTTCGCTCCTAAAATCAAGTTATCCTCCGGAGGCAAGGTCAGCGCTGCCGATATACTTAGCTAGCGATCACACAGTCAGTCATCACGGTGTATCGGGGGACTCGACTCTACGGCCATTATCCCAGTTCGCTCGGTGTTAACATTCCAAAGCTATTAGCAAGGGTGGGAAAGGAAGCCTATAAATGTAGCGACCTCTTGCAGAGATGAAGGGATTAGACGCTTCCACATTTTGCAAAATTTCCCACTCCAATACCTGCTGGACAGATCTTCCATCCGCACATTCGACACGGTATACATCAAACATGGTTTGGTCAATGACATGTCGCGTGCTAGCAATGCTATCAGTCAGCTCGATAGCCATTGCATCTCCTGCCCAACTGGCTCGCCGTGGTAAGTTTCACGTACAACAAAGTGCCATGTCCAATCTAACGATGTAGATGTACCAGCAATCTCAAGCGAGCTCCTAGAGAGATTCACCCTGTTTTCCCAATTCGCCAGCCTATCAGCCTGTGACCAAAACATCAACCACACGGGTCAAAGTCTGACTTGCGACTACGGCACCTGTGAACTCGTAGAAGCTGACAACACGACGGTGATCAACACATTCCACAGCAATCACGGCCCGACTGGCTACATCGCGCTAGACCACACACAGCAACTGATCGTCCTAACATTTCGCGGAACGGTATCGGAGAGCGACGGCAACACAGATCTCGATATCGTTCTCACCCCAATTGACGACGTGTGCACCGGGTGTAAAGCCCATCTTGGATTCTGGGTTTATTGGAGCGATGTCGCAAGTCAGGCGTCGATCCAGCTTCGCAATGCAACCACCGCGTATCCGGGCTATAAGCTAAATGTTGTAGGACACAGCCTCGGGGGTGGCATTGCGGCGCTAGCGGGGACAGTTCTTCGAACACAGGGGTTCATTTTGGACATTGTGAGTAAAGCTACACCCACCAGTTAATGTACGAGCTAACGTATCAAAATCCTCAGTGGACATTCGGAGGCCCGAAACCAGGAAACATGAAGCTGGCCGAGTTCATCACTAACCAACAATTGCCAAACAGCATCTACAGAGCCACGCATGCTACAGACCCCATCCCGAAAGTGCCGCTCAATCTGCCGTTCTTGGATTGGAGCCAGCCTTCTCCTGAATACTGGATCACTCAGAAGACTGGGGTCCAGGTCACCCCGGATGGGGTGGAGTACATTGAAGGGATCAATAGCAAGGCGGGGAATGCTGGTTCAGATCGGGATTTGCGGTGGCCGAATCCGAATCATGGTTGGTATTTTGGGAATTTGAGCAGATGTGCGAGTCCATCGGATGCATCATCATGATTAGCATTCGCGGATAAGGGTGAGGCCGTGCCAGGAATCTTGCTGCTATTGACCTCGCTAGCAGCATGCACGGGCTTCAAGGGAAATTGATGGATATTGCACAGCTGAAAAATAGGAATGAGCATATTGTAGAGCATGGCCGGGCCTCCTGATACGCCATACTTACACCGAACCAGACAACCTCAAATCAGAGTTTGAGCGGTGTTGTATCATCAACATGCATCAATCACGACATCTTAGGGCGCAGGCGCAGATATGGCCCTTGCACAAATTCCAGTCCGGTGTCCATATCACCACGCAGAGCAAATTTCAAGTCCTCCCAATAATGATCACGCGGCTGCCACGGACCACGGTCAGCCGTTTTGGGCAACACACGTTCAGCAAGTGACACATAGGTTGACGTGAGGTTCAAAAGGGGACGATCTTCAAGCGTAGCAGCCTCCTGTTCCTTCAAGCGGGGAATAGCTGCGACAAACTTCCGCGACTCCAGTTCCTTGAGCAAGCGGCAGACAAACTGAGCCGTAGCGTCCGAACCAAGGCTCCACGATGCATTAGTATACCCAATAACGAAAGCCGCATTGGGCAGATGCTGGAGCATGATTCCATTCCATAGATACTTCTCACCCACATCGATCTTCTTCCCGTCCACAGACAGCGCTGAGCCACCTGCAATCTGCAATCGCAGGCCAGTAGCAGCAATGATAATATCTGCCTCGAGCTGCTCCTCCGAATTTAAGAGAATTCCATTCTTTGTAACCTTGCGAATAGTATCCGTCTTGACATCCGCCTTACCCTGCCGGAGACTGCGGAACAGATCCCCGTCGGGACAAACACACAACCGCTGTTCCCAGGGATTGTATTTAGGCTTGAAATGCAGGTCGTATGGGATGTGGCTGGGCAGTTGCTTGCACACATTCAACTTGAGCAGCCATCGCGCGAAATTCGGGAAGCGCTGGCAGAAAAGGAAGAAGATTCGTGTGGTGTAGATAGAATTCACACGCTGCGACTTGCGATAAAAGGCATTGGGGAGGACGTAGGAGAGCCAGCGGCGACTTGAGCGGTTTGGGACGGAAAGGATGTAGGTTGGGCTGCGCTGGAGCATTGTGACACGGGCGGCATGGTCGGCGAGATTGGGGAGGAGAGTGATGGCGGTCGCACCAGAACCGATGATCACGATCTTCTTGTCCTGGAACTGGAAGTCCTCGGTCCAGAATTGCGGGTGAACGACCTGGCCCTGGAAGGCATCCAGGCCAGGGATGTCGGCTTTCAGGGGATCCTGCTAGTTGTAGTAACCCGTGCCGAAGATCACGTAGCGGGCGGTGTAGGTGTGTTGGGAGTTCTTGTAGTCGACGGCGAGCGACCAGGTGTTTTCATCGGAGGACCAGTCTGCGGATAATAGATGGTGGCTGTAGAGGATATGTTTGTCGATACCGTATTTAGTCGCTGTGTCGCGTATGTATTCCTTGATGGCAGAGCCCTCGGCGATGGGGTTTTCGCGGGACCAGGGGTTGAATTGGAAGCCGAAGGTGGAAAGGTCAGAGTCGGAACGGATACCAGGATACTTGAAGAGATCCCAGGTGCCACCTAGATCGGTGCGAGCTTCCAGGATGGTGTAGCTGTAATCGGGGAGTTGGTCTTGGACGCGATAGGCGGCATTGATGCCCGAGATACCTCCACCGACGATGATGACATCATAGTGTTTAATGTCTGTCTCTTCATTGATTTCTTTCACGATGAAGGGAAATCGATCAATAGAGTAATTCCCAGTGAACAGTGAGAAACGTCGAGGTTATTGAAAAAGCAAAGTTCACCTACTTCGGTCCTCTTGTGGTTGGCCAAGTCGATATGGGGTAAACAGCACGTCGAACCTTCAACTTCTGCACGGGGAGGTGGAGATGCAGAAGATTGGGATTGGTACGAGTATCTGTGTAGGATGTCTTGATTCAAAAAAAAAAAAAGTCGTACATCAAACTGGCCTTGGGAGTTATACAGATCGTTTTCCGACGGCTCCGGTGGGAGGAGCATGAGATCTATAGAGAGATAGATATAAACCTACAACGGACAGCTCTATAGCCATGTATCTAGAGGTACAGGGATCCATAGAGCCCGACCTAGATATCGAGATTATAGAACTCCGTAGATGGAAACCTGAAGATATCGCTCATCCTTAAATGACCGAGGAATTTCCCCAACCTCGGCACCTTCCTAAACGGGACAAATTTGCGAAGGATTGACACAGCCCACGTTCACCAACGGACGGCCTCCTGAACAGGGGTCCAAAGTCCAATCATGTCTTTCACTACATCCACCAAAATGAACCTCTCCCTAGCAGAGAAACTGGACTTCTTTCCAGCTGTGGCATCTATAGTGTTTGCCTACATCTATGCCTTCCTGACTGGCCTTTGGCGCACTGAACGCCAAGCCAAGTCTTTGTCCCTGCATTTAGGATATGCACTATTTCGTCAAACGAGCTCACGGCTGACTACGAGTCAGATGCAGTACATTCTACCCCCATCTCAAGAGATCTATGAACAACACTCCAAGAAGAACGGCAGATTGCCCGAGTCCGTGGAATTGGGTGATGGGGCGTTGGGCCACTGGGTAGGTGATCGAAATGCCGACAATATAATCGTCTGGTTCCATGGTATGTACGCAACCGACAACAAGAACGAGAGACCAGGCAACTCATAATCATTCAGGGGGTGGTTTCGGCCTCCCCGCGAACATTAGCTATTTCAACTTTTACACGCAGCTCCTGCGGGACCTCACGGCATCGGGCAAAAGCGTGGCTGTCTTCAGCCTGACCTACACCTTGGCACCAATCGCAGTCTATCCGACTCAACTCCGACAGGCCGTGAATTGTCTCCGATATATCGTCTCACAGCCAAACCGTAACCCGTCCACGGTTTTCCTAGGCGGTGACTCTGCAGGCGGGAATCTGGTGGGTGGAGTGCTCTCTCACCTGGCCCACTCACACCCAGAGATCGATCCCCTGCCATTGAACAGAAACCTCGGTGGCGCAGTGATGATCGGTCCGTGGACACTTCTGGAAAAAGAGTTTTTGGGCGCACAGATCTATGATGGCGGCGATATCATCACGGAGGCAGTTGCGAGACCGTGGGTGACAGCTTACATTGGTGCTGGCCAGCGGGACTATTACACTGACCTATCGACTGCGCCGGCGGATTGGTTGGCGACATTCCCGGTGAACGCGGTGTTGATTACCGCAGGCGGGAATGAGATTATGTTGCCTCTGATTCAAGACTTGGCGGCGAAGTTTAAGGAGGGCGTTGAGAATGTGGAGTTGTTTGTTGGACATCGTGAATGTCACGTTGCGCCGATTTATCATTTGGAGTTGGGGGATGTTACGAAGACCGAGCAGGGCAAGAAAATTGAGGTTTTCTTGGCCGAGTGGATGGTGTGATTGTGTACAGCAACGCTGTATATCCTGTGCATCCCCGGATTGAGTACCTAGTGAAGACAGGGCTGGAGTGTTAGAGATTACCAGCCTAGTAGCCATCAATGGCACCTTCTGGGGTGAAAATCACCGTCCATTCCATAACGATTTGCAGCATTGGATACAGCCTGTGTTAGTACGCCTTCCATTAGCTATTCCCTAAGTATATCAATGTGAGAGCAACCTCCCGATAGGGATCGAGGAAAGACAGTTGTGGTGTCTTCCCTTGAAACAGTTGAATAGTTCGAATATCCCCAGCGTAAACGAGCTCATCGGATGAACTATATAGGACACATGCATCTCGAAAATCTACACCCTGGACTAGAAAACACCAACGGGCAGATCCGAATCATAGCAGTACACAGAGCCGAGGGAGTGCATTGGTCACTCCAACGGGAGTGCAGATCTCCACATGTGCGACACTTTCACTTGCCACCTGGTTGGATGTGATCTCGGAGATGACTACCGACCTAACGCCCCTGTCGAACAACACGTCCTCGGTGAATCTTGGTTGCTATGTCTTCGGCCATAATTCGGGCTTTGGATCGATGTCTACTTTCAAGGTCTTCCCTCGCCCTCATGTTCTGCACCAACTAAATTGAGCTCGACTGGCACTCCACGCCAATATCTCCATCAATTCCATCACAGATCACGACGGGGGGACCGCCAGCCGGGCTAGTAATATCAATATCAGAGAGCTTAATACCCGAGCACACAGCATTGGGCGAGCAAGTCAAATCGCCGACAACTTTACCGTTCTTGCCCGACGAAGTGCCCTGGATATTCTCGAAGTGAATGTTGGTGAAGTTGACAGGGGACGGGTACCTGGCACACGTGGTAGCGTTGACGTCGAAGTAGCACTGATCCATCACAATAGGAACATCGGTGTTTTCGATTTGAATGTCTTTGTATGTGATGTTGTTGATGCGACCAAAGCCAATGTCTGGTCCAGCCCAAGCCTTGAGACGGACGCCGTTCTTGAATTCCGATGAGGATCACTCAAAGATCAATTTTAGGGAGATTATCTTACCTGACCATTCAACAGCGTCACGTTCTCAATCCAGGCATTCTCAATAATGTCCTCGACTCCGGAGTACTGTCCAATACTCCCCATGCTAACCCCGTGCGTATTGTTGCACCACAGGTTCTGCACGAAAACGTTGGTTGTGTTGGGCTTGGGCGAGAAACAGTCATCGCCGATATCGACGCGGGTATTGGTCACACTAAGACCATCCACGTTGAGGGAATCAAATCCGTCGGTGTTCTTGGGCAAAGCCTGCGAAGAGGTGATCAGATTTAATTGGTAATGTTACCAGATGCAGGGCTTACAGATGCGTTGGTGGAAAAGGCGTTGATAAAGACATCATCGAAAGAGATATCCTTGGTACGAACGAGGAAGTTGGTCCAGCAGGGGGAGTTGAGTTGGGTGATACCCTCGACAGACACACGGGTAGCGTTGTCAGTCATGAAGAGAATGGGGCGGTAAAAAGTGTTGTCCGGGTCCTGAATTATCCATTAACAGGGATCATATCCAGCCCTTTGTGGAATCATGCTCACCAGAATTTCCAGGCCTGCAAAGGCATTGTACCACTCCTGACCATTCCCATTGAGAGTTCCCTTTCCAAAAATCTTGATGTCCTGACCACCCCAGACCCAGAAAGTAATCGACTTCTGGAAAGAATAAAAGAAGTGGTTTGCTTGCCAGTAAGCAATGTCATCGGTGAACTGTTCATGTTAGAGCGGCTCAATCTCACTATCTCGGGGCCTCCGGACCTTCACTTCACCCTCCAGCTGCACTTCGATATCATCTAAGAAGCTGAGGTCAAGCTTTTTGCCAATGACATACGTCTTCCCCTTTTGCAAAAGAAGTCTGCCACCGTGATTGGCAGCCTTAATACCCCAAAGAAAATCATCGGACACATCGTCGGTGTCACTCTTCGACGACCGGATCGTCACTGTTCGACGGTCATGACGCTTGTAGTTTCCCCGAGCACCGGCCTTTTCCAGTGCTACCTTATCGTTGGCTGGGATAATTTGGGCGCCGTTGAGAATATGCTCCGTCGCAAGAGCACCAACTGTGCTGAGCAGGAGTGCACCGATAGCGAGGAACTTCATGCTAGCGCGATCAATGAAACAAATGGATGCTGCTATCACTTGATCCGTAGGACAGTCCAGCAGACAAGACTGATTTTAAAAGAATACCCCAGAATCTCGGTTACACCTTTCCCCAAATCTGCATTGTCCGGAAACGGCACGGACAGAGGAAAGGGATTTCTCCGCCTGTAAAAAAGCAATCCCATGACAGGCCAGGGGATCGGCACTGTGTTATGTCTGTGTCATGCAGCAACAGAGCGAGTCAGCGGGTGTTTGTCTATAGAATGTATAGAAGGCAAATGGAGTCGTTTCCCCGCATTTCGCTAAGATGATTAACAAGTGGGGATGTGGAGAGACTACTGGGACGGGCCTGAACAAGCTCGGATGTTGTTGGATTGTTGTCGATCGAAACTGTAGGATTCATCGCTGTGGCTGGGATTCATTTCCCCCGTCTGCGACTGATCTGGGCCTCACAGGTTGAGTTCTTCCACCAATCAGCGGAACAGATCATCGTGCAGCATGCTCATGGTGGATGTTGTGAGTTTTCCTGTTTCCTGTCGACGTTTTTTTTTTGGCGTTGGATACTGTGTTTTATGAAAATAGCTGACACCGAGTCCTGGATGGAGTTGCCCCGTGACGATGCGGCCTACTCCTCGTTAAATGGAAGACTTCGATGCGCAATTCCCTTCATATCGTTACCGTCCTCTCCGTGGTAGTCTCGGCATGTTCCTCTTCCGGTCAGTCATGGTAGACCCTTCAATGCCTCGCCACGCCACCTGGACATCCAAGACTTTATCTCGTCATCTTTGACCCAGTGCCCGGATAGTATCATGCAATTAAATTGTATTGTTCGGCCCACCTATTGTCGAAGATTACAGAGCCATCAAAGAGCACCTCTATCGATGTTACAACTTCTTGCTGGCCTGCACCAGCGCATAAAGACAGCTGATGTTCCCGGACCACCAAGCCGCTGAGCGCAAAAAGCTCCAAGAGCGAGTTTCGATGTTGCAATAGAACAGGTGGTACGCAACACGGGACAATAAGTACCAAATACCGACAGTATTAATAGACTCATTGGGGAGACCAGCGTACAAGGAGGTGAGGACTAGATTACAAAGTCAGCATAGTACATCAATTTCATGAGACGCAAGTTCCCCAGAAAATCTCGAAAATGGAAAGAGGCTTCCCACATACTCGCCGCCACAAACAAAGTAAACCCCTCCTGCGCATTGGCATGCGCCGAGGCCTGTCGCTTGAGCTTGTCAAGGGTTTGGCGGGTAATCTTTCCCGACTGTACGGCTGCCTCGCCGTACGTGGTCAAGTCCTCCCGCGGATTGACATTGTGATCGAGGCCCAGCCGTATCTTGGTGCCGCGAGGACTGGTCAAAATGTACGCGAAAACCCAGTTCGCTACCAGCAAGGCTGATGCGTGGTTCGCGGGTACTTGGTCCGGGGCGGCGCGAAGACCGAGAGTTGTTAAAAGGGCACTGTTCGTGTTAATGTGGTGTGCCTTTTTGTTTTCCTTTGGAGGTGTATGTGAGCACTCACGACATTCTTGCTGAGAGGTTTGTGGATTTTCAGCTGTCACCCCCTGGCGAATCCTTTTTTTTTATAAGATGGGGTTCTCAGAAGGGCCGAGGCAGGAGACCATCCTCAGCCGATCTCGCACGTCCGGGCTTGTCAAGGGTCCACTCGGACAATTCCACATTCGTTTTCCACTTTTTAACTGTTCGTTAGTGCGCCAGCTGCATCCACAGGTTCTCGGTCCGATTTTGGACCCTAGTTTCGCTTGGATTTACCTACAGCTTCACCCAGGTAAGGGGCGATTTCAATTGGATACGCTGGGAACGCTCCATCGGTGAGAGGATGATGGTACGTGTTGCGTCTCCGCGTCAGTGCCTGATCCACGACTGTTTCACTGTTAGCGTGATGATTTGAGACATGGCGCTTTGGCAGGTCTGGCTTTCCGTACGAGTCACCGGCTTATACAGGGTGATACAACGCTCCAAGTCACCATCAAACGATCTATTGGTCACATGAACTATGGATTTGTGGATTTGTGTATTTGTGTGTATTGCAAAGATACCGTCTGGTAGTTCACGTGGTGCCGCTTAGTCAGGACTTGGGCATGCCGGGCCACTGTGCGAGAGGGACCTTAGCCCCGTTGTGGAGAGCTTCGTTCCAATTTGATCGTCACTTCTTCCCTTTTCATGCACTTTTACAATTTGGATAACGGGGAGCTCAACGGTGCGAGCTGGCCATGGCAATGTATGGACCCAAAGGGGCATCCCCGTCTGGGGTTATGCATGTGTGAAACGAGTTTATATGTAGAAATTTGAGTTGCATTACGGAGGACGGAGTACATACTCTGCGTAGATTCTCCGCACCTCCCACTAAACGACCCCACCTTGGCTCTCTGGAATGTCCTCGGTTATAGTCACCAACAACATGTCGGAGGATCCATACTATGATCTCGGTTCTTATCAGCTGCTCGTGAAGACAACCTCTCCAGAATGTCAGGGCTGGTTTGATCGTGGATATCGTTGGGCCCAGGGCTTCAATCATGGAGAAGCCGCCCGTTGCTTCAGGAAGGCTATTGCACATGACGAAACTTGTGCCATGGCATATTGGGGCCTGTCTTATGCCTTAGGACCTAACTACAACAAGGCTTGGATTCGATTTGATCCCTCCGATTTGCTTGAAACGACCACAGAAGCCCGGCACCTTCTTCAAAAAGCCCAAACGTACACTACCCAAGCAACAATGATGGAATGTGCTCTAATAGAGGCACTGAAGGCTCGATTTCCACGATCGGACGTGTTCCCCGACGATCTTGGCTCTCTCGATCGAAGCTATGGAGAGGCTATGCGTCCGGTGTATGAGAAGTTTCCAGATGACTTGGATATCGCCGCTCTCACGGCAGAAGCCTTCATGTGTTTCACTCCGCGTGGTCTGTGGAACCTCGATACCGGAAAGCCTACTGGTCAGCATACTGTCCTGGCTCGGGAGATAATTGAGAGGGCGATGACTCTTCCCGGGGGCGCAGAACATCCCGCGTTGTGCCATCTCTATATTCATTTGATGGAAATGTCCCCTTACCCCGAAATCGCATTGCCAGCAGCCGATCGGCTACGCTTTCTAATGCCCGATGCATCCCATCTGCTGCACATGCCGACACACATCGATCTCGCTTGTGGTGATTATCGCAGAGCCATGGACTCAAATCACCAAGCTATGCTTGTCGATGATAAATTCTTTGCTCGCACAGAAGGAACCACTCTCTACAAGTTATATCGGGCGCACAACATCTACGTAAAATTGTATAGTGCCTTGATGTCTGGCCGCTTCAAAGAAGCGCTCTCTGCGGCAAATCGTCTGCCTGGAATACTCACTACCGAGGTGCTTTCTATCTCTAGCCCTCCGATGGCAGATTGGGTCGAAAGCTTTCTCGGTGGAATTGTCCATGTTTTAGTCCGCTTTGGTCGCTGGGAGGAAATTCTTCAGAATCTTCCGATACCAGAGGACAAGCAGTTGTATTGTTCCACAACAAGTATGATCTATTACGGCCGAGGTATCGCACTTGCGGTACTTGGTCGCGTTGATGAAGCAAAGCTCGCACAAGCCAAGTTTGAAACGGCGAGAGCCCTTGTGCCGAGAACCCGTCTTAGTAGCCTGCCGGCTCGGGAGGTCGATGTACTGAAAGTTGCATCGGCTATGCTACAAGGCGAAATCCAGTATCGAGAGAGAAAGTTCGACGCTGCTTTTCGCAGCTTGCGAGAGGCTGTTGCTCTGGAAGATCACCTCCCTTACTCGGACCCCCCGCCATGGATGCAGCCAACCCGACATGCGTTGGGTGCCTTGCTCTTGGAACAAGGCCATCTCGAGGAAGCGGAATTAGTATACCGAGAGGATCTTGGACTGAGCGACAGTCTACCCAGGCGCAAAGCAAGATTGAACAACGTTTGGGGACTTCATGGTCTCCATGAATGCTTGACCCAGACGGGGAAAATTGGAGAAGCCAAAGTTATCGGCACCCAGAAAGAACTCGCTTTGGCCTCTGCAGATGTTCCCATCGCTGCATCATGTTTCTGTCGTCTTTCTAATTCCGAGGGAACAGAAGGTCCCCAGCCCCAAAAATCAGAGTGCTGCGCCTGAACGATTAAGACAAAATTCGGAACTTGATACCTGGTAGTGTCTGGTGCAATTCTAGTCTATACGTTACCTCACGAGTCTGATCGTGGTTAATTTTAAGGAGGATATCTATTCAATCGAGACGACATCTATCAAAAGGCCTTTTCATAGCAGTCATCAAATCTCTAATGCATCAATTACCTCCGATGTACCTCTTTTTCACCTGGGCCAATTTCTTGTGAGCAATCTCTCTTGTGTGGAATACAATCTTGAGGATGTCTGACTAAAAAAGGTCCCGGTGGGCTGCAAAACACCGGGGAAAGCCCACCGGCCCCACAAAGCTCCCCCTCCTTATATATCACCTAGCAAGACTTCTATTCTTGATCCTTTCCAATCACAGACCAATCCCAACCCAATCTCTCTCTCTCTCTCTCCCATCATGTCTTCCGTCAAATCATTCCGCCAACTCCTCGGCATCTCCCCTTCCTCCGCCTCCACTAGTGATTCAACTCTGATCATCATCGACGCTCAAAACGAATACGCCACCGGCCTCCTCGCAGTTGAGAAAGTCGCCGATTCTCGCAAGGTTATTGCTAAGCTGCTTGACAAATATCGACAGGGCAACGGCAAGAACATTGTTCACGTCGTGCACGAAGTGCCTGCCAGTGCCCCGGTCTTCACTCCTGGCACTGCTCTCGCACAGGAATTCGAGGAGCTCACGCCGAAGCCAAACGAAAAAGTGATTAGGAAGAATTTCCCGAGCTCGTTTGCTCGGACCGATCTACATGATTACTTGCAGGGACTAGGAAAAGTAGGCCAGAAGATTGTACTGGTCGGCTACATGTCGCATGTTTGCGTTTCTACCACGGCACGTACTGGCAGTGAGCTTGGATATGATGTACTTGTTGTGCGTGACGCTATAGGCGATCGCAACATTCCTGGAGTGGATGCGGAAACTGTGGTCTCTGTGGTTCTCAGTGAGTTGGGCGATGGCTTTGCCACCATTGTGTCTGAAAGTGAAATCCACTAGAGATCAGTCGGTTGCATCTAAAGCTTACATAACTCAATCATCCGGTATACATTGAACCGATTCCATCATTCTGTAGTGAGTTAGCTAGTCTAGTTCAAATGAGACAGAGTATCCCGGTGAGAAGTGCAAGGTATGAGTTGATTCGCCGGAGAAGCTGCCGTGGGTGTAGGAGACAGTAGAATATGTCTATCATCGTGATCGAAAGAGTATAATATAGGCTATGGTGCGTGGTATTTAGTTCTGAAATCATTGACCTTTTATCTCCTTCGGCTTTCCCCCCTCATCCGTTTTGGTGCTGGGGTCTCCAGCAATGGAGTTTTTGAAACAGCTGTGCAGGGACCAAAAGCGGGTTTTTGAACAGAATGTAGGACACAGCATGCCTTTCTTCGGGTCACGATTTCTCCATTGACTCAGTTCCACCAATTCTCGTCGTTTTCCAATAACATTCCCGTTTTCGAAATCCAATCGGTACTGCTCGGGTCATCCGATCTATCTCTTCTAGAATGGATCAAAAGACGTCGAGCCAACTCTGGGTTCGAGCTAGCATTCCAGAGATTCCTCTCGTCCGGCATGGGGAACTGTAGAGCGGAGAGGTGCAAAACTTGACTCTCAGTCTCGTCAGACTCTCCTAAACAATCCCCCCTCGTACAAAGCCGAGAGACTTTGTACAAGGCCAAGCCAAACCTTTTGATTTCTTCAACGCCCACCCACATGCAGGTAATGGACTCAACATTTCGGTATCTCGTAAGCATGTTCGGATAGTAGAAGATGTTGTTGCGCAGACAGGTTGCGACCAGAGCAGAGAGGATTTGACGGTCGGACAGATTCAAACCTAGGCCGAGGTTAAGTTCGAGACTAACCGGGGTCGATAGTAGTGAAAAGATAATACAGAGAAGGATACCCTGGTAGGTTGCAATCGGCCATCGTGAGATCGGGCTGTCTAATCCTTCATCATCGTGTTCTCCTTCCACTGGCGGTCGTGCCCAATTGTCCTAAAGATCGGTGGTCAATCAAGTGGAAAAATGGTGCAACTGAATGACCTACCTGCTGTGCGGAAATCGCCATTTTTAGTTTGGAATGTAAACTCCGAGCACCTTCTTGCGCCGCCGGGCTCCCACTGACCCAGAGACCGATCATTATCACTGCGTGAAGCAGCAGTTGAGGCTCGTCAGCAATGCTGAAGGTATGTCGATGCAGAATTGGCCAGTGTTGATGGAAATGTGTGAAGTAAAGATGTACGTAATGGTTCACCTGGGCGACATTGCCGATTGAGGGTTTGATCTGATCTGAAGCATTCATGCCATTATCTCCACTACCATGCTCCCAACGTTCTTCTTCTAGATCCTCTTGAGCAGGCTCGAGATGGACCGGTTCATGAAAGATACACAAGTGTCCCTTTGAGGAACACTTTGTACATGGCGAGCCTCCCTGGCACCGTGCTTTGGCCGTGCGACATCTTGTGCAGGCCTGTGTGGCACGAGCGAGAGACCTCCCGGGGTCTTCATGATCGCGGCGAAAATGACGTCGAAGACTATCACTGCATAGCCATTTATCATCAAATGAAACACCTGACGAGACTTCACAGATCACTATACCTGCGGGAAAAGACACGGCCACAGGTTGAACAGGTGCGAAGATGACTTCCACGGTGTTGCGCTTCGTGACGTCGGAGATGTTCTTTACGACGGTAGGTCGAGGTACAGCCCGGGATTTGACATTTAAACCGGAACATAGTCTATCATTAGAGAGTTGAAGTAAGAAACCGTGGGAACATGGACAAGTATGTTCAAGCCCACCGGATGTAGCCCACCGGATCAGAGTGGACCAGAGTGACCAATCATTTCAAAGAGTGCCTAATGTATTAGGTCATCCACAGTTCGTAACGTGACGTAACGTAATTCCCAAGCGAGCTGGCCACCCCAACCAAAACACGTCCATGAATTAGATCTTAGTTAGTTCAACCACCCACCATGCCACCAATTCGTACTCAATCCTCTCGAAATTCAATAGAGTAGGAGGGTAGGATCTGACTAGCTATCCAGGCTTTTAAGAATCAAGAAATCTCTTCAATTCGTGAAGTGGCGCGCCGTTTTAACGTCCCAAGATCTACCCTTTCTACCCGCCTGAATGGTATACAACACCGCGCGATTTCTCGCGCCAACTCTCACAAATTGACCGGTTCTGAAGAGGAATCTCTTCAGAAATGGATCCTCCCTATGGATTCTCGTGGATCAGCCCCCCAGCCCTCTATGGTACGAGAAATGGCAGATCATCTTCTTCTTAAGCGTGGAACTACCCCGGTTCTTTCGGTCGGCGAGAAATGGGTATATAACTTCGTGAAACGGCATCCTCTCCTCTCCCCCCGATTCTCGAAACGATATAACTACGAGCGTGCGAAATGCGAAGATCCTAAAATCATTGGGGAGTGGTTTGATTTGGTTCAAAAGACGATCCTTCAATTTGGAATTGACCCCGACGATATTTATAACTTTGATGAGACTGGTTTCGCTATGGGATTGACTGTAACTGCGAAGGTTATTACGAGGAGTGAATACTACCGTCGGAGGCCGGTTTTACAACCTGGAAATCGTGAATGGGTGACGGTGGTTGAATGTACGAATGCTTCTAGGTAGGTGCTTCCTCCGTGTATAATTTTTTAAAGGCAAAGTCTTTATTAATTCATGGTTTGGCGGCCTCCCGGAGGATTGGCGCTTCGAAGTTAGTCCTAACGGCTGGACTTCTGATGAAATTGGACTTCGCTGGCTAGAGAAGGTCTTTCTTCCTAGTACTTCGTGTACGAAGGGGGGTATACCGGCTTTTGATACTTGACGGCCACGGAAGTCAGTTAACACCGAAATTTGACGAAATTTGCGAGCAAAATAAGGTGATACCAATCTGTATGCCAGCGCATTTATCTCATCTTTTACAACCTTTGGATATTGGTTGTTTTGCGGTGTTAAAACGTGCGTACGGTCGGATGGTTGAAACTAAGATGCGGAACGGGATCAACCATATTGACAAACTTGACTTCCTCGAAGCATACCCTCTCGCACGAATTGAGGCTTTTAAATCGGAGACTATTAAAAATAGCTTCGGAGCAGCTGGTTTAGTACCATTTGCACCCGACCGAGTGATTTCAAAGCTTGATATTCGGCTTCGAACCCCAACCCCCTTTACGGAGAAAGAACTACGTCGTCAAGCTTCATCAATCAAAGCTTTACTTCGTACAAGATCTCGAAGCCCGCCTAGCCCGTCAGATCGTGCATTAAACCAGCTTGTAAAAGGCTTCCGTCTTACAATGCAAGGTGCCATCTTACTCGCCAAAGAAAACAAGGATTTACGCGCCGCCAACGAGAAGCAGAAGCAGAAGCGTACTAGATCCCGGAGGCAGATACCTACTGAAGAAGGCCTCTCAGTTCTTGAAGCTTCTCAATTGATTACCGAGCCGGTTGAAGCGGTTGAAGCGCCTCCCCCCCGGCCGGCAGAGAAGGCCTTCGCCACCTTTACAGCCCCGAACGAGAGCATTACCAACATGCGGGCTATGTAAAAATCAGGGTCATAAAAGAAATGCATGTCCAGAGAATAGATCATTTTAGTGTATTTAATTTAATGGAGTTTTGGTTGAGTTGTATGTATTTGAAATTAGTAGCTTGGGTAGGGTGGCCAGCTCGCTTACCGAATACGTTATAGAGATGGTGTGAACCAGAGTGGCGGGTGCGCGGCGGCCGTGGGGACAGTTGGCGAAGCATAGGTTACCGGAAGGCACAATGACAGAGTTAACAGTTGGTTGACATGGCGAGTGCAGTAGGGGGGATGCGGGTTGAAGGGTTGGATAGCGGAATTTGAGAATGTTGGCAGCTTTCGACATATCTTCCATGGACCAGAGAGTCCACCCTTTTGAGGCCCAGGAGGGCCAACTACTGTGGATTTAAAGGTGATGTAATTACTGTAAAATACAACACGTGCATGTAATCAGGGAGTGCGTGCATTTTACATACAAAGGTTGTATATTACAGCATCTGACAGTACATTCCATGAATGTCGAAAATATCTCCATGATCTGATCTGATCTTCAACATGTCTGTCTGATTGATGGACAACCAAGATTCACATCTCGTGTGGTCAATCATCGGCTCTACACCTGGGTTCAGTTATTCCGTTCATGGTCGTCTCGTGTGGGGAAATTGCAATCTGGACCTACCATCCCAAGGTCAAAGAAATTTTACAAAAGTAGTCTGGGTGGCCAGATAACTTCCGAGGGGCTGAAATGGAAAGGAGCTTCAAAGACTATCTGGGAGTGAATACTCCGTGATGATCCAGATGATCGTACTACGAATGATGAGTCTACGGTAGCAGAAGTTGGCATAGATGATTCCACGGGCTGGTTGGAACGTCATGAACCAGGCCCGAAAGAATGGTCGACTAGCTGTATGTTACTTGGACACTCTGAGGCGAAGGGGGAGGTTGCTTCTAGCACCACCTAGTTTCTAAATCGGTCCAAGGTATCTAGAAATCAAATTGCCCCAGAGTTGCTCCATTTACAAATCCCGTTATCCTCCACTCAGACTACATTGCTAGTAGATACAGTCTGCTCCAGTTCGCGCGACGAACCTTTCGTTGATGCCCGGTCCAGTGAGCCTCTGGAGCTAGTTTCCCCACTGCGTGGCATCATCATGTCTGTTCCCCGACAGTCCTGATCCTCGGGATCAGAATAGGGGCGCTGGTTCGAAGCACAGGAAAACCGGTTATTGAGGATGACCGAGTGGTCACGGCGATTCACCACGCTGTTATTAGGCACAGGCTCATTTTCTGACAGAAGAATGATCTCTACCGGGTGATCTCGAACAGTAGGGACTTGGAGCCACTTGTAGAAGCAGTTCAGGACCGGTATAGACAGCCCGTGGATCACGATGGAGAAGAAGACAAGCCAATAAACCACTAAAAATAAAAGAAAAAAAAGTCAAAGGTCAGGGTCGATTCGTCCTCAGTAGACGGACGACATACCAGGTATCATGGCAGCAGTCAAGTTGTTGATCTCCGGATCACTCTCTCCAGGATTCGGTAGCAATCGTCGCGCATACTCGACATATGAGATAGCACCAACTCCTAAAGCTAGTAAGCACTGCAATTAACCACCCAAAAAATCTTCAGTTCGTCTTGAGCACATACCAATTGGGGCAAAGTATCCCATGAACAAGGCCTCTTTCCAATTTTCGCAGACCTTGGGCATGAATCGATATCCCATGAGGATCGCCGGGATGCGACGGAAGATCAAAATCAGAAATCCGAGCCCCACCAGCCGAGCAATCGTGATGCCATTCCGAGTAGGCAGGTGAAGTTGGTCCCATGGCATGATTGCACCGAGGAAGATGAAGGTTCCACTGTTCAAGAGATTTTCGATCGTGGAATTGAAGGAGTCATGTCTCTTTTCGACTTCGAAGTGGTAAGACCCATCCCAGTTCAATGCACAGCCGGCAACAAAGCAGGCGAGAGTCTCGTCGGAGCCAAAGCAGCCGCAGGTACCGACGATAAACAACTGCAAGGTATCTCAGCATATGCTGCACTGTGTCTGATCAGAATAACTGATAACTTACACCCATCGCAACAGGATATGAGAAGAAGCTCTCCTTGTCAATCCAAAGCCTGCATATCTCATCAGCCCGTAACCTCAATTGAGACGGCAGATCTCTACCCACCTTGTTGAGGCCCCGTTCAAGGCTTTCCGGCTCAGGAACCCAATTAATACACCATACCCAGCACCCATGACCAGCATATATAGCACTCCCTCGACAGCCCAGTGTGCCAGAGCTCGACCAACGTCTCCACCAAATCGACCTGTACTAGGCTCACCGATCCAATCTCGAGTCGGTTTTCCAAAACTGGGTTTTACGATCTCCCTACTCGGAGCATCGGCATAACGAAGAATGGCAATAGAGAGAAGCAAGAATGGAAACCCGAGGCCATCATTCCCACCTGCCTCGGCTGAGATAAACTCTCGAAGATGCCGTCGGACATATTGATCTGCAAAAGGGCCCTTGGCGATAGCCTGTGAAAGAACCGGGTCAATGCATATGACACACGATCCGATAATGAGGGAAGTCAACTGCGTGAAGGTTAGCCCCGTTGAGGGGGGGGGGGAAGTTGTCATATCTGAGAAGGCACAGCGTACGAATGATAACTTCGGGATCATTAATTTGATACACGCCGACGTCATGAGCCACTGGATCGTCATCAATGGCAGCAAACAGATGGTGAGTTCGACCAAATGAAGCCGAATGTATCGTTTCGGTAGCTCATAACCGACTTTGACCATTGCGATGCCAATCACCATTCGCGTTAGTCCCTGGAATAATTAGCTTGATGCTTTCCGGTTGCAGCGAAGAGTCTTACATAGGTGATATCCCCAATCTCAGCCTCGCCGTCGGTGTCTCCTCCCCACTGACTGACGTTGATCAACTTCGCACCGAAGGGCCCTATAACAGCCCCGACTATGAAAGCCGGTACTGAAGATTCTCAGCGACCGGCATTCGATGGGATTGAGGGACAACCTACAAGCTTCGCCGAAATACCATCTTTGCTTGACGTTCACCGCAATCAACCCAATAAACAAGACGTATAATCCTACAACTATGAATCAGAGGAAGGTTTTAGATGTGGCACGTTCGGTCTTACCTGATAATGAAAGCACAACATTCACACTACTAATTTCCAGAATTGGGTGCAGCATCCTGGCCCCGCAAGCGACGAACTGATGTGAAGAATAGAATCTGGAATAGTGATGCAGGCTTTTGTAAATCGCGCGACTGCCGACATGATGCTGTTCTTGCAAAATGATCCCTTTTTCGTGTCTGAGGTTGCTATTCGAGGTCTCCAATCTTGCTGGCCTCCTCCGCAGCTTGCATACATGCCGGAGCAAGGGATGCTCTATGGACGCGTTCTGTCCATATAGGGAACATATAGTCATTGCTTTCGCTCGGGGACCTTTTACACTCGCCTCAATCGAACCAATCGAAGAAATGAGGTAATTTTCATTCTTCTAACCCGGTTCGAACAGAACATCGAAGATCAATCTGCGTGTCCCTTACAACATAGACCTCCATTGAAACAGGACACTGAAGTGTATACCAGACACTGGAGCCTTGATCTCGTTTTGGTTTTGTTTTTTTGCCACTACCATATCTCGCTGCCTGACATGTAAAAAGCATTTGATCAACTACAAAAGTACCTTGTGCTGCGCCACCCCCCATTTCCCCTTCGGACCGGGAGGTTGACAACTTTCTCGAGTCAGGGGCTCATTGACCACAGAAGGAAAACCGGCTTCGAAATTGTACGCCTCGTTTTTCAATATGGCAGAGGAATAAATCTCCTGTTCAGTGCATGGGGCACCGGGTGTGTGCAGAGCATCTATGACCATCGACCCTGCATTCCAGGACCAACATGCTCCAGTTGTCGAAGGGATGATAAGCAAGGGTCGTTTTCAAATCTAGAGGGGATCGCATTTATAACAAATAGTCCAACTGGATGTAATATCTCGCTACGCCTGAATTTTCTAGAAGGTCTTAGCTTATCCTAAGTGGAGCATCGAGGCTCCACACATTCATCAGATAGAGATAGCATCGAGGAGAGCATGAGATCAGTGTGCTGTTCATCGCGTTGTCATCTAGATACCTCGAAAGAAAAGACACGCATGTGCCCAACATGAAACAGCGTGGAAGGGTCCCCTTTTTTGGGGGGGGTTTTTTTGGTTTTTACTTAGTTTTTAAAAAAAAAATCAAAGCGCGAATCATGATGTTCTGTGTAAAATGCCTCATGGCTCTATCACGCGATGTAGATACGAGATATTGTGCCGGCAACAACTGGCCGGGGAAGGAATATAAAAAGGGCACAACAGTCTGGCTAGTTAATCAGTATTACAGTTTGAATCTACACAGTCTCATCTATTGCATTGCATCATGGGTTCGATAGAAGGATTATCCCAGCAACTTTCGGACCAGACGAGCGACTGCTCCTATGTCTATGGCACTCGGTTCGCCACCAGGGCTTTGCCATCGCATCAACTTCCAGATGGAGGGATGCCAAAGGAAGTGGCGTACCAGATGATCAAGGATGACCTGGCCCTGGATGGTCAGCCCATCTTGAAGTGAGTAGAGCTCTCTCAAGGATCCCAAAACGAGACTGACATCTTGGACCATCTAGCCTCGCCAGTTTTGTGACCACGTACATGGTATATCAACTGTTCACCTTGTGCTTGACCGGCGCTCACACTGCAGCAGGAAGAGGAAGCCCTGAAACTACTCGTCGAATCATCAAACAAGAACATCATCGACCACGAAGAGTATCCCAAATCCGTCGAGATCGAGCACCGCTGCCTGAATATCCTCGCCGACCTATTCCACTCTCCAGTCGCTAACGGAAATCCAACTGCCTTTGGCACATCATGTATTGGATCTTCCGAAGCCATCATGCTCGCAACCCTGGCCATGAAGAAGCGTTGGATCATCAACCGCAAAGCCCAGGGGAAAGACTTCTCTAATCCGAACATCATCATGAGTAGTGGTGTACAAGTCTGCTGGGAAAAGGCAGCCAAATACTTCGACATCGCCGAGAAGCTTGTCCCATGCACTGAGACGCGGTACGTGATTGACCCAATTCAAGCCGTCGACATGGTCGACGAGAACACCATTGGTATCTGTGCCATCCTCGGCACCACATACACGGGTCAGTACGAAGACGTACAAGCCATCAGTGAGATCCTCCTTGCAAAAGGTCTGGACACTCCCATCCATGTAGATGCCGCCAGCGGGGGATTCGTGGCTCCGTTCGTGAACCCGGATCTCGTGTGGGATTTCAAGTTGCCCAACGTCGTCTCGATCAATGTCTCAGGGCATAAATATGGCCTGGTAAATTCACTCACGCATCACCGCCAGCTTCGATACAGGCCCAAGATACTAATCTCCCCAGGTCTACCCCGGAATCGGCTGGGCCCTCTGGCGGTCATCGGAGTACCTCCCCGAAGACCTAGTCTTTAACATCGACTATCTAGGCGCCGAGCAACTGAACTTCACCATGAACTTCTCCAAACCAGCTTCGCACATCGTAGCCCAGTACTACCAGCTCATCCGACTCGGTCGAAGCGGGTACACCAGCATTATGAGAAACCTCACGAAGACAGCCGACTACCTCACCAGTCAGCTGCAAGAACTGGGCTTCATCATTATGAGTGAAGGGGCCGGTAAGGGTCTGCCAGTCGTGGCGTTCCGACTGAGTCCAACGCAGAATGTCATCTTCGACGAGTGGGCACTTGCACGGAAACTGCGCGAGAGGGGGTGGATCGTGCCTGCTTACACTATGGCGGCTGATTGTGAAGAGATGGGGATGATGAGGGCTGTTGTCAGGACCGATTTCAGTATGGGACGGTGTGTGAGTCTGGTGCGGGATGTGCGAGATGCCCTAGCGGATTTGGCGGGCATGGAGATTCGGAATATCCAACGGTATCAGGCGTGAGTTATACTTCTTTGGAGCTGTGACCCAGGAAGTTCTGCTAATCGGTGTTATGGCATAGATTGGTTCAGAGTTATGTTTCGATTTCGAAGAAGAAGTGGACTTCTTCTCGGATAGTCAGTCAGGAAGTGGGCAAAGAGATAGAAGGGGTTTGAGGGTTTGGATTGGCGGTTTATTTTCTGTAGAGTGAGACAGCTTGCAGTTGTTTACTGGGTTTTTTAATTTATCTCTAGATGCGTTGAAATGCTTGAGATCTGTAATTGTAGGAAGAAGCACGATAGGTCACGAAGGGAGACACTAATCATACTGATTGAAATTCTACTTTTGTCCGGAGAAGGCTGTATTCTTGCTCTGAAGATTCATTCTGACACAAGAATTATCGATCAAGTCATGAGAGTGGAGTTGGACATGGAGAGGAGCAGAGACAGTATCACAGGGCAGCACGCACTGTCATTATAAATTAGGGGGATAGGTGGTTCAAGGGAATGTCAAGGGAATGTCGGAAGGTTACCAGCCAAGTTAGCATCCCAATCCCACAACTCTGGGCCAGTGTAATCCAGTCCGTCAAACCAACCTCCTAGCTCCATTGGCTGCGAAAGGTCAGCGTAGCCCCGAAATCCCGAGGAACAGTAACTTACCATCAAACCACTAAAGTCAGTCGACAGAAGCGACGCAGGATCAATTTCTCTCGGTGTAGCCGCAGCCGGAGTTGTCTCTGAAGGAATGGAAGTCTGAACAGGAACGTTAGGGGATAATATACACACAGCTATAAGCGAATATACCAACCTGAACGGGGCGGTTATCAACACTGTCTTTGGCTTCCTGATATGTAAGACCATTCAAGATCGCCCTGCCGATGCGAACGGACCTTTTGGAGGCCATGTCAACATTGCACAAAGGATCCTCGCCCTTAATGCGCGATTTGACCGAAGCGAGGATGATATTCAAAAACAGGAAAGGCTTGCCCCCCTTTCCACCGGGACCAATGCGTCTCCCGAAGTTGTCAGCGGTACGTTCGACAGCCTGCATCATCACGCCTTGCTGGGACTGGATCATGCTCATGAGCACGCTGGAGTTGACACCATCAATCCCGGATGTAGCGGACGTACTCATTTCATTGGCTTGGAGGGACAGTTCCACGCAGGCAGTGATTGCAGCGTGGAAGGTTTCATCGCGGAACATACCGTTACTCAGCTGAGTGATGTGCGGGTAGATGATGTCGTCTGTCGGGGAGGGGAGTTCCATCTGGGAGAGAATGCCGAGGGATTCTTCGAGGCAGATTTTGCGGGAGTAGGAGCATTTGGGTAGACGAGCAACACTGAGGGAGAAGGGGCGGTGGAGGGCAAGGAGGAATTTGCGCATGATGAAGAGATGTAGGGATTGGGCGAACCGGTGACGACCAGATTCTCCCGGAGCGATACTCGGGGCAATATCGTCAAATAGGGAGGATGCACACTGCATGGAGCGGGAAAGTTCATCACCCATTAGCAGGGCGTCGTCGTAAGGTAGATTAAATCGGAGACTGTTGATTTTCTTGGCGATTCGATAGCGCAGTGGGAGGGTTTTCGTAAGGAGAGATTGGTAGAAGTTTTGGGTATTAAGGGCAGTACTGAGTAGGGCAGGATTATTCTCCATGTCTGGTATCAAGTCCGCATCGTCCCAATTGGACGGTGGGTCGCAGTCGCATTCGTCTAGGTCAACTGAGGGCGGAACGCCGCGGTCGAGAGAGATCTTGAGATCCAGTTCGACGATAGTAGCCCAAAGGCGACGGCGCAGTTCAGAATAAAATGGTCGAGCCTTGCGGAAGCGAGTCGGATCACGATGCAGACCCATTGTCGTCGCAGACCGAATCAGCGACCCGGCTGAGGCCCAGGCTACATCCCCGTCGCTGGCGACTCCAAGACGAGCTACCAGAAGAAGGGTTTGGGTCTGGAGCATTCGGAAGTCGATCTCCGGGCTCACAAATGTGCACGAGACGTATGACTGGACAGCCATGATCCATTTCATGGCCGATTTCTGGAATACGTCTCGGTCATCTTGACCTGGAGGTGGGACATAGAAACAACTTCCAGCAGCCATCACGGCGAGTAACTGAGCGACGAAAGCCATGTCAACTGGCTGGGTGTTGGCCCAGTAATCAGCATACTGTCTCAAGAATGTCGGCGTGTGCAAGATTCGATATGTCATCTCGAAAGTGTCGAGATACAACCGAAGCAGATGATCAGCAACATTCCGCTGGGGCACTATCTCCTCGAGCTTATAAGCTTGCTCGCGAAACTCGCGCTGATGATCCTGTGTCTCGCGTGACCAGAGCTCCGTCTTGAACTTTTTCATATCAGTGTACTCTTTATCTTTCCCCTCCCCGCGGCAATGACCACGGTGCATAAATGTACAAATATCTTTGAACTACATCTTCATCAGCAAATCAATCCCCGAATAAAAAGAAGGATACTCACAAAAGAAATAGTAGTGGTATAATGACTGCGACCGAAATAACGAGTCTTGTTCTTTTTCCCGCGGAAATTCCAATCTGGCAAGAATCGCACGCGGTCGTCCACACCCACATTTTCAGAACTACTAGCGGTACCGACTTCAGAAAAGACATCGGAAACCGAGGTCTCAGGAGTCTGAAGATGAGACGACTTGCCGAGTGAATTCTCCAGAGCTCGCAACCGACTCCGGAGCTCATGCAGCTCATCAAAATGGCCACGTTTCGAGACGCGATTCGACATCGAATTTGGCCCCAATTTCGAGTCAAAGACGAACATTCCACTTTTCCGGTCGGACTGTTCTTCCACGCCATACGGTAATTGCGGGGGCGACATACGTCGCTGAGAAGAATCAGATACAATACCATTTCCAGGTTGAACTCCAACAAAGACGCATTGGGTTGTTGTTTTTGAGCGCACGCATTGCCCGCAGGGCAGAGAGCGGTCACATTTTAATTTGCGCTTGCGACAGACTGTACAAGACAGGGGCGGGCGACGGCGACGCTGCGGAGTGCGAAATTGATTTTCTATCTCTTCATGATCTAAGGAGAGCTGGTCATGATGATTTTCCATCTTGAGGGATGTTGAGTGATTCTGAGTTCAGATTGGATTTTCTTTGTTCGTCGCAGGAAGTCCTTGCGACGCTAGACATGGGTGAGACGTCGCTAGTAGGAGATGAGGGGCACTTTTCTGGATTACCTGGCTACACACGTGGACAATATGTGATAGTCACTGACCGATGGCCTTGGAAACTGTCAAGGGCTCGGTTGACAGGTTGACTTGAATGTAGGTCTCGACCTTGAAAGCTGCTCGATGGAGAATGTCTAGCCTCGGAGTTACCATTTCTGGTGATAGTGGACTTATCCCCGAGAGATGCTCTGAAATAACGAGTCAAGCTTTGCTTGAGTGACTCATTGCGTATTCTGGCTGGATGCCGTCCATAGATATTAATTGAATATTAGAACAAGATAAATCGCCTGTACATAATACATGGAGTATGGAGTATGGAGCATGGAGGACAGGTAAGATCCAAAAATAACGCGGGGGAATGCTAGCCGCACTTGATGTCACGTGATCTTGTCTCCCACCTGTAAAATCAGGCATCCAATGAATATTTAAGGTCGGCTTGGCACTTGGCTTTCCCCTTTCTACCAGACATGCTCAGCTGGAGAAAGCTCTCCGCAATATTTCATTCTGTAAGAAAAAGCCAAGGTTGAAAAATGAGTTCAAGGTCAAATGACAAACTTCTCTTTCGATATATCCGCAACACTACGCCGAGACTACATTCAAATCAAAGAAAAAGCTACATCGACTGCCAAAACAACGTCATAACAAACCGCATGTAAACCAGCAAGTAGTTCGCAACTGTAAAAGCAAGGAAGATACCGAGATATGGCCAGATCTTCGAAGAGTCCAGACCGATTCCAGCCAAGTACTACCAACACAGTTTAGCATCAATTCCAGATACAACAAAACAAGTTCCAGGGAACAAAACTCACATCATCACCAAGGCTACAATCACAATGTCCACACTTACTCATCCCATCCGGGTTCGAGAGATACCCAACGGCCTTCGCATCAAGCCACGCATTCGCGTATTCGCTGCAAGTAGTATTGGGTGGACTCTCAAAGATAGCCAATTCAGACTGGGAGTAAACAACAGGGGTACCACGAAGGACGGAGGTGAGCACCTCACCAATCCAATACGTAAACGGTGTAACATAGTACATGGTGTACTTCCAGAAGGCAGGCATCTGGGATTGCGGACGGAGGATACCGTTGAAGAGCTCGCACATGATGATGAAGAATGGCATGAGGGTGGCGGCGATCATTGAGTCAGTACTATGGATTGAAGGGATGTCTCAGTTGATCAATGCGGGGAAGAATAGTGCTAAATCGTACTAAACTCGGGGTTTAAGAGGAGCGGGCATATTTGACCTTGGGAGCCTTTGAATCGTTCAAGACAATCCCCGACCTCAATGTACTCGATCTGCAGAAATAGTCTTGATTCATCTTTGGAACGAGTAAAAATATGAAATGAAATGAAATAAACAGATATACCTAGATGGCTCCCCAAAAGGGAAGCCAAGGCTCACTATGATGAACGTGGAGATGACCACTCCGGATGAAGACACAAGAGGTTCCTGACCATCTCGTCTGGCCACTGGCCTCCTGCCAGTGGATGTGCATCAGAGTATTTAGTCAACTTTTTTTTTCTTTTCCATCACTGTCGTGACTTTCCTCATCTTCACCAAGTTTGACAATTTTGAGGCTTGAGATTTAAAAGAACAGAGTTCAGCGGAGTCCGCGGCCATCGCGATAGTTTTGCAGAACAAGGAAGCCAAGACGAGAAAAAAGGATCCATCAACCCATTCCAAGTTGTAGAGACATATGGGAACATAAGAGGATCATAGCTGACTCGGTATAGGATCTCGGTGGATGTGTGTACTAACCTAGTTAGGTCTAGAGACAGGAATCCCGAACGAGTCTCTGGATTCTAGTCCTCTTTGAACAGGGCAGTCTGTTCTACGAGGTGATAGATCTGTCATACGATGTCCCAAGATATCTGCATTTTCATATACAGGTTAGGGTCCGACCTACGTCCAATGTCCTCCGTTCAGTGTCATGCACCAGTGTGTCACTTTGGGACTTGGGACACCTTTGACACCGGAGAGTTTCTCACGGGGATTACTAATCCACTTCCACGCAACACATGCCTCAGGTGTCTAATTGAACATGACAACACCCCCCGTATCAGTGATTGAGGTGATTATACCCTCATGTGGTACACAGAGGATACAAAAGAAAGGATATCCGAAATCAAAGAAAAGTCGAGCCCCAACTGAATAAAGTAACTCATACCCATTCCAGCCTCTCTCATCCCCATAATCAGATTTCCCTCTGATTGCCCAATCTAGTCTAGCGCCCAAAGCTTCCAAGCTCCCAAGCTCACCTCCCTTCCCTCTCCCCTCCTCCCGACTCCAAAATGCAAACCCTTTACAATGCGCTAATCCGCACCCACCACATAACCTCGCGCAAGAAAGTAGCTGCCCTCAAACGTGCCGCAGACGCACACCAATGTGCCGTACTCTTGCGTTCCGGTGGGTGTCCGGGGATCATGTACGTGGAGGGCGGGAAGGATCCAGTGGAAAGCTGGGTGGATGTTGTACGTCGGCTGCGATATAAAGAGTTTCAGTTGGTCACAAGGCCCGGACTTGTGGAGGAGGAGGGTGCATGTGGAAAACAGGGGACTGGTGACGGGAATGGGAATGGGGAGGGGAAAGATGAGAAAGAGATGGGCTTCGCAGTGGGATTAAACGAGGTGAATACTGTCAAGGAGTTTGGAAGCTTGATGGCGAAGAGGAGGGTTTGGACTTGGTGGAGGAGGGGGATGGGGTATACTTGATGTCTTCATAGGAATGAAGGAGCATTTGTAGAGCGTTGTGGATATTTTTGGGTACTCTTTTCTAGGATCCCCCATCGAATTCGATTTCCGATGCAGTAGTTTGTCCTGGATTCATGCATTCCCTGTACACAGCTAACATCCCAAACGCCAGAATCTACCTATGTTCCATCTCCAGACCATCATCGAGCGTGTGCGAGTTTCCACTCAATACGGCGCCGGATAACTGAGTAGCTTGCAAACATCCTACCCCAAGTCAGCAGCCAGCCTACTCATCCCGATCCACCAGACGTACCTTTCGTTGTCTCCGATATTTATCATAGATCATCTTCCAAATCTCCCGATCCCGACATCCACTCTCCTGCGGCGTGCCAGGGTTTTGGTCACATTTCGGCTGCTCCGCCACCAACATGTCCTGCGGCCACATGATCCACGGCTTTGGCAGCGGCCAATCCGAAAAGTGTACAAACTTAGCCTGCGCCAGGACCTGGTCAGGATCCCAGACCTCATCATCATTCCCCAGGAACTTCCGATGATCCTTCGTCCGGAACTCGCCAGTCAGTAGACCATATTGCCGATGCGGAAGAACCATCGCAGAATCCCCATACCGTCTGTTCAACAACTCCATATCATACCGATGGTCCGTCACGTTCATATCGACTTGGCCGTTCTGGGCGAGGGTAGTAACGTCGGTCAAGGCAAGGTATTCCCGGAGGGAGGGCTCAATGACGACCAAGAGGGACGAGAGCAGTTTGTCGGGGAGAAGCCAATAGGCACGTGGCATGGCGACAGTGGCAGGCGGGAGGAAGAAGAGCTCGTCCATTGTCTGAAGGAGAATAACGTCCGAGTCGAGGTGGATGACACGATCGTATTCATGCTCGCCAAAGGCCATGAGCTTGGCGGTGCTAGTATCCCACGAAGCTCTGGAGCCGGATACTATGAAAGAGGTTGACATGTTAGTTAATGGGTTCAAGAGGGTAGGTCAGTTCCAATAACGGCAGCCCAACTCACCCGATGGGTCCTGGACCCCCTCGATCTTAATCGGGATCAACATCACTTGGTACTTGTGCTTCGCCTCAAGTAGCAACTGGCTGACGCGATCAAACTCATTCTCGACAACGAGGTCCCATTCCTCCGGGTAGAATAGCACGCGGTCCGCCTTGCTGCCGAGTCTGTGCAGAGCCTCGAAGACCATCAGGCAGTTACACATGTACACCTCGTTGGTTGCATACTGGGTATAGGCAAAGCGCGACCAATCAACTTCGTCGTAGTGGATATGTGGTAGGGGCAGGGGCGGGGGACGTTCCCGACGTTGCCACAGGATAAATAGGACGATAAGGGCGACTACGGCCCATGTTCGGACATGTCGTAGCTGGCGTTTGGCTATGGATAGACACGACTCGTCGGGGAGATCGAAGAAGTCATCTTCCGAGGCATTGGAGCCCCGTCGGTAGGGGAAGGTGGGTTTTTTGGGTGGCATTGTTAAACGGTGAAGCTATTGACCATGCTGGTGGGGATTTGGATAGATGCACGTGATTGCTATATCATTGGTGGGACCAATCCACTTTTAGAATGCTAGACGGGGAAGCTCACGTTTGAAGACTGAAACATCTTTACAGGGTTGCGATTGTATCAAGTTGTGGGGAGGGTCCACCTCTCTTCAAGATTGGGCAACGGTGGTGCAAAGGTGCACGCCAAAGGCCGGATGCCTGATTGTTAGCGTGAATGCCGGGATTTTGTGACAGAAATCTATGGTTTCAACACTGTCTGGGACGAGCAATAGATAGGCGTAAAAAGGACTCTAGATTCTCTAACTGCGTTGTATGTTGTGAAGTGACCAAGTCCGCTCTTTTTCCAATCTGTGCAAATAAAGCTGACTAATCCTGCCCTACAGTTTGTACGGACTGCGCCATCAGGGCGTTCCGAATGTTTTTCCGGGTCTTCTACTCCGTCCCCGTATCCTGTTTTCAATCATCTATTGTGCCATTGGTTTCAACGTGATGCCTTATTTTGAACAGGTAATTGAAACACCGACAGTGACTCCACAAAAGTGTTGACACCCCTTCTACTACCGCCTTCCTGGTTTATCATACCGCCTCTTTTAAATTAACAGATCGTCCTTTCTCTCTTGGCTTTTGATTGGTAGATATTAAGTAGACAGAATTTGGGGTGCTGACACTTTTGCGGAGTGACTGTACCATACATCTTAAGAACCACATTCCTGTGTGGCAAAACGGGGGGTGCCCACGTGAGCATTGACCATGGGTCTAAAAGCGAGATGAGAGGCAGATCCTACAACATGGAATGATTTCTGCTCTGGCCCTAGGTCGAGGAGTATGTCAATCCCTTTTTGAGTTGTTGAAACATACAACAGTTTCCTGGTCTAGCGGTTATGATTTTCCGTTAACAAATGCGATTAGCAGATGTTCCGGAAAGGTTCTGGGTTCGATTCCCAGGGAAACTATTTTTTTTTTCCATCGCCATTGCCCTGTCTGTCACTTTCAATAATCTTGATAATTGTGCTCTTGGCCAGTGCTGTTATTGGCACCCCTTTAATTTGATTAATTTCTGCCGGCATAAACCCTTGATGAATCCACACTATGGAACCTAGTAAGGTGTGTACCACCCATAGCTCTCTATAGTAGCTTCTACCCGGTGCGGCTGCAAGACTATACGGTTTTTAGGTGTAAAGCCTGTTAACCGGGTAAGATACAATATCGAGGGAGGACAAGTCACTGTATTGTCTTATGTGTGCCAAGACTAATACTGGTCAGAGTTAAGAGGGATTTAGGGGGTCCTCGACTACAAGGAAAGTGATCGGCACTCTCGGATACCGCTCGTTTCGATCCTATCTTCAATGTTATGCGTCATTGATCAGTTGATCCCTGTACGGAGGATATATAAATAAGGACTCTTTATCTGCTATCACATCGCCTATAGGTAAGTCACTATAGGTTTGATCTCAACTTAGGCTTATTTCTATCCTTTCTAGGCCCTTATCTTATTTTCAGATGGTGATACTTCTAGAGAATACCTCACTAGGACGCCGGTGGTTATATAGTAGTTAGTGGTCATAGAAGTAAGAAAGGTAGTTTGGGTAGTTTCTAGGAAGGTGGCAAGGTGATTCAAAAAACGCAAGGCACACATGAGTTCTTAGCGGAGGCCTAAGACATCATACAAACGTGAGGTGTTAGGCAGGGGCCCCCCTGGTGGGTAGTAGTCACCTTTCGCACTCCACAACCATTTCAACAGCAAAAAAAAAGGAAGACCCAAAAATAGTTTCCCTGGGAATCGAACCCAGAACCTTTCCGGAACATCTGCTAATCGCATTTGTTAACGGAAAATCATAACCGTTAGACCAGGAAACTGCTCAACCACTAGGGCCAATTGATGAATAGCATGGCCGTTAACCATTTTACATTCCACCGAAGCAACCTTTTGACCTGTTTTATTTATTCTCCAAATCCATGTTGATTAAAAGGTTGTATTTCAATTCCTTTTTAAAACTGTACGTGTAGATTTATTCCACTAGACTTGGTTACTTTCGAGACCATGGTATACACTACTCCGTATGTTGGTTGCCTAGTTAGCTTAACCGGTGGTCCACACTCGATAGATATATATATTGCAAGAAGCACCTGCGACGGGGAACTCATTCTCCAATTTGGCTGTGACTCCCCCCCCCCCCCTTCACTAAACGAAATCAAATAATACAGACACTCCATATATTCCCCCATCCAAGAGAAGAAATTCAACCATTAGAACAAACCCAGTCTAGACCACCGAAATTAAAAGAGGCAGTGCATTTCGTTGTTTATTCGTTGTTTATGGACGATCCATAGATACTAGAAATACACCCCATCAGTGGCTTTACCAATTCAACAGGTGCATTCTTTAATGCAACACATCACGGCAGCCCGTTTTCCCTGGGATGGTATTCGGCCGGACCAGCACCACCTGCAAGAAGGAGGTGGAGAATTGACAGGCTCGCACTTTTGGCAGTCAACTAGAGCCTACCAGATTCAGTTCAATCTGGATGTTGGATTCAGATGCCCATGGGAATGTCGAGGGTCACCTCGTAGGCTTACCTAGATCCTGGGCCGAACTAACGGGCGATGAGAGAACGCAATAAACATGTAATGTGCTGGTGGATAGTACAGGACAGCAAGACAACCAGGATAATCCAAGTCCTCAAAATTTCATAAAGGAGCGATGTATTGTCAATCATTGAAACCCTGCGGAATGAGACCGACCCCCCTCCGGTGACAACCTCGTCCCACCCGAAACATTCGACCTTCCATCATGGACCTGAACAACGATATCTGTCTTGACAGTAACACGTCCATCATCAAAATATTCGGGACTATCCGCCGTTGAAATCCGACTACTCAAGCGCTGATGCTTATGCCCATTCCACTGATCCTCCTCATCCCTGATAGAAGTATTCGTCGGATGAGTCACAGTAGCCGAATCCAGCCACCGGTCCTGAGCCTGGGCGCGGCGTTTCAGCTCTGTATCAGAATCTTCGTGTTCTGTCGACCGGGAGTGAGACCAGTAGCCGTGACTGCGGCCTTCGTGTCTGTGGTCAACGAAGGAGCGGAGGAACAAGCGGGCTACCGGGGCACATGAGGCAAGGAGAATGCTGTAGTTTTCGATCCTGGGCTTGTTAATTATTGATATTGGCGTTGGGAGATGGTGGTTATGCTTACTTCACCCAGAGAATGAAGCTCACGATGTTATAGGTGAAGTCCTGTCTATCACCGAGGGATTTGAGTTTCTGGTGAATGCGGTATTAGCGTTGCTGCACAAATCGGGGAAAGATAGTGTACCCACACAAGTTTTAATAATAGAAGCACAGCCGGAGAGGAGCAGTGGTCCGCTGAGAGTAATAGTCTGCCAGATCCGGCGGGAACGGACGGTGCCACTGATTCTACAGAAGTGGGACCAGAATGAGGTGTGTGGATCACGGCGGAGGGTTCTCAGGAAAAACTGCCAGAGTTCGACGGCAGCGAGCACGGCAAGAAAGTAATCGATCACGGCGTTGGATCCTGTGGGAAGTGCCATTAGCTTTGCATTGAGCTGAAGTGTGATCATTCCACATACCTCCTTGTACAAAACCAATAGTCGTCTGGACATTCGGTGATTGGCACTTGACGGATCCATCTTCCGGTAGTGGTGTCCACATGTAGTGGAAGTACTGTACTCGATCAGTCTGTGATGAGATTAGTATGGGTCGTGCACTAAGAAGGGGGATGCTGACCGTCTGATATGGGTTCGGTCCGCACTGGACAATTATTTGGATGATGGTGACCATATTGACGACAACCTGAACAATAGCACAGACAGTAATAGATAGGCGAATCTTCTTGTCGCTCGCCGCAAAGCAAGTCAAAAGGAACCACATCATGCCTGCGCGTGAGACCATCGCCGAAGTGACAGCCAGCGGCTGTGAAAGGAAATCCCATTTCATAGCATTATGACGCTCTTCACTGGTCAAGTAAAAAAAATGCCTTCCAAGGCCCCATTTGGCACTAGACAGAGTTAGTAGCTGACACGAAAGTAACGAGAACAGTTCATCCCACCTCATTTGAACAAAGATCATATGTGTTATATCAAAACCCCAAGCTATGAGGAAGAACAAGTCCTCTGTACCCCAGATTCGGCCGGGTGCAGTGACCTGCGGCAAAGCCCAGCGCACCCAGACCTTGGTGGCATAGCGGAACAACAATGCCACGCCGACCATGGCCGTGAGGACCTGCCCGAGGATTAATATACACATATGCGGAGGCAATATTAAGCGGGGAATAACATACCCAGCAAGCGTGGAACGTGCCAGTCCCTGTTCAACATCCGTGTTATTATTCCTGACCCACTCGCTTCGCTTTTGTCCGGAGGTCAACATACCGATATTGAGATCGCCATCACCAGGTTTCGGAATATCCATAATGAAAATGAGATCAAGGGCCAGATGTGTAGAGCAGCCAGCAATTACCAGATTCTGGAATTTAGAGCGGAAAGCCTATCCAAATCCTCATTGGCATGGATGCGAGACGAGATCGATGCGCGGGGTTTGATCAGAGGGACCAGAAGCAATAAACCAGAATCCAAGGCCAAGGACTAGCAGAGAAAAGGTTTCAAGGTGACCCTAGAAAGTTTTCAGAAATGAAGATCACGTCAAAAATCTGGCGTGAACCGAGTTATAGGTCATAACCTTCAGAGATTCCAATATAGAGTGGAAAGACCCATATGATTGAAAGGAAACAAGGGATACAGTGTAAACCGGAGGCTTTACACAGGAAAAGCTATTAGGGTCAAGAGAAGCGAGTTGCCGATGCGTTGAATGATATGGTGGAGCATGAAACCCTGGATACGGGACCACGTACGGAGCACTCCGTACATCAAGTTCTGACAGGAGTCAAGCTCGCGTGGCCAATCCGGGGGCAAAGCAATGCAATCGTTTGATCGTGGCAATTGACAGATTCTCATTTTCAGACCAGGTGGAGTGAGAGGAAGCGATATTCCTGGTGGAAAGGGGAATGGAAACCATACAGTGGCCAGCAGCAAGGGATGTGACAAGGGATGAGCAAAAGTACATACATCATGTATGTATCCATGTGGGATGGGTTCAATGCAGTCGTAGATCGGATCTGCAAAGATCCTGTGCTGTAGGAGTTCGAAGAGATGAAAAAGCTACAAGCTTCGGGTAGGCGAGGCTACCGAAAGGGGTGTGTGATCTGTATACATTCGATACATCACATTCACAACTGTTAGTACTCCATCAACTGACTCGTTGCAATTGTTCATTAACGCTACCTCTCATGAACTATTGATCTGTCCTCCTCATCTCCACCAGTGACTCTCCAGCCCTAACATAAACCTCAAAAGTCACCTCAAGCCCACACAAACCCGCCATTTGCTTCCACTCCACCGAATTCCTCTCACGGCCCCCGTATAACGCAATCATACTCGCATGAAGCGAAGTGTAAGTGAAATTCTTGGCATACTCAATAATCAAAACCCGGGAACCAGGCGCCATGGCATGAGAAATCTTCTGCAGCAACGCCACGGCATCCAAATCAGGCAAATTATGCAAGATATGCTGCAGCGCGTAAACGCAGGCCCCACGAACGGGCTGTTCAGCCTCCTCCTTGTAGTTCCATTCCATACGCCGCACACCAGGCACGATACCAATATCGGCATTGAACTCCTGTAAGATTAGATCTTCCGCACCGAGATATGGGTACGCAGCCTGGACCTCGAGGAGGAGCTCGCCACGACCACCGCCGATATCGACCATAGTAGCGGACCCAGTGCCAGTACCAGTGGTAATGTCACCCGTCAATGCGACATCTAAATCATAGCCCATTGCCCTGGCGCGCTCTGGGAACGTTCCAAATTTCAGGAACTTGCCGACCATGAAATGGTTGAAGCTGTCCATGCGACCCTGGGTCTCCATGATCGAATATGTATGTTGCTCCGCTAGCTTGGACTGACCCATTAGCTGATAGGCATATTGCAAGGGGCCGTCTGCTTCGGCAAAGGGGTATGCAAAGCGAGTGTCCTGGAGCTTTTTCATCAAGAATGCGCTGGCCATTAGACCCTCCGTAGTACTGGGTAGGGTCAGTGCGGGCCTGAAAGATTATGCAGTTTCTACAACAGAAAACGAGTATGAACGAGGGGAACTAACAAGTGCAGCGCGCCATGCTGAGAGGACGGCATGGCAACCATGTGGTTTGTGATGGCATTTGCCATGAAGCAGTCCTCGGCCACTCGCTCAACTAGGCCGAGCCCGGCCATGATGTAGAGTGTGTCCGCTGAGGAAAGGGGTTAGTATTGGTATAATGCTTGTCCCTGTTCGAGCATGGTTGTAGTGACTCGGATGTGCTTACAGGCTAATCTGGTCCCTACACTCATTGTCAGTTTAACAGCCAACCATAAAGCTCAAAACACATACCCAGCTCAGGCTCATTCCCTCCTCGGGCTTTGAGACGCCCATTACAGATCGCCGAGACTTCGTCGACTGTCACGCGTCCGCCATGACTCACGAGGATATCGAAGAGATCAAAGTGAATCGCGACCGGGACAAACCCTAACGATGCAGGCTGTGACTGAGTTAGGTCATAGAGCTACCTGACCAGTCCGTCATACTCACTACTGTGACAGTTGCTGCAAGGGCGGCACCTGGGGGTGCGACGGGGGCTGGGAATGATAGGCCCAGGAGGCTGGCTAGGCGGGATAGAAAAGACATTGGGATTAGAGGTGGAAGGTCTCTGAGAAGAGCTCCAGGGATAAGGATGCCAGGGAAGTATAGTCTGCATTACTCCGTAGTCATACTCCCTAAATCTCTATACGTACAACATGCGATGGGATCCGGCAGGAGTTCCGGTGCTAATGTGAGACGACGATATAGATAAATCCGGCCTGGAATACTTGGAGATTACAATCCCAGCCGTCATCCCAGACCCATAATCAGTATGAAACCATTGTGCTCAATGGAAGACCATTGGTCCAACAGAACGGTATGCGCAAGGGATAACACACCATGACAAGACACGGCACTGCCACGGCGAAAAAAAAGAAGTAACGCCTAAAGAAACAAACCAGCACATAGAAGAGCCCAATAGCGCCTTACCCGAAAAACGAAGGACCTACTAGCCCCGGTCTACCTTTGTGATATATCTACTGTCCACTCCACAACATACGTACATTCCGGAGACTTTTTGAACAGATCCAAGATCTCTCCTGATTCCCAAAGAACGACTCTATGTTGTATAGAATCTTCATGTACAACAAAAGCCACGCGAGAAGCTCCATGTGTGTTCGACTGGCCGTGGAGAAAACCTACAGGGGCTCATCGCAGAAAAGAAAAAGATCTTCATTCAACTCCTTGCCTGAACCAGATCCTTGTTTCAGGGTCGACTCCCCATATCCAGAATACAGGCCCCCAAAAGGGTGAGCAGGTCTACCATGGAGAAACTCTCCCCGATCTACTTCACGCACGAGATGACAGCCAGTGCGTCGTCGTCGCTTGAGACGCAGGAGTTGAAAGAATGCCACTCCAATTCAAATATCGAGGCCAGGGATGCCTTGAAACCGAGGAACTGGTCCTCGAAGCGGAAGACAATGCTCTTTGTGTCGCTGATGACGAGCTCGTTGTTGGCAGATGGGTATGTATGGCCGATCGAGAACCCCATCGCAGCTGCCAGCTCAGATATGTATGCGTCAACTTGATTTTTCTAACTGAATCTTTTGCAGAGCTATGGTCTGGGGTGGAACGCTGGTCACGGAGCAGGCAGTAGCTTGGGATACGAGCATCACTCATTCGGCGACAAGTATGAATTATGGTATTCTGCTGCAGGGGCTTGGGGGAATTTTTGCTGTTCCACTCATTGAAGCATATGGTCGGTGAGTTTGATTCTTTTTGTCGCCTGCATTGACTGTCCCCACTGATAGTTGTGCCTAGTTTGCCTATCTGGCTGTGGCCTCAGGTGATCACCATGTTCATGGTGATGGGTGCTACCTTCTCCAACGATTGGTCTACCTTCACAACGTTCCGGTCATTACAGGGTCTGTTTGGGACAGTGCCTCAGGTAATTGGGCTTCCGATAATTCATGACATGTATACGTCGGCTGGTAAGTCCGTTTCTTTGGGATTGGATCGAGGACGTGATGCTGAGGTGACAACAGAATGGCCGCGGATGATCAATATTTGGTAGGAGACTTGCCACTCGAGTCTTACCAGAGTAGCACTGACCGAGAATAGGGGGACCACCTTCCTTGTCGGACCATTTCTCGGTCCCGCGATAGCAGGATACATCAGCACCGGGTCAGACTGGCGCATCTCCTTCGCGGTCCTGACCGCCATCTATGGCATGTCCACGGCTATGGTGATCCTCTTCGGCTATGAGACGTACTATGAGCCTGAACGAACGACCAAGCAGTCGCGCCTCGCGTCTTATTTTGGCATTGGGAATACTTTGCTTCCCAAGAGATCGACGTTGAGCTACTGGAGTCGAACGGTTGTGGTCTATGTGTTCAAATTCCCCTTGTTGATGACTGGTGGGTATGGTCTAGCTAGCTGACAATGACATTCGCTGACCGGGAGTTTTGTTGATAGGCATCGCTATCTTGGTCACATTTACCTGGCCAATTGGTAGGTCACCATCATCACGCGGTTCTTTCACGCGCTGACTCTCCAGGAATCACAACCACCATCGATCCCTTCCTGCACAGTCCCCCCTACTTGTTTGGCACAATTGGGGCATCGTCAATGCGATTCGCCGGAGTGGTTGGAGCTTTATGTGGTAGGCATCCTCACAATCCCCCTATCTCTCTAGATTCTCACAATTTTCATAGGTTGGGCAGTTGGTCACTTCTTCAACGGCTGGATCTTCAAGCGCCATCGCTCAACTTGGCGATCCGAACTCCGCCTTCACGGCGTGTGGTTCCCGATAGGGAGCATGGCCAGTGGTCTCCTCACTTACGGACTAACCCTACGCTTCGGCAAGCATTGGGTTGGAATAGCTATTGGATGGATCATGGTGAACATCGGCTTGGTAGCGACGATTGTGTAAGTTCTAAGTTCAATCGGTTGGGTACTGTCGTGTGTCTAAGATCATTTGCACAGTGCCATCTCAGCCTATGCGTTGGAGAAATACCCGCAGCAGGCGACCTGTGTCTCAGCCATTCTGAACATGTGGCGTACCTGTGGTGGGTTCGCAGTGGGATACTTCCAGCCTGCATGGATTCAGCGCAATGGACTGGGACTGGTTTTCGGTATTCAGGCGGCTATTCTGTGTGTGGCCGTTGCTTTGACAATCACTCCTGCGTTCTTGTGGGAGCGGAACAGACAGTTCAAAGCCGAGGCTAATGCCGATACTGGCGCCTGAGTTCGTGTATACAAACTAGAAACGGGGGATTGGAATGTATTGGATCTTTGTATGTATGTTGTACTCAGACAATGTTAAGTAGATCAGGACCCTTGTCCCACGTCGGTCCACACAGGACCACACGTGATCGATGCCTACGGATTCAGGCCACAAGGCCACAATCCGGGTCCGTGTCCGCCGTCCTTGTTTCAAGCTTAATTTATCCAACGCCGTGGCTGAATTCTGCACTCCGTTCTATTTTGTGCAGATTAATTGACTCTACTTCAAACTTGAGACTTGCCCCTGATCTTCACCTCCTGAATCCTCCCTCTATTAAGAATGTTAAACATTCTACGGAGTACGCAGTCGATCATTGCCTCGCATGCAAAGTGCCGCAAGTGAAGACGCTTTCCGTGGGGCAGCGGTCTGAAAAGACGCCACGGTCTAATTGACTTAAGTGCCGTGTGGTTGCTGATCAGTCCTTAAAGAACCTGTCGCTTGGCCTATCAAAGCCCCCCCTCCCCGTTTACTCCGTTCAGAGGTTTGACTGAATCCTTTCTCCCGGACTATGAATTGTCCTGTCAAAGCTGAGGCAGTGTCGAACTGGTTTGGCTCAGGGACAGCGATCATTGACCCTTTTTTTCATTTATTTTTAATTTTTTTTTTTCCCCTTCCGTGCTATGAAGCATTTGTTTCAATCTGTTCATTATTTCCTCACCCCCTTACTCTCATTAGCTGAATGGCATCGATTTCTGTTTAACCTTTTGATTGTCCATAAGCGCCAACTCGACTATGTCTAGTTCTCCGCGACGATGGCTCTTCATCTTTTTTCCGATCCTTACATTTTGCTTCATATACTATATCAATCGACTGCCTGAATCCAACACGAAAGCCTTGAATAATCCCGAACAAGTTCTTCAAGATGGTGGGGAAAAAATTGTGGTAGGAGAGGAGAAGCAGACAAGTCCTCCTTCGCCTCCTCCGTCCAAAGAGGAGATTTTAGAGGATAAATGCGGCCACTTACTACACAAACTCGACGATGTCATGGTCGTAATCAAAACTGGCGCGACCGAATCCCTTGAAAAAGTCCCCATCCACCTCCGAACCACGCTAGAATGTGTCCCACACTTCGCCATCTTCTCCGACTACGAAGAAACCATCAACGGTGTCCACACCTATGATGTCCTCCGCAACATTAGCGAGTCAACAATGAAAAAAGAGCCCGAATTCGAAATCTATCGCCGTTTACAAGAAGTCGGACGCGAGGGTTTAACAAAAGAAGAATGGGGTGACGACACAAATGGCCCATTAGGAAAGGTCAACAACCCAGGCTGGAAGCTTGACAAATGGAAATTCCTCCCAATGATTGACGAAGCACTAGAAGTCATGCCCAACGCCAAGTGGTACGTCTTCCTTGAAGCCGACACCTATATGGTGTGGCCGAACCTGATCAACTGGCTGGCACACCTCAACCCAGACCGAAACTACTACCTGGGTAGCCCGATGCAAATCGGCGAAACTCTCTTCGGCTACGGCGGGGCGGGGATTGTCCTTTCCAGCTGGACGATGAACCTCCTGCACGAGCACCGGATAGGGGCAAAGGAAGATCTCGAAGCGATGACCGCACAGGAATGGGCAGGCGACTGCGCGCTGGCGCGAGCGCTGCACGACTTAAACGTCGATCTGATCTGGGCGTGGCCGATGATGACGACGTCACGACCATGGGAAATCGACCATTTCTCCGAGGGATACGGGCGACAGCCGTGGTGTTACCCTGTCATTTCATATCACCACATGGCGCCGAGGGATATTGAGGAGATGTGGGAGTTTGATCGGGCATTCTTCGCCAGCGGGAAGAACGCACTCATGCTACATGCCGACGTTTACCAGAAGCTGGTCTACGATGGGACTTTCTCGGCTCGCGACGATTGGGATAACCTCTCTGGAGTCCAGATAGATTTTCCGGCTGGCACGATTCCTACGCTTGATGTTTGTGCGGAGGTGTGCGCGCACAACGACGATTGTTTGCAGTATTCGTTTAATCGTATCGAGGGTGTATGCAAGCATGCGTCTACTACCTTTGCGGGTGTTGCTACCAATGGCACGCAGTCTGGTTGGATTACAACTCGTGTGAACAAGCTTCTCAAGGCATTCCAGTCTTCATGTCATGAGGTGCAGTATATCTTCGATTGATTCTTCTATCGCTCCTCGGCAGTCTTCTTTCCCCCTGGGCCTTTCTTGTATATAAAATCTATCGACTCTCTTGTATCCCCCCCCCCCCCCCCCCCCCCTTCCCTTGATCTTGCATCCATTCTCGCACTGGAGGGCAAGGCGATTCCATGTTTTCAAGGGAGTCCTTAGCGAGGCGTTTTGCAGTGGCGCTGTGGTATCGTCTGCCGGGCAGACGAAGACTCATCCCTGGACCTTTCTCATTTTCTTGTCTTGTTCTTATTACATAGGCTGATAATTCCTAGCGATACCTATGTTTCACTAATTTAATCTGGAAACTTTCATTTACAGGTGCTTTGGGGATGTATGTCATTTGCATGAAACTCTTATCCACCGTATGATGTCTGGGGATATGTTAACGCACACGACATACATGGATCTGAGCCGTTTAAATGGCGCGATTGGGCGCTCACATAGGCCCAACAATTTCTCCCGAATGATAGCCTCTGTGCAAGCAAGTCTTTTGGTTTTCTTTGTCCAGAAACCACACCTAGTGTTGTAGCGTAGTATCGGCCATAATTCAGCCACTGAAGACTGCGAAAATAAGGTACACTCTGAGGTTACCCCCAGCGCTAGACCATCCTTTCGCTAACGTTCGGGGGGTTTATTGCCAGTCTTAAAGGCACCTGGCCATCTGGCAGATCTTTGACCCTGACATTCGTTGCGAGAGATGATCAGAAAAACGAGGCTATTGGACGGCAGCACTTCTGCTCGTAGGACAAATCTGCCGTCCCTGTCGGGATGATCTTATTGTGGCACAGAAGATTGGTGTACGGCTATTCGTTGCTCAATATACATTGCGCGTGTATAGATTCGTAACCTCGAGATAGTTAGCGCAATGTTCCTTGTCCCTATCCGCATTGGCACACAGGGCCTTCCGTATGCCAGGCCCTAATGGCCGTTGCGATGGAAACAGTGATCTCTTAGCGGTCAGTATGGAAAAACGCTCAAAAAGAGGAAGAGTGAAAGTCAAATGTGAAGACCAGTGGCTCGGAACTGGAATCCAAACAAGCTCGTGGAGGGCCCAAAAAACATCCATTGCCTAAAGCTGACAATTTCATAGAGACACGCGAATAACCAAGAGAGAGGTAAAGCTGCATCAGTTTTCTAGAATTCTCTTCACGATCAACTGATTCACACTGGGGGGTTTAACCTACTAATGCTTGTTAGATGTCAGATGCGTAGAATATCACTGCAATTCAACCTACTAGGTTCGGCAAACACAAGGTCTGTCTGCCGAAAACCTCGTGAATTGAACATTAAGCCCAGGATCCAGCACCACATAAGATCAAATGACAGTAAGGGTGTGGACAGCGTGGAAACTGATTCTCTTCACGGTTTCATCGTGAATGCTCCCTTTGAGAGCAAAATCATATCCGTCGGCTGGCTTGCGTGTTTGATTCCAAGTTGCTTCCCAGCCTCTCGCCATGAAATAGCCATCTGGCAGCTCAAGTTTTAGTCTCACTGCCACCTGGGAGAAAAATGAGTGGGTATCTATAGCCACTTGAATGTAACTTTCAGTACCCCGGCAATCCTCTCGCTCGTGTCTCTATACCCCTCCTGTCTCCCTTTGGGTTACTATGGCAGTTGTGCACTTAACGTAGGGATTTCGCATGATTTCGCATGATTAACCAAGGGCTGTGAAATGATGGGAACTATTGAATTTGGTTACTGAAAAGTAAAGAATATGGGACCAGAACGACTGATCATGCGAAAGATTTTTAAGAAAGAGCCTCGAAGCGCAAACCTGAAATGAACCAACCATCGTCACTTGGCGAGCCAAATTTTTGCAGATTCCATATTCATGCTGTCCACAGAAATCACACGAGCCACGATGAGAAAATCCACATCAGCTAGGTCTTGGCTGATGTTTTTGCCTGATCCCGCGTTAAAAATGGTTAGGAGATGCCAAAGCGCGATGGGCAGGGTCGATCGGAAAGCCTGGGATAATTCGCTTTAAAGATTCGGGAGGAGAAGGAAGGGAAGATTGAGAATTCTACGAATATCCAAGAAATGTGTCCCTGTCTGCATCGCATCGTACCTGCCTCTGTGATCCCGTAGGGAAATCAGGCCGCTACTCCTTCTAGATTACATAAGATCATTTAACCGCTAACTAGTTAACCAACTAGTTAACTAACTAGTTAGTTAGGCCACAAGATCATCAGGACAAACAGAACGTTTGTTTGTCTTTGCAGCGGCATATCTACTAGGCCCTAACATCCGTTAGGGGCCTCTGAGATTCTGTAAGGATCGCATGGTTTCTATTGGATAGTGCTAAACACCAGTTATAATGTAGAGTTATTACATAACATGCCAAGCCCTCGCCTATCCAACATGAAACCCCTTTTTCCTGTGACCAACTGCTTGGTCCGAGCGCCGCCTGAGTAGCGGCCTCAGGCGCCGAGAGTATGCAACCCTGCAATCCTCTCGGGAGCACACCTCAAGCGCGGACTAGTCACATGATATCTTTGCCCTATCTCTCTTCGATCTCAGTTGAAGAACATCGGGGCCAAAGCCACTGAGATGAGGAGTGTATTAAATGGCACTGCGTGCAGCAGTTGCGTAAATTCCAACAAGCAAGCCAGGCCTTGTTCACAGAACACAAGGTCGTTCGTTCAAGCTTTTTTTTTTAGCCTTCTATCATTCATTGCTCGGGACTGACCTAGCTGGGCCTACGGATCTACAATTACAAAGTCAAGACCGTTGAGAAAGAATGGAACAGAGACTGAGATATGGATATCAAGTACATGGAAAACAATGCTCAAATGCTATCTAATTCCCCCACGGTGTGGCCCACTGCGAAGATAGAAATATCTTGGTCACCTTGATTGAAGCGTCAATATGATGAATTGAGAGGCTGTGGTAGATGTGGGTGGACAGTTGTATTGATGAATGGTGACCAGAAAAGGTCAATGAAGCCAGCTGTTGTTTGCATTTGGCTTTGTTTCTCAACTTTGCGAAACTACTCTATCCAGGTTTGTGTGACCATGACCATGACAATTGGTAGTGGAGAGATGTGTGGCCGTGTGGCTGTGAGACCGCAAGGATTGATATTGAAAGTGGAGAGTTGGCCAATCAAGACCATTTGAAGGACCAATCCAGGTTGCGAGTCTTGGTTTTCGTAGTTAATGCAGGGACTTTTGTTGATGCCAGCTTGTGGGGGAAATGTTTGAGCATAGAGTTCAAAGTTTGAAAAAGTGAGGTGGAAGTTGGGGAATGGGAAGGTATTGAGGCATGAGTCGAGATTTGTTCGTTCGCGACAGCTGTCGAAACGCTGTCGGCCGGGTCGCTTTGCGAGGCCACGCCCGGTTGTTGGTCTGCCCCGAGGCAACTTATGGTGAGTGGCATTTAAACTACCGGCCGGAGTGCTTTCACCATAAGCTTGTCGACTGAGTCGCTTTGCGAGGCCACGCCCAGTTATTGATTTGCCCGCGGCAACTTGCAGTGGGTAGCATTTAAACTACCGGCCGGAGTGCTTCCACTGCAAGCCTGTCGACCAGAATGGTTTCTGGCTGTTGAATTGTGAGGTGAAGTGAGGCGAGGGGAGGGGAATAGGGAGTGATATGTGGTAGGTGGGTATGAGTGATACTAGAAACGAGTCAGCAAATCCATCTTTGCGGAATGGATAAATGGATACAACAAGATATTTTCATAGTAGAGGGTTGTCATGAAGGATGGTTGTCATGAAGGATGGTTGTCATGAAGGATGGTTGTCATGAAGGATGGTTGTCATGAAGGATGGTTGTCATGAAGGATGGTTGTCATGAAGGATGGTTGTCATGAAGGATGGTTGTCATGAAGGATGGTTGTCATCATGGAAGAACATATGCAGGCAGGTAGGTCATGGTGGAGTGTCGAAGACATAGAAGTCAAAGTCCAGACAAACAAAGTCACATGAAGAAGAGATACGTAGAAGGAAGAAAGAAAGAAGGAAAGAAAGGAAGAGAGAAATGGGAGGATGGGGGTATTTATACCCTGGTAGTGGCTTAAGGACCTGGGGAAACTGGGGTAGGCGACGAGTCCCTTCCTAATTGGGAAGGGTCCCTCCATGGCTGGGTCGTGCCTTCCTCTTCTGTCTGGGAGTGTCACCTGACACTGACTCCTGGAACAGCTACGTAGGCTTGTCAATAGACTCGATGTCATGACAGCCAACTACGTGGTCGACGCTTTCTCACTGACCTCTTTCAACTTCAGCCCCATCTTCGGCTTGTAAGCACACTCACCACCCCATATATCCCTCCTATCCAAACTCTAACAAATCCCCACCACCTCCCAGAGTAATACGCAAGTGTCAAGAGTTGTTTTGAAAATGTCTATTTTACGATTAAAGCACCTTGTGATATTTTTGACAGAATCCTTCATTTGTAGCGTGGCTTCAGCTACTACACTTGTGTAGATGCGCTGGATTTCAAACAATCCTATGGCGCGGGTATATGTACATTGTTTGATGGCATTTAGTCTCTCGTGAGGCGGGACGAACAAGTGTTTTCTCCACATACTGAGGATGTGAGGGTTGGAGTGTAAGCCGCCGATATGAATCTCCCACGGGGTGATTTGATCCTAAGCATTGGGCTTAGGTTGTGATGGTGGCTATTTTATGGCCAGGCCAATCCCCATGTCCCATCTAGACAAAGACTGTGCCTGGAAGCACAGGGAAGCCCGTAGACAGCCAAGGAGGCCGGTGAGATGCCACAAACAGGCGATGACCTCTCAAGGAAGATGGATTAAATCACTGTAAGATGGTCTCTAGAAGCTTGCTAGTGAGATCCTACCTAGATTTTCTCAGCCGCCCATAGATTCTTCGGCGGCTTCCTGGAACGTCTCTGGGAAAAATCCAGGTGGCGGCCAGATATCTGCTATGGAAGGCGGATGAACTAGTGGCTGTGATCCACCCAAGCGATCCGGGTCATGGCAGAACGCCTGGAATGTGCTATCATCCAAGAAGCCGAAATCCTTCAGGCCAGCCTCACGATTCGTAGACCATTCAGTGGTATCCAGGTATGCGAGGTCATTGAAGATGGCGTCGACATCACCAACGGAAGCGACATTTCCAGGCATCATAGGGGTCGAGGTCGTCGAGTCAGGTGTTTGGGGTTGTGGCAGTTGATATTGTGCGCTGGATGTGCCGTACATGGAATCTGCTCTGCTGCGCGGAGTGATCTTGTCTGGTAGGCCTGACTGTTCCCTTGGGTGGTGTGGTGCCACGTCCGTCACGCCTATGTCTGTGTTTTCCATAACAGTGTCCTTTGGGGTCAAGGATTGCCCATCGACTGGCATACTGATGCCAAGAATAGAAGAGGTAAAATCTCCTTCACCGTTTTGGGATAAATTGCGAGCTCCGCCTGGGGGGTGCATGGGGCGTGCCATGGGTGCACCCGAGAATGAAACCCCGACTGCCATCGGGAAAATGGATGGTCCTCCAACGACCTCGTTGGAGTGCTGCCACCTCTCCATGGTAGAAACCAAAGATCCATAGGCCGGCCATGTGGAGGTAAAAGTTGTCGTTTTATGTTGAAGCTCGTCTGCCCATCTGGCAAAGGGGAAGGTGTCTGATGAGTCGGCAATAGTCCGAAGTCTGAACGCTTGCTCCGCAATTGTGCGTAGACTTAGCTCGAAAAGCGGTGGAAAACCGCACATGGAAAAGTTTTCCAAGTGTTGGGTGAGCATAGAGAGCCCTCGATAGAGGAGCTTCTTGGCACCCTCTGTGGCTGGGCGCTGTGAACGGTGCAAGCCCTGCTCACCCGAGATCAATTGCAGATAGAGCCGAAGCAGGGTGGCCACATAGGTTAACCCTAGGTAACTCTGATGCGGAAGCAAGGCCGAGTGCCGTTCTGGATAGATGCTTTCCGGTCCAATCAGTCGGCATCCCAGAGGTAGGCAGCCATCCCACTGCTTGAGCTCCATGACCAATTGCTGCGCAAAAGTGGCCATGTTGTATCCCGAAGACATGTGACGGGAAATCTTATTGAGGACGCTCGCCAGCTCAACCAAGCGGTTGAAGCAGCTCAGGGCCAAGAGTGGTCCTCGGCGCGGTGTGTTCTTGCTGCCCTGTGGAGCACCCGTTGGTGGTAAAACGTCCACCCAGGAATTCCACTCTTCCAATCCATCCTCTTCCAACAGGCCCACCGCAGTAAGGTCATTTGAAGGCATTGCTGGACTCCGTGAAAGACGGAAAGAGAGCAATGAATCGACTACAAAGCATCCCAAAAAGACCGCTTTACCTTGTCTGAGTTCATCAGACCGCCGATTGTCGGACACAGTTCCAAGACCCACGGAAACCGCCATACGCACTGCTTGGCCGCTCAATAGCCAAGCTGCGGTCCAATCTTCAAGACCCATATTCACCAAGGCCAGCAGCAGCAATGCCTGAATGTGACCGGGTTCATAGCGTTCTTTCTCCGTGGGGATGAGGTTTCGCGAGACGGCATAGAATTCCTTCGCCAGAGCGACGGTTCCAGCGGGACCGGCCCGTGGAATTGTTCGCGATTGAGTGATAGTGTAACTCAAAATTGCCCACAGAGCGGCGTGATCACCGGACCCAGGTGAAGCTGCGGCAATAGAGAAAGGAGCGTTGGCATAAAGGTAAGAAGCGCGAAGAATATTATGCTTCACGACCACAGGGAACCACGAATGGGTGATTGCAAAGTAGATATCGAGTAGCTGCGACGTCTGAGGCGGCAACTGCAGCATATGGGGACTAGGTCCAGGGATACACCGACCATCTGTCTCTTTTGATAATCGAGCCCGCTTTACACCCGGCGATGCGGCAAAGGGCTCAACTACACGCGGAGCACCTGGACCGAGCGGAGAAGTGCGAGCTACTCGGAACCCCCATTGACTGTCGGGGTCATCATCTTGCGGGTTCCGCGATCGCTTCCCAGTCGCCAGTCCCGGCGTATCGGAATTAGACAGCAATTTCTCCAGCGCACCAAATAGCCGACTCGTTTTCCAACATTCGTGCAAACTTTCCGATGCACCATCGTCCGCCCACACGGATATCAGTTTCTCGCGACGGCCGGCGGACTCGGCGGTATTTCCTAACATGGCCAGCATGGTGTCCTCGAAACCGTCAATGTTGCAGATCGACAGCGCCCACAACTTTTCCAAGCCACGGACATAGCCCTCAGGGAGACCGCGTTTCTTCGCATGCGGGTCGTAGGAGCAGGACTGGCCCGATGTCTGACATGCGGAACAAGTGGGACGAATGCCGTCGCATTTATCCTATAATACACGAGGGGTCAGATTGGGAAAATAAGATATATGAGTAAAAAACTTGGCCGGACGAGACTCACTTTCTTACTGCGACAACGATCGCAAGCTCGGGAGACCCTCTTGCGCCGAGGGGCCTTACCTGATCCCTCATCCATGAAGAGGGATTTATTGGCAGGGATAACGCGCCATGTAGAGAAGATAAGGGGACCAGCAGCTTTTTATTGAAAGTTCACGATAGTTGAGAGCACTGCCAGGGCGGGCCGTATGCAAAACAAGCCGAAACTCGGAATGAGGTCGAAAAAGAGCAAGGCCGCAATTCGAAAATCGGAGGATCAGAGTCTAACTCAAAATACCATGTAGCCTGCACGGCAAAGGTTACAATTAGGCAGGCCGAGGGAGGACCTCGGACGCGAAGTTCGGGATGTGAAGGCACTCGGAATTATCGGGGGATCTCCACCTCCCCACAGTTATCCCACATGTCCGTAGGGACTTACTGTGACTTTGAAGCTGCGTTAGATTTAGGCATCGGACTATTCTGTACAGAAGGCTCTAGAAATAGAGATCTTTTTACGCTGATGACCTAGCAACTGATGAGGTACCAAGGCATTTGAGTACCTAAGGCATCAAGGCATCATGGCAGACATTCCCGATGCATAGCCGACCAAAGCCGACGAGGCTTAACCGGATTCGGACTATAAAACCTTGAACGCAGTATCTAGTACGTATTCAAGCAAGATAAGGTCTCGTATGGCTGCTATCTGTCTAGTTTTCTTGAGTCTATATCAAAGACCCCATCATCCAAAAGGTGCAGTGATGGTCCATGGTGGTCCAAAACAAAAGCGAAGATCTTTGAATCCATAATCTGCTTCTAAATTGTTGGTGAGGTACACACAGAGTCATCTCCCGAGTGACACATTCAAGAAAATGGGTTCCGTGCCTCGATTGACTCAAAGTCTGTCGAGGCATTAGTATTCGCCAAAATGATCCACCAGTGCAGTCCAGTAGACCAATTCCTTGCCATTAAACAACTGCCCTCACAGAGCGGCCCCGTCAAATATCCACTCTTACTCGACTTCAATTAGCCTATGCTTGATACAACTATCGCCAAGCCAAGCCACGGTTGCGCAGACTTGGACTCTGTCATTACATTTGAGTCGTTCCAAAAACGACGATTGTTGATCGAGTTTCCTATTTGATCCACTATCATATTCCACAGCGAGTTACGTTGGACCACCTATGGATTAAAACTCTTTCGCTCGTCAAAATAAGGGTCAAAACTCAGCGTAAATGGCGGCAGTGCGGGTGGTCCTTGCTATATGCCGATTCCAAGGAAATTGAGGCAAATTTGGAAGTAAATAACGAAGATAGATACAGGTAAAAAAAAAAGGCTAGATCATCCAGTTCTTTTGGGTATGATGAATGCTATATAGCATAGATAGAGCATTGACATAGTATGAACGATAAACAATTATCAAAAGCCGCTACATATTGACCAAGTCAACGAAGGGACATGTAGAATTTTTGTGAATGTAGATCCCCTAGGATTGACAACAGCACTCTACTGAGGCATCAGGAGGACCTCCCTTTTATGAAGCCTGCCGTCACACACTTGACAAAAACCGACGACGCTTATAACGACCTCGGAAGGTCGTAGAGTGAGCATGCTGATATGAAAAGTCTGTAGGTATACTATGAGACTGGACTTATTCCTTGAGTCGCTCAATCACAATGGACTCGGTATGGCCGAGAGACGCCAATCACCCAAGTACTTCCGATGCAGCTTTGCTTTTTCTATGCTATTTTCTTGATATCCCCATCATCCCGCATGAATAACTTCCCTATAGAGTAGCACTAACACTGCGAATTTCAAGACACCTTTCTTATCTTTTTTTCCGAAAAACGCTTCTACGAGTAGTTTAGTGGATCAGAAAAGTGAAAAGTTAAGATTGAAATCCAGGCCCAATTCCCAGGGTTGAAGAAATGAGGCTTTTCAAATTCCATCTCTAGTACGCCGTATACTCCTTGCAAGGTCCCACTTGAAAGATATATGGCATAGTCGCTGTATCTTTTTTTTTCTAACAATTACAAGTCAGCAAGTTCAAGGAGTCAGTCACTTACTTATGCCAGTGTGATCTGAGGTAGGTGACTGCATGAGGGGAAAGCAGTGCCGTTGATCTATGCTCCATTCCGTCGATCGATACTATCCAGGACGCCGCGAAATCAGCAAACAGTATATCAAATTTCCTGAACCACCACTGGATCTTGCTTTAGGATTAAACCCTATGCTTGGAACACCGAACTCATCGGTTTAGGTGAGAATGCGTTTTATTATAGACTCATTACATGATAGGGACTGCAGAAGGTCCGGGGGTGGATTGGATCTCACCTCACAACAATCATATTTGTAGCCCCTAACTATACGGAGGTGCTTTTTGCAAGAATCCCAATCCTAATTGATATGTGCCTATACGCTTTGATACCCTGTTTTTAACTACGTGTTGCAACATGGTGTTCGACATTTTACGCTGGTTCGCTCTTCTCGCGTGAGCAGTCAGGAACACTCCGGCATTTTGCGGGCATCACGCAAGCTCCACGAAAGATAATATAGTGAAGTGATACCTTGATGGGTTTTCTGTGGTTGTCTGTCAAAGTAACAACCCGCTTTTCTAGCCCCAAAGTCAAGGGGTCAAGCAGCTTCGGTAACGACGGGAGTGACATTCGGTGGCTTCTGGACCTAGGGATATCCGCTCGGAGGTATGAGTGAAATCTTTCATGGCGCATAAAGGGCCCGAACGTCCAACATCCGACTCGGTGATCGAAGGCGTTATCGAAAGTCGCTGATACAGCTCTTCCTTCTTGTGGAGGTTCTAGTTCCCGAAGCTGGCCTATGTAGCCCGCGACCTGGTTTAGGATGTGCTGCTTTTAATCTTGCGATAGGCAGCCCCAGTGCCATGCTTTCTCAAGGCTCATTCCACAGACGAACTCCATTTCGATATAGAGCCTATCACCAATATTAATGAGGCGTTAAAGACTTGAGGGAATTGATGTGTGCTCAGCGACGTATCTCAAGGCTTCTAGCTCCGGCATGTGACATGGCCCTTTGATCATTTTACGCTGACTGGGACCCCATGTGGTCCAAGTTTGTCTGTGTATAAACTGATAGAGTGACAAGTTAGAGGAAAATGGAACACAGAGTCGTGAAAAGACCAACTTCACCGTAACGTTTGGGTATTTTTTTGGACCGAGCGAATTTTCCAGCCCTTCTGATTCTACTGTAAATAATTTGTGCATGGTTATGACTAGTCAATCAGGCTGACTATCTCATTTTTACCCAAGACACCGCTATCCAAGCCACGATCGATTATCTATCTCCTTGCAGATATGGGGTAGAGGTATCTATGAAGAGTCTGTTGATCCGCACGTTGACCTTCGGACCAACTTCCAATATCTGTAGAACTTGAGATGATATGCAGTCCAATTCACTGCCGAGAGAGGTATACGAGATCTAGTGGAAAAGCCTTTTGCCGGGAACAAACTGGCCGGCAACTTCCCAGTTCCTCATTCCGGGGAACATTCACAAACTTTGGCACATTATCTGGGGTATTGTTCTACTAACAGACTTAGATTTCTCCATCCATTGCCCTATCGATTGTCCACATGAACAGCCATCCCTTCTCAACATCCCGCATTCGATCTCTAGATGCGATTCTATGCCTCGAGTGCATTTGATCATGGCGTTCGTGCACTCGACATAGACCCCAACTGATTCATCGCCTCTCACCATGCTCGATTCCAACCCTTTCATTCCCCCTCCGATGGACGCCAAGTCCGACATCCCCGCATGTGCTACCAAGGAAGCTGATCCCACCATGTTCCGCCCGGAATCCGCCCCTCGCATCTTTGCTCCCAATGCATCCCTCGTCCTGATCGGCATCCGCGGATGTGGCAAGCGCTCGCTAGGCTTCGTCGCCGCGACCGCGCTGAAGCGACGATTCATCACCGAAGACCACTACTTTCGAGAAGTCACGGGCGTCACGCGGCAGGAATACCTCAAGCGGTATGGTAGCCAGGAATTCCAGCGCCGGGATATCGAAGTCCTAAAGATGATGCTGGATAACCACCGCACGGGCTGCGTCATGGAGTGTGGGCTGGCTAGTCTGACGCGACCTGTACAGGATCACCTGCGTCAGTATGCCCGGTCCAACCCCGTGGTCCATTTGCTGCGCGATATCGATCGCATTCAGCAATTGCTCGGTTTAGAGGATCAGGCGGTACGATTGTTCCGGGAAGGGGACCCGATGCATCGGAAGTGTTCAAATTTTGAATTCTACAATCTTGAGGATCAGACTCGTGCGTTGGACAATGGGAGCCCAGACTGCCGGTCTGCGGATTATTCTTTCAAGTTGCAAGAGGTGAAAGAGGATTTCACGCGGTTTGTACAGTTCATTACTGGACTCGATGTGAACTTCTCGAGCTATGACTCGCCGTTCGTTCTGCTGGAGACACCACCAGAGCTGCGCTCTTTCACCCATGCTATCTTTGTGCGATCTTCAGATTTGATCGCCGACAATGTCAACCTGACTGAGCTGGAGTCTGGTGGAGATGCTATCGAGCTGTGTGTCGATCGCTGGAGCCCAGATATGGCAGCCACTGTCAGTAAACAGGTCTCGGTCCTGCGTCGAAATGCGCGGACGCCTGTAATTATCTCTGTTGACACTTCCTCTACCGGTATCGACTCCCTGGAGCCAGCCACCTCTTCTTCTCGTCCTTATTTTGAAATAATCGAGCATGCTCTACGCCTGGGTGTGGAATATCTTGTCGTAGACCTGACTCAAAACCGATCCCGGCTGGTTAGGGCTATCAAAGGTCGTGGGAATACCAAAATCATTGGCCAGCAGGTCTTTGAACCATCTTTTCCCACCACATGGGACAGCACGGGCTGCGTCACCATATACAACGAAGCTGAAAAGCTCGGCTGTCAGCTCGTCCGCCTCCTTCGAGTTGCAACAAAGCGAGAGGATAATGCCGCTGTGATTGAGTTCTCCAATAAAATCAGATCACTTCCAGGAGATCACCCACCGCTCATTGCCTACAATATCGGCACTCTGGGCCGCACCTCGCAAATTTTTAACTCGATCCTTACTGCAGTAACACATCCAGCGATCACCCAGTCCGCAGAGAATAAACACGACCCGCAGATAACCTCTCGCGATGCCGTCCGCGCACTCTTCGAAAGTTACGTGCTTGACCCTCTCAAGTTCTACATCTACGGGGAGAACGTCGCCTACAGTCTATCTCCGGCAATGCACAATGCGGCACACCGACACTGCGGTATGGGCCACACCTATAGTATCCCGGATTCACCCTCTCTCGCAGTCTTAGACCGACTGGGTCGAGATCCGCATTTTGGGGGTTCCAGTGTTGTGCAGCCATGGCGTGTACAGGTATACCAAAAGCTCGCCTCGAAAAGCCGACACGCCGAAGCCATCGGGGCAATCAACACAATCATGCCGCTCCGCGGATACGCAAACGGAACGATGTTCCCACTCCAAGAACAAGCTAGCCGACGCAACCAAGCCGGGTGCGTGCTGGGCTGGTACGGTGAGAACACCGATTGGGTCGGGATCATGACGTGCATCAGGCGCCATCTCTCGCCGCGCAACGCAATCAGCGCAAAAACAACAGGCCTAGTCATTGGCGCGGGCGGCATGGCGCGGGCCGCCATCTACGCCATGCTCCGACTTGGGTGTCGGAAGATCTTCATCTACAATCGCACACAGTCGCGTGCCGAGGAAGTTGCGGGGCATTTCAACTCCTGGGCGTCGTCGCAGGCGGACTCGGCCGAGGTGGTTTGTGTCTTGCACTCGCTTCGGCAAGACTGGCCTGTGGATGCTGCTCAGCCTAGTCTAGTTGCCTCTTGTGTACCGGCTGATCCAGACCGAGATGAACCACCGGCGAACTTTGAGATGCCGGTGCAGTGGCTTGGGAGTCCTACGGGGGGTGTGATACTCGAGGTGAACCTTTTCCTTCCTTCGGGAAGAGTTTATTTCTTGTCACACGTACTGATTGGATTTAGTTGGCTTATAAACCCCTCGATACACCACTTTTGCGACAAATGCGCCGAGTCCGGAGCGAGACTGGGCGGCCTTGGGTCTTGTCTGACGGATTGGAGAATGTTACTGAACAGGGCATTGCTCAATTTGAGTTAATGACAGGCCGCAAAGCGCCTCGGCGGCTTATGACCTACGAGGTTTTACATAATTATGTGGGTGACAGTGGGCGTTTCGACGAGAAAGCTATTCAGGCTCGTTTGGATGGCGTTGGGTCTCCGGTGACTCGGGAAAAGGAGTAGAGGGAATTTCTTTTTGATATGGTTCTGGTCGTTTTTTCCTGACTTTTTGGGTCGGTTTTGTATCTATGAAACAGTCTCACACAGTTTATACCAAGACGAGACTCGAGCTCTCCCAAGATTAATCGCCACGTGAACGCCCGATAACACTCTCCTATCGTCACACCGCCCAACACATGGGCTGTCCAAGGTTCTTTTGTTTAGGTCTCCTCGTCAGCTTCACTTCACTCAAAGACCCCCCCCCTCCCCTTCCCCCTAAAGGCCCCCTCGGTGTGAAATAGCCACCTAAAATATATTCAGATTGGCTTGAACACGGTATACAACCACCAATGCCAGGATTTTCGCCAATGCAGACCGACTCGATAACGGCAACATGGAAGAAACGCAAGTGGGACCATGAGGAGCCTAGAAGTCTAACACGCCCGTAAGTCTGACAATGCTTCTATCAGGGTGAATAGATAGACTGATATGATAACCAGAACAACATATGTCTCATCCTGCCGAGTGGATCGGCCTGAATACGATGGTGGCTGCTCGTTGCCTCTGTCACGACACCCTGACGGAACAGACATCTCCTTTCGACCACGCTGCCTCCCTCGAAAGCGCCGACACGTCCAAGGCCCTTATCTTACACTGCCATCCCACCAGCACCAGCATCAACAACAGCTCCAGCTCCAACAATCTCCAACCCACCTTTCCCCAAACGTTTACGGCGCCCCAAACCAAGACCCATACTCACCCCCGGTCTCCCCTAAAACTCTCGTCCCATTGCCCTACCCATCGCAACAATCCGCCTCCCCCTCCGCGCTCCGCCCTTGCCACATCTGCCATCGCCGGCCAACAACCCGGCAAGTCCTCGACGCCTACGCAGATTGTGATCTCTGCCACGAACGGGCATGCTTCATCTGTCTCCGGCAATGCGATAGCGCATCCTGTGGCGGGACTTTCGGTCTGCCAGAAGTGCATATGCACGTGCACATGAGCTCAAATGACGACGGCAGCTATGATACTAGCGAGGCGCCGAGGAGGAAAATCTGCTCCAGCTGTGCTGTGGAGGAAATTACCGAGACTGGGGCGGAGATTGTGCGTTGTGTTGACTGTGTGCGTGGTACGGGCTCGTGGGCTTCAGCGGCTATTCCGTCTGACTGGGCTTTGGATGACATGCGGCATGAGGACATGACCGGGTAAGGTTATCTTACGGGGTTGATTTACTCGCCTTTGTGGAAGATTTGAAGATGGACACGACAGTATGACACATATGAAACTACGGTATAACATTCAGCACGACCTCAAGGTTGTTTTTGCTGCTCCTTTGGGGGAGCTCTTTTTTTTTCGGAGTTTGATGTTGGGACTGGACTGGACTGGGGGCACTGGCTGGGATTGAAGTGGGATGGTGGGATCTTATTGGCATTTTATATTGGACTTGTAGCATGGCGAATTAACGATCTTTTTTTACTTTGATATAATAGCATATAGCATAATGATATCATCTTATATACTCCATCGTCCAAGTCGATGTGCATATAGACTAGACTGGTCTCTATTTATATCAAAAGGTAAGGACCAAACGAAACCAGACTACGGTGAGAGTAAGAGTAAAGACACAACGCATATACCAACAAAGGATTGGAATTGTCCCATAGGTAAAAAAAGAACAACGCCTATAGATGCTGTCCTGGTGGGACCAAGACTGAGCGGGTAAGCCCTCAGTCTTGTTCTCATCTGGACGAAACAAAGCAAAAAAGCCCTATGTGTATTACATGTGCACGCCAGGGAGCTTCCTGGTAATCCAGTTAGCCGTGAGCAGTCAAATGAAATTCCTTTGAGACAGAGTGTTCATGTAGTTCTTTGTTTTGTCGGGTTATTGCCCTAGTGACACCATATACTGGAGGCTGATGTTAGAACGGATGTATAGAAACATAGATTAAATGCATTAAAGCCATGCTAGAAATGTAGACCCATAGAACACAACATGAAAATGGCGAGGGTATTGCCAAAATGAAAACCCCATACTCGTCCACATGCAAATTCATTTCTTCCCACTCTCAATCTCAATCCCCAATCCCTCCAGCTACCCCTACCTGCCAAACCTCATCTGGGCCCCAGCAAAGTGCCAAAGACCACGCATATACCCTTGATACTCCACCGCCTCTCCGTCCCCACTCAGTCCATGACTACGCCCGCCAGTGCAATACATCTCTGTCAACCTCAACTGCCACGGTGGATACCCATCGAGCTTAAGGAACGGACCAAAAACAAGCAACAGATCCGGCTCGGGTTTCAGCACCGTATCCGATAGCGTAGGGTCCATAGTCAGTGGCTGCGTAGTGATCTCGCTGATCTCAGCGTCGACCAACTCCGGGGTGATATCTTCCGGGGAAAGCTTGCCGTTCTGGCTCATCTCCGCCAGGGTTTTGGTAAGGTCGACAAGGGTCTCGCGGCCGTCCGTTGAGGAGAGGAGGAGGATGGTCAGAGTTTGAGGTTGGCTTGTGGTGTCGGGGGTTTTTTTAATGGGTGCACTACGGTGCACTGGGTGGTGAGGGGCGTAGATTTGCAGAATGGGTTGATGGCTCGGGGTGCCGTAGTAGGAGGCGAGTTTGGTAGTTATAATTTGGTGAAGGGCTGGGATGCAGGATTTTAGGATGCCTAGATAGTGGGTTAGTATTGCTGTGTACATTATCCTGTACATTGGGATAGTGGACGATAGGGAGGAGATGTTCATACCGGATTTTTCGTATACACTGAGCTGGGAAATGCCCGAGCACGAACTCCACGCCGCCAATTCAGCAACCTCATCCATCAACACCGCAAGAGCATCATCTTCCTTCCGCAGCCTGAGAATTGTACTCAGATGCTGCGGCAAGCGCTTTAGATTCTTCACATCTTTCCGAATCAGCTCGGGGGTGCGGTGGTGGTAATAGACGATTGCGAAAATGCGGTCAACGACGGCGTGGTACGCCTGCAGGAGACGCACGACGATGCCGAAGATGATGTGTGTGATGGCATAGGCGAAGTAATAGATTTGCGACTTGACGAATGTGCGGACCGGTGTTTTGCGCGTCTTGCGGCGCTCGCTGGTTATCGCTTTGGGTGCTGGTTTTTGTCGTAGCTCGGTAGGGTCGGGAAGATAGCTCTTAAGGAGGGTTTCGCGCTCTTCTACGCTGAGTTTTGTGCCGCGGGCGCGTAGATCGTCGCGTAGGATCTCACGGTCTCGTTGGGAGACCATTGTTGTGGTGGGTGAAGAAGGGAAGAGGAGGAGTGGGTGTTTTGGAGGAGTTGGTGAACAGATATACTAAATGAGTAAACGTTATAACTATGGCTATTTTCCAAGCTATTCAAAGCTTTGGAAGGTGGTTCTATTCATTTCATTTTTAATATGTCGAGATCAATTTCGACCATATATCTCACTGCCTAGTAATGGATGGTGGTATACGTACATGTATAGAAACAGAGCATGTGCGTGGCAGTAAATCTCCTCGAACCAAATCCGTGTCCCTCAGCTTTCCCCGGATTCCTTCCATCCATTACTTCAATTACTCCCACAACCGTCTGAGGAAGAGACACCATTGTCCAGCTCTGCAGGCAGCTCATGTCTGTCCACTATCAATCATGATGGACAATGCATCCATCAACACGAGCTCCGCCCGCACCGTCTTCCCCCAAGGGCCCAGTTTCACCCTCGAAGACTTCTCCGGCCGGGATTTCATCGTCAAGGAGTTTATTGAAGCCCTATCCGACACTGCCATCTCCAGTCGCCGCTCATTAGTCGGTACCGCCGGCGCTGCCAATCAACCCTTCGACCCTAAACCCCTCATCCGCACCTTCGAAAGCGCCCAACGTCGTTTGAGCGAGCTCTCTGGAGATCTCGAGCTTCGCGAGAATGAACTCTCAGCAGCTGTCCGACGTGCAGAAGCGCAACATGGCCAGAACCTCAACACCCTCGGCCATAAGCTACGCCACACCATCGAAAACTTTCAGCAGCTTGACACGTCTCTGAATGCCCCCGGCCGTGAAAATCCCGCAGGGACTGGGAACATGGCAGTCGAGACAGGAAAGCGTCTAGAGGAGCTAGACCGACAGCGGCGACGAGCTTTGGACGCCCATTTCCTCATCCAATGCTGGGACGGAGTATGCAATCGGGGCGAGATCTCGCTATTAGAGGGCCTGCGGCGATCTGGTACAGGCGAGGCCAAGGTGCGCTCCGCACATATTGCGCGCCAACTGCTGCGCATTAGTCAACGCCTGGACCCGCAGAGCTGGCAGGAACACCGAGCTCGCTCGAACGGTGGGTACGGGAATGGCTCTTCATCTGAAGATCTCAGCGAGAGCAACACGCCGCGGCGGAATACGCGAGAGATCATTGAGAAGTTCTCCGAGACGCTAGAGAAGGATTTGCTGAAGCAGTTTGACGATTTCTACCGCAAGGCTAACTTTGACGGTATGAGGGATTGCGCAACTGTGTTGCAGGATTTCAATGGCGGTGCTAGTGTAATTGCCTTGTTCGTCAACCAGCATCAGTTCTTTATTGAACGCAGCCAGCTGGTGACAGAAGAGATCGGTGGCGATCCGGAGTCGTGGGAGAAACTGGCGGATCCGGACGCGGAGCTTCCTGGTGTTGAATCCAGCCTTCAGTCGTTGATCGATGAAGTCAAGGTTGTGGTCCAGGAGGAGTCTGCTATTATCAGGCGGGCATTCCCCTATTACGAGCAAGTCCTGGGTAAGTTCTTACAGCGGGTCTTCCAGCAATCTATCCAGCAACGACTGGAAATGGTGCTGGAGAAAGCGGCTGGAGTGTCGTCACTAGCGTTCCTCCGCTGTCTACAAAGCTCCCGGGGCTACATCAGTGCTTTGATCGAAGATTTAAAGTCGCACGGGTTGACCGAGCATCCGGACCCCGTTTCTTCTCAGACAGCTGTGTTGCTAGATCAGCAGCTGGAGGAGCTTTTTGTGCCTTATTTCATTGGATCATCTTACCTTGAACGCGAGAAGCGGACACTAGAAGAACTTTTCAATGCGGTTCTATTCAGATTTACCTCCTACCATGCCCGTCGCAAGAAGGCAGCAACGACTTTTATGGCCTCGCTATCCCGGGCTGGGTCGGAACTCCTTTCAACTATACGAGATTCATTTATCAGCCGGTTGGACTCACCGGAGGTCTCACCCGTCCTGCGAACAGTCCTGCTCAGCGTAGCCAAAATAGGCGATACGCTGGAGACAACTCGATTGACCGAAATCAAGCTCACAGAAGAAGATGGACAACCTAATCTTAGCGACGCTAAGCGGATGCTGAAGTGGCTGGCCGAAGCCGTGGGCCGAGGACTCGAGCTCAGTGTCAACAGCGATACCCCCAAAGATGTCTCCGCCTTGCTCAACCTCCTTCTCCTCACGATGGGAGAGGGATACGTTGATGTCTGTCTAGACACCGCTCTGGAAGCGGCTACGTCGCAAGAATCCGGCAAGGCCGAGCCCGACTTTTCCTATCTCTTCTCGGCTCGCACTACGATCAGTATTACCACATTGGTGGTGATGTGCATCCATGCGGTCCTTCTCCCTCTGTCAGCCGCGAGCATCACCACCCGCAGGGATATGGAGAAGCGCATCAACCAAACCACCGCGCGCATCGAGGACAAATTCAACACTATCGAGCAGAAAACCATTGACGCTACATTCGCCTGGGTTAGCAAATTGCTATCTGGCCAGAAGAAGAACGACTTCCGGCCCAAGGAGAGCGATAACACCACATGGTTAGAGATGCTACAGACCCCAGTACGTTCCATCCAACATCCACCCCCACCAAGAAGCCTACTAATCCCAACAGACCTGCGCATCAATCACCTCATTCTTAACCCGTCTCCACAACGTCGCGCGCACCTCCCTCCCGTCCACCGGCTCTAATGTGCGCCAACTGCTGACCGAGATAGCCCTCGGAATCCGCAGCCTCCTTCTCGAACACTTCAAACGGTTCTCCGTCAGCGGACCTGGTGGTTTAATGGTAACCAAAGACATGACACAATATGCAGAACTCTTCAGATCTTGGGACATCGACAATGAGACCAAAGGCCCCGGTGGTGCGCTGGACGTGCTACTGGAAGTCGGCAGTCTATTTGTGATTGGACCGGAGGCTCTTCGCGAACGAATCCGTGGTGGTGCTGCCAGTGGCACGACCGGTGGACCTGGGGGCTCAGGACGCAATACTAACCAGGAGGGTAAGTTAAGTGTGCAAGAGGTGCGGGCTTATATCTCGCGTCGCGAGGACTCCAATACTTTTGCTATGCAGCAGGTTCTCAACGCATTGTAAGCGGAAGATCTTGGTCTGGGATGTTTATACCCTGTCGTTTTTGATTTGGTAAAAGCGGATTGTTTCTACTGGGGAATACATAAACTGGTGTAATGATGATGCATTTTCTAGTGTTTTTCTATGATTACCTTGAACAACGTGAAGATCAAAGGTACCGAAATCGGTTTGTAGATCATATAGGCGCCATCCAGGCGCCGATGCGACGGACTTTAACGCGCGCTGGATGGTGTCTTCCGGAAGGGCCTTCACATTAAATCCCCCTCCTCCAGAAGCTATCATCTTCCTTCCTCTCCTTCTAAAACTTCCCTGCTAACGCTCCTCTGTCCCAGTCTATTCTATGATATTCGGCTACACAAGCCCGGTGTTGGCAATCTGGGTGGTGATATCTTGATGCAACTCCTTTACGCGGAACCCTGTTGGCGGATGTCAGCGCACGGTTCAACATGCTCCACTACTGGTTATCTGCATGGTTATTTTTTATCTGCAACAGCCTAGCAGGGCCGAATCAAATTGAGCTGTCCCACCCTGTAACGCAAAAGCCGGGTGTTGACATGGCATTCTGATATCAACTAGCCCGCAACTCAAAAGGGTTTTGCTAGTTAGTGGTATCATGATAAAGTGGTACTTGCTGAACCAAAGCTCGTTGGTTTCACGAGTCCTTTCGTGAGAATGGTCCGGACAGCCGAACGAGTTCGACGAAGTTGAACATCTTTGTGGTCAACGGTCATCTCCAAGCTTTGCTTAAGTACGTCTAGTCTTGAGCTGTCAGAAAGACACCAAGAGCGCAGAGAAGGGCCAAGGCCATCTCTGGGCATCTTCGAAGCATGTAACGTCTTTATTTGTTCCATGTTCTTTGGTTGCTAACTCTTTTTCATCGCAGGGGGAAAAAGCGAGTCTCGTTCCACGGCTCAAAGCAGTTGTTGGGTCCTTCCTCAGTTAGGGCTGGATCTTTCCACGACGTCGCATCTGGTTAAAGGTATGACATTTCCTATATAGATTCATGAAGGGATTCAGAGTCTCTTGGCTGGAAATCTTTATGGCAGGCAGCATTGATTCCGTGATTCCCAACATCCACCTCGGTCTAGTGTGAATAAAAAGCCATCTTGGGCATTTCGTCATTGATGACCATGATCCTACCATGCCCACCATGCCGCTACATCATCTTGGTGATCAATCAAGACTCCAAAAGACGGCCTTGTCCAAGGCTGGCCATATCACCCAGCGACGTGGACAAATTCTATGTTTGGTTGAGTCGTCATCGAAACCTCCTCCATTCAACCTCGCGTGCTCAACGCCGATATGTATATGCATGCAACAAAGCTCAAGCAATGAAATCGGTCGAAATTTCGGGATCTTCAAGTTGGCCACTTTGCCCGTATCCATGCTTGTTTCGCGGAGAGCTTCATAAATCGTCTTCAGTTAGGCGATATTCCAAAGGGTTCAATGCGGGCACTTTTGAAGAAATCTCGAAGAATACCTAAGATATGATGCTTTATCTCTTGATGCTCATCAGCACATCCATGAGAATTGTTGGTCTTCCTGGAAGGAGCACTGTTCCTGAATACCAGTTCGTCACTTCCTACCTGCATCTATATCTATTCATACACATGACGCCTCACTACGGTTGGTCTCCCCCCTCTATCCCTAAATTATTATAAACCCGCTGACCAGTGACGCAGTAAATATATCCTTAAACCGGCCATGCCTCACCTTCGCGTAACGTCGATCATGGCTCAATGAAACCAGCCTCGATCGGGACTGGACGGTCGTTGAGGTAAATTTGCCGTCTCTAGGCATGAAAATCTTCGTTCTTAGCTTGGTGTATGCCAACTACTTTCTCATGAGCGGGCTCTCGCGGCATGGGGTATTTGATAGCTTCTCGTGGACCGGGCCGAAATGAATGCTCCATCTGCCCTAGCGACCAGGACACCGGCTATCTTGCAGCCTCCTCGGTGGGTGTATGAAATCTCAAATCACGTGAACTCGACACTGCCAAGATGTGGTTCCTAACGGATGTTAGGGCCTAATATATAGGGGCAATTTGAAGCCGCAAACAATGCAATGAAATCGAGGATCTCATTTTACTAGACCAGCCATTCGAAATGGATGACTCGCCGTGTTAAGTTTAATTTCATCCGGGAGACTCCCAGGATGGGAACTGCTAGCGATGTTGGGAGCAAAAGGAGGCATCAATTACCGCTCATCGAGATTTCACTTTCAGGGAAATACCAAAACGGCGAAGAACAGTCTTCATGGCCTCGGCTAAGCCAGAATGCTTGCAGGAATGAGAATTATTGACTACTTTACAATGACCAGCAAGTGAGGACCCCAACTCTTATGCTTGGAGGCACAGAACAGGCCTTGTTGAAAATGACTCCGAGACATCAGATGCAAGAGCGGATTGAGAGGGATGGAAGCAGCCTGCTCTCAAAGCACCGAGATCCACTTCCTTGATTTACAACATGCTGTTCGAAATGGCGCATCTTGGATGGTCTACTCGGGCTTCTCCCAGTGACATCCTCTCGTGGCTGGTTCATCTCCATCGTGTTGGTCATAGCGGACCGTTCTCTCTAAAAGCCATGGATTCTCTCTCCATTGTCGGTTTCATTCTCTCCAACTATGTGCAGAGACTTGAACATATAGGCTCAGTTTTGTCGAGCCTTCATACTAAGGTTGCACCGCCGCCAGCAGTGGTATTCAATTGCACCTGGAATACACCACGTTAAGCTCAAGTCGTGTTCTTTCTAGGAGTATCCCTCAAGGGATACCAAGAGATTTAGACATGCAATGAGCAGGGGCATGAAGCAGGTAATCAGGAAAGCATTTTTCTCTTATGAACCATACTGCTAGAGTGGTTGTTGTTGGAAATTAATTGACTTCCCTCTTTACTCCCTTTTTTCTCGTCTAGCATCAGTAGATAGGTTCCTCTCTTCTTCACGCAACTACAGATTTTCCAGGGCTCTCTATTGCTACACAGTAGATCTCTAGTATCTGTCTCTCAGCTTTACAATGTTTGATCTGACAGAGAGAAAATACCATGAGAATTCAGCCTTTTAACTCAGATCCCAATGAACTAGCTTTCATTTTAGGCATGTTCTTACTTGTTGCTCTGCACCGAGAGAAGCAATTTCATATATCGCTGGTCCTGCGTGTCTGCTTGTGCCATTACCTCACAGCCTTCGCTTGGTTTATCCACAAGCAGGTGGTGGAATTTGAGAACCATCTGAGAACTAGGCTCGCTCATCATTGATGGGCCGTCCGGTGTCCTGGTTTCTAACAAGCCTTCGACCCTGATCAAACCAAAACCTCTTATTTTCGGTATTTCCATCGAGCTCAGCTCTCTCTATCTGCATTTTCTCTATGTTTCCTCTTCTTTTTCCTTCTTTTCCGTCCGTTTTTGACCATGCTTTTTGTGGCCTTCTCACCAATGTCAAACCTATCTTTTCTTCGGTAGAATCCATGTTCAATTTTGCACGCTTATAGAAGAGAGATTCTATGTTGGGTTAAATATAGAATGTATAGTAGCAGATAACTCTGCGTCTTATTTTTAGGTGTCTAAGATCTTATATGTCTCAATAATCCCTGTACTGGATAAAAGGGCTAGAACTTCGCTCTTGTGGAGTCAAGTTACGTCTTTAAAATCCTACCAAGACCAAGACTAGGAACACACTGTAAACAATTTAACTGTTGAAACTACTCCAACGATTCTCCCATTTAAAGATCCACCTCTTCCAAGGTTTGTGGCTGAACAACCAAAGACGGACCGAAACTCTACCGGTGACGCCTTCCATGGTTCTGAAATCGATAGTTTGGACTGTTCCTCGTTTTCTTCGTCCACTTCGTCCACTTTGTCCTCGTCGACATGCCACTGTGGAAAGGTCATTGCTGATGACCGTAGTACTTTGTCCAAACTAAATTCGTTTTTCAAGAGGCATGACCTGCACATTCATCATCTTCGGCAGTTGAAACATGTGCATTTGTCGATGTTGAGATCAAGGTCAACACTACAAATGCGAACCGGAGCAGGTCTATAAACCCTCGTCCACCTCTAAGCTCTTTTCATCCCTCCCAATCTCATTCATAGCCCGCCCTTCAGTCTGTGGAATAGTGCTCTGCGTTTCAAATTGCAATGTGCATCCTCTACTTCGTCACTGTACCAGTTTGCGCGATCCTATGCGCAGCGTCATCCAAAGCCGACTGGGGACCGAGATGCAGTTGAAAGGTTACTTAGTTTCGAAAAGGATTCAAACTTGAGGACGTCAGTTGGGGAAGATGTTATTCCACTTGAAGGAGGTATGCTAGGCAGGGTCATTGGGAGGAAGCTGACAATTACGAGTGTTCAGGCTGGGAAGAACAAGATGACGGGGGGGCGGAAGATGGGAAGGGTGGGTGAGGTTGAACATACCAAGTAACTAGATGTGGATGTGGTTATATAACATCGACTGTACATGCAGATAATTACACGTCTATATGCACTTCCGTACCAAAGAATTTCGATGTGACACTTCATTTTGCGCAGTTTTCTTGTCCATACTTCATGTACTCATTAGAAGCCCTTATTTGATAGGGAATAGTGTTGTCTCACGTTATGCGATGACGATCTCTCGACTGTTCTTTGCTAGATTGGCATCATAACCGGAACGAGAGATCACACGAGTCTTCCGTGATCTTATCTGTTTCAATCTAGCTGAATCGGTATATTATTGCCTACGCCGTACGTCATACTGCGATTGGCATAATCCTTCTGACCGGGACAGAAGTAGATAGTATGGCTACTGTGGACTGCATCACGGGGACTTGCATCAAATCCCTTGTATCCTCCTTGAAGCTCACTGGAGATTGTACTTCCTACAGTGTCAGCGGTGAACATCCCAGGTAATTTCTTCCACATGTAGAAAAAAATGGCACTTGCAGATGATAGATCATACCTAAAAGCCCGAGTTTGCACGCCTCGACGTGCCACGAGTCCAAATGAAGGGCCTCGTTTTATTTCATGCAATTAAAGTTTTCTGCATTAGCCCAATGCAAGGGGATTGGGAATTTGGATTGTTCTAGAGGAATGATCGGGGACTTTTTTGAAGTCATTGCTAGGAACCTTGAGCCGAAGTATTCCCACTGTCCATTCTAGAGATCTTGTCATCGACATAGATGCCTTTTACCTGTTGTTAATTAAATTCGAATCAATATTAGGGCACAAAAGGAGTGTGGAGCAGATCGTTTTTATGCAAGCGCTATCGGAACAATCGCCGATGAGATGTACTCCATACATACTACACGATGTATGATTGTATTTTCAAAGCCACCTCAATCCAGCCCAGGCAAGTCATTGGCTCCTAGTAATCTCCGGATTACAGTTTCGACGAAGACAATTTCATTAAGCTGAGTTTGCTATAGATCATGCTAGTTTACAACAGTACAACATATGAGCTATCCAGTTAAGTGTCACAGTTTGGATAGTTTGGGTTTCTTCTTGAGTTGATCTGGTTGATTTGGTTTATGTTACTTTAATCTCGTTTAGTTCCAGTACTCCGTACTTCGTACTCCGTAGAAAATGGAGTAGTTGATATCGGGTGCCAACTACGGAGTATTGCCCTTTGTTCAAGTGGATCCCCCAGTTAGGGTTGATATAATTGGACAATTCAAAAATTTGATACATCAGCTTTTACCCATGTCATTCTCGTATCGTCTATATCCCACTGACTCCGCGATCCGATGGTACCCAGTATTTAGAATCAACAGGGAACAGGGAAGAGCACAAAGGCTTCGTTCCAGTTCTGAAATTTATCAAATTTCACTCCCGATCTACTCCGTAAAGGATATGTTTCAGACCGAAATCAGCGATCGAAGTGGAGCTGAGGTTGATCCCCTTACTGGGGCCACGTCAAAGCGCGGCGCGTAGATGACTTAACTTGGCAACGGTGGATGAAGATGGGGATGATGTTGACATGGTTTGGACGATCAGTACGGAGTAGTTCGTTTGAATTAGACAAGCTCGCAGGCAACAGAGGGGTTCGTGATGGATCATATAGAGGGGTACTCCGTATTGTAGGTATAGAAGCTAAATAGAAAGTAAGATCTGGAAATAGATCACTATCGCAGGGGCGCTAATGTACATCTTGTCATAGATCAAAGAGTTTAAAAGAGTTTTCAATCAATTGGTATATAATCCGAGTCGATCTCCTTCTTTCGACTTGCGAAGTTGGATGTCCGATTGAACCATTGCATATATACTTGTCCTTGGATTCTTATTATCGCTACTATTAATCCTATTCCACTCTATCTTATCGAATCTTTCCATCTCTTTTACATTCATATACAATGTCGACCGAGGAATTCGAGTCACTACCTCCAGCAGTCCGAAGAAAAGTAAGGGCTCACTCATTTTCCTCCACTCCTCACCGTCACACGCTCGGACTTCTCATTTCCCTCCCCAATAGCTTCCTCCACAGAAGATCATCTTGACCCAATCAAAGACTGATTTGCTCGTTTGCTCCATTTTTTTTATTTTTCTTTGTCTGCCCTTGATTGACTGTGATTTACCCCTGAGCCCCTCGGTGGAGAAAAACCCGCGCTATCGTCCGTGGCGCTACTCGTTGTCCCACTACATTGGTCAATGTTAGCGCATGTGATATTGTGTGCTCCACTTCATTCCCCCGGTATTGCATTTTCACTGCCATTCAATGTGAGCTAACTCCAACAGTTCTTCTCGAATGTCGAGCGGTTGCGTATTCGGCTAGCTCAGAGCGATCACAGTTCCCCTTCTTGCTCGACGTCAAGCTACCAGACCGATAATCGGGTCTATCAAGCCCCTCGTCTTGGGTCGGACTATCACTCGCTCGGGTTACGGAACGGATCTAGGAAGCGAGGGCTCGAGAAACGTTCTTCTCCTTCCACGAAATTACGCAAACCCGGCTCTCTTCAATTGGCCTACCTGGCCGCCCAGGCGGACTCTCAATGCTTCCACACTCTCCCCGCTAAGATCCAACAAAAGCTTTTCTCTCCCGAGGAACGTAGACGTCTGAGGAACACATATCGACAAAGTCTTATCTACGACGCGGCCGACGAAGCTTACTGTCGAGATTCCGGCCGAGATTTTGGGAACTCTCGCTCTCCCTTTGTTGCTCCCCCCTCTCAGACAACTGTAGCTTTTGTTCAGCCCTCGACCATCTTCTATCCAGACTCCGAATCAGACGAAGAAGACCCAAACATGGATCAAACCTTCCATGACAGTTTTCGGTGGATCGACGAGGATGGCGATCTCGACTTGTCTCTCGATGAGTACCACGCTCATGTGTCAGATGCTGCCACGAAAAAGCAACCCCGCTCTTCTTTCCGCCGCTCCTTATCTTTTTCCAACCACCTTCGCAAAACATTAGAGATCACACCCGCTTCAGCGTGGGGACTGCCGCGCGTTAGCCAGTCTCAGCCTCCCACACCTCTCCCCAATCGAACCCCCGAATCACGCCCATCATCCAATCACCGATTTCAACATGCTCCCAAATCACTCGCCTCGAGCATCGACCCCTGTGCGCAATACTACCAAGACCCCGATGCTCGTTTGAAATTGCGCGTGTACCTGGCATCGCCACAAAAGTTCGACGAAGCCATCGAATTCGGGTTTCCGTCGCTGGACCATAACAATAAGGAGAGTTTCGGCCCAGAGCCAATTACACCGCAACCCGCCTCCCCAAAATTTACCCTGGTGAACTCGGACTTTGGCACATTCTTTGAGGATGACGATGGTACCATGGTGGGGAGCCCGGGGGGATCGGTAGAAAGTGAACCGATTCCTTCGTCCGTGCTCACACACCGGGACGCGTTCCGACCCTTTACAGAATCGTCAACTCTTTTGCAACGACCCCAATCCTGGATGCCTGGGGCCAAGGGAGTCCCACAACGGCTTCCGGGAAACCGTGAGATGACTCTCAAAATGACACTCACTCGACCTGACCTCCGCACCAACTCCCCCACTCCTTCTGCTTCTTCCAAAGGAAAAGAAGATCCCTTGCGATTGGCTGAACTTCCACCCGCGGATCGTAGCCAGTCAATTTGGGACTCCGACTTGGACGACCAAGGTATGGTGAGGAAGATGTGGCGCAAGCTCCGATGCCGAGTTTGATTAAATGTTCTGATCGACTTCGATCGACTTCCCTTCGTTTTAATTTAAATATTTCTCGTCTTCCTGCCAACCCTGAGGTATTATTTCTTGTTCGTTTGGAGCGAACTCAGTTTTGTTCTACACTATTCTGAACATCTTCTTAGGATATCCAATCCTTGATTTCTGAGCAATGTCTCGTTTTCTTTTTCTACACGGGGTCCTTAACATTTTCATGTATCTATTTAGCAGTGTTCTGTACATATATAACCAGCTGCTGCCTGTCACTTCATCAGACTGCGTTTTCCACTTTCACTGATGTGTTTCAAGACCAACAAACTAGTCCCAACTGAGTGTATTCATCCGTGGTTGACCGCCAGTAGACTCGTGTACAAACCATGGCGCAGTCGATAGGCCCGATAGTTATTCACGTGACAGGGAGCTTCATCCGAAGGCAGAGAGAGGCCACGCCGCTCCGTCATCAGCATCACTATCTTAACTAACGACATTTCTATCTGCCTGTTCATTCTTTGCTGGCCTCTAACCATCATTTTTTTAATTCCCGGCGATTTCACGTTCCCTCCATCAATCGATTGACCCCGTGATTTCCGGTCCGGTCCGCTCAAGCTCCCGCCCGCACACCCCATCAGATGCCTACACAGCACCGGCCATGATCCCACGGTGGCTGCTGCTCACACTGAGCCTGCTGCTGGTATGGATGTCACATCCAGCAGCGGCAAAGGGAAACGAGCCGAACATCGTAACCCATGAACTCATCGCTCCGCCTTCAGATTTGTTCTACTTCCGCGGCACCAACACCATCCTCTACCGTGACAAGAACTCCCTCACCGCGCATGTCTCCTTCGATGGCGGCGAGAAATGGGAGACCGTCAAGGGTAAGGATGGAACCATAGAAGGTACCGTCGATTTGATATGGAGACATCCGTTCGACGTCAACCGCGCGTACATCCTCGGCGAGAATGGCAAGCACTGGATTACGACTGACCAGGCCAAGTCGTGGAAACCTTTTCAGGTGGACGCAATGCCGTTCGCGTCAATGCGCTCGTTCCCATTGGAGTTCAATGGCTGGGATCCGAAGAAAGTCATCTTCATGGGTCTGGACTGCACCATCCTTGGCTGCATGCCCCAGGCGTATTACACCATCGACGACTTCGAAAATGTTCAGCCATTGCGCGAGATGACGCTTCAATGTATGTGGGCCGCGAGTCGACCACAGTTCGCGTTGGACATGGACATGCCGAAGTCGACAAGAGACCGCATCCTCTGTGTGGTTCCTGGGTTAAAGGGGCCGTTTGAGAATACCCGTACAGAGCGGCTGATATATTCCGACAAATTTTTCAAAGATGATGTGGAGGGCACCGAAGCGAAATTGGATCATGGAAAACCGCTGAGCGGTATCAGTCTTCAGATCCGCTCTGTCTCCAAGTATATCGTGGCGCGCCTTCAATCGCGCGGTACGCAGGAGCAGGCTTTGTACGTCAGCGATGACTCGAATGTGTGGCACCGTGCGGAGTTTGGCAAGCACCGCATCGAAGAAGATGCCTATACAATCTTAGAAAGCACCAACTACAGTATCCAGATCGACGTGCAAACTACATGGCATGATAACCGGATGGGAACTCTGTTCTCATCCAACTCCAATGGCACATACTTTACACAAAACATCGAACATACGAATGAGGACCTGAATGGCTTGGTTGATTTTGAGAAAGTTACCGGCATCCATGGTATCACGATCGTCAACACGGTCAAGAACTGGGAGGAAGCTGAGAAGTCTGATTCGAGCAAAAAGAAGCTTGTCAGTAGTATCAGTTTTGACGATGGGAGGACCTTCCAACCTCTCAAGGCCGATAAAGACGAGTTACACCTTCATTCGATGACTTCCTACGCTGAGCTACGTGAGATGCCCATGCCAGATCACCGGATGTTTTCAAGCCCGGCTCCTGGCTTGGTCATGGGCGTTGGTAACACTGGGGGTCACCTCGAGGACTACTCCAAGGGCGATCTCTATGTTTCGGATAACGCTGGTCTTACGTGGCGGCGGGCGCTGAAAGGCCCGCACCGGTACGAGTTTGGCGACCAGGGAGGTGTAATCATGGCTGTTTTGGATAGTAGCCAGACGGACAATGTTCAATTCTCTATCGACCACGGGAAGGAGTGGGAGTCGATTGATCTGAAGCAGACGATCAGGCCTCTGTACCTAATCTCGACGCCGGATTCGACCAGCCTCAAGTTCCTGCTCGTTGGTATTTCTAGCGATGAGACCAAAGTCCTCATGTTCTTTATTGACTTCGATGGCCTACACGAACGCCAATGCGGCCCTGACGACCTTGAACAGTGGACTGCCCGTTTAAATGAAAAGGGCGAGCCGGATTGTCTGATGGGTCAGAAACAGTTCTTCCAGCGCCGCAAGGCAAACGCGGATTGCTTCATCAAGAAGGAGTTTGCCATCAGCGGCCCTGAGTTTAAACCTTGCAAATGTTCCGCCGAAGACTTTGAATGCGATTACAACTTTGTTCGCAGCGAGGACCGGAAGGAGTGTCTACCGGCTGTCCCGCTGATACCCCCAGCTGGCAAGTGCAAGGAGGCTAGCGACAAGTACACAGGTCCCTCTGGGTGGCGACTCATCCCCGGCAATGCATGCATCCGTGAAGGCGGCGAAGACCTCGAGCGCCAGATTGAGCGCTCCTGCTCGAATATTACGGGGCCTCCTCCCATCACCGATGGCAAACCTCGTGCAGAAAAGCCACAAATCATTTCTGCTAAGAATACAAACTACTTCTATCTTGAACGACAGGCCAGCAACAACGGCGTTGATGAGACTATCATGATGCTCACGGACAAGTACGAGCTGCATCTCTCGCGCGACCATGGTCGAAGTTGGAAGCAAATCCACCCAGATGAGAGGTTTAAGGAAATGGTTCAGCACCCTTACTTCAGCGATGCGGCTTTCTTCCTCACTGACAGCAAGAGGGTTTACTACACTATCAATCACGGTGATTCTTTCCACTTCTTTGACGCTCCCAGTGTGCCGACCAAGGAGGACATCCGCGCGCTCGCTTTCCACGAGAAGTTCCAGGACTCCCTTATCTGGATTGGTCATAAGGACTGCGAGGGGAAGAGCTGTCGCTCGCAGGCGTACGTCACCGACAAGCGAGGTGCTAGTTGGGACCCAATGCTTATTGGAGTTGCCGGTGGCGGTTGTAACTTCGGATATCACGAGGGCCGCAACAACAGTGAACAACTGGTGATTTGTGAGCAGTATAAAGACGAGGAAAAGAACAACAAGCGGCAGCTGGTTACCAGTGATGATCACTTCTCTACCATGGACGTCAAGTTTGAGAACATCGCCCGTTCCGCTACTAAGAATGGGTTTGTCGTCGTTGCCTGGTATGAAGGAGACCAGAAGGAATACCTGAATGCCAGCGTTAGCGTCGACGGCCGCACTTATGCTGATGCGCACTTCCCTTTCAACATCAAGGTTCCTCAGTATACCGTCCTACCCAGCTCCCCACACGCATTGTTCCTCCTAGTGATGGTGAACGGGGGAAATGAACGCAGCTTCGGCTCGCTGGTAAAGAGTAACAGCAACGGCACCTACTTTGTCCAGAGTCTCGAGGGACTCAACGTAAACGACCGCGGCTACACGGACTACGATGAATTGCAAGGCCTCGAAGGCGTGGCTATTGCCAACGTGGTTTCGAATCGAGAAGAGGTCCTAAACAAGGGCGCAGCCAAGAAGCTACGGACTATGATTACCCACAACGACGGTGGTCAGTGGATGCTTCTGGCTCCCCCGAGTCAAGATGTCGATGGCAAGAAGTTCGGCTGCTCTGTTACGGAGAGGAGGGGCACTGAGGAATGCGCTCTCCATTTCCATGGGTACACCGAACGCCGCGATTACCGCGACACCCTCTATTCGGGCTCCGCCATCGGCCTGATGCTTGCACTCGGCAACGTCGGTGAGCATCTCACCAGCGCAGCCGAAGCCGACACATACCTCACTAGGGACGGCGGCATCACCTGGACGCAAGTCAAGAAGGGACAGTACATGTGGGAATTTGGCGCCGCAGGCTCGGTGATTGTGCTCGTCAGCGACCGGAAAGCAACTAAATTCGTACACTACACACTCGACGAGGGCATGAGTTGGCACGAGTTCCAGTTCACGGAAGTGGAAATGGTCATCGATGATATTTCTACCGTTCCATCAGACACATCCAAGAACTTCCTGCTCTGGGGCACGGACGGCGGCAAGCGCGTCACCATCACACTTGACTTCAGCGGGATCTGGAGCCGCGACTGTAAAGACGATGGGAACGACTATTATAACTGGTCCCCTAGTCATCCCTTCCAGGAAGAGAATTGTCTTTTTGGCCATGTCGAGGAGTACCACCGCAAGAAACCCACCGCTGAGTGTTGGAATGCCTGGCGTGAGCCACACATCCACAGCATCGGCCGGAACTGCACTTGCACCCGAGCTGATTTCGAATGGTAAGCTCACACCGCAACCATATCAATCATAATCCGAATTACCAACTAACACAAACTAGTGACTACAACTATGAAATCCAAACCGATGGCAGCTGCGGTCTAGTCCCAGGTCTCCAACCCCAAGACCACATCGCACAATGTAGCCAAGATCCCGAAAAGGTCGAGTACTGGGAACCCACCGGCTACCGCCGAATCCCGCAAACAACCTGTCAAGGCGGCCTGCTGCTAGACCAAGACATTTCAAAACCATGCCCAAACAAAGAGAAAGAATACAAAAAGAAGCACGGCATCAGCGGAACAGCTCTGTTCTTCGCGATCATGACACCCATCGCCGTCGCCCTCGCCGTCGGCTGGTACGTGTACACGCACTGGGACGGGAAATTCGGACAGATCCGGCTGGGCGATGGCGGCGGAGTGTCACAAAGTTGGCTATCCAGGGACTCGGTACTGGTCGCGGTGCCTGTGACGATTATTGCAGGCGTTGTTGCGGTTGCGCAGTCTCTACCTTTACTTGTTAAGAGTTTGGCGCGGAGTTCGTCTGGGTTGTTTGGGAGACGGGGCGCGCAGAGACCTTACGCTACGCGTGGCTCTTTTGCGGCGAGGAGGGGGGATTATTCATCCGTTGTTGATGATGAGGATGAGTTGCTTGGGGCTGATGAGTTTGATGAGGAGGAGGAGCTGGCTTAGGCTTGGGGCTTGGGCTTGGGGATCAGGGCTATATTTTCTTTTAGCATGGAATTTTAATATAGCTGGTTTTTTGTGATTTGCAGTTGGAGATGATCTTTTTGGGGTTTGACATTGCAATACTATGAGCGTGCCATGGGGTTTTTTTGCGTTTTGCTTTTTTCTTCTTTCCTATTGCTGGTTTTGATTTCTGTTTGTGTACGTTGTGGTTATATGTAGAGGCTCTAGGGCTGTACATCACTCACTGAACAAGGCAAGGTCCAGCTTTTAAAATCTGTTGTTTTTTTCTCGAACATGTATTCACTTCCCCGGGATATCAGACTCCAATGCATTTCCAAGACTCCCACCCACCTTTCTTTCTCTGATATAGCACCTATCTCTCCGTCCCTATTTTAGATGTTCAGGTCCGAAAGAATCAGGCAGCAACTGCGTTGATCAGTACAGAATCGATGAGATATAAAAGGAGAGATCGTCCAAAAAAGAAAAGAAAAGAAAAGAAACAAACCTCCTCCATAGTCATAACTTTGTACTTTCCCTCGCCGTCGTACATGTACACCGGGAAGGAAGGCGAGGTGAACTCGCGAATACTGTATCTCAATTAGTCAACTACAAAAAGAAACAAAGAAAGAAGATAACCCACAATTGTCTACACATCCCACAAGGTGATGCAGCAGGCTTGATATCCGTCGCAACAGCTAGAGCCTTGAAATTTTTGTGTCCGGCAACCTTTGGAGGTTAGCCAAGTTGGTTCAGACAAACAAGAACAAAGATGTTAGGTGGTTCTTATGTACAGAAACCAATCAAAAGTCGACCAGGGAAAGAAAAGATAGAACATACAACGGCAGTGCCAATAGCGACGCGTTCAGCGCAGGTTCCGACTGGATAGGCGGCATTTTCGACGTTAGCGCCGGAGATGAGCTCGCCTGAGGTCGTGAGGATGCATGCTCCAACGCGGAATTTAGAATATGGGCCTGGTGGGGGGAGGGGGGGAGGGGAGTGTTAGTCCGATGTTGCTCTTTTGTAGTTGAAACTGGGATATCTGGTGTTTGTGGTTGAAAGAAAATGGGGGAGATGGGTCATACAGTAAGCAGTCGCCTTAGCGTCAATTGCCTTGGCGGAGAGAGCGGTCAGCTCCTGAGCTGTGAGGGTAGCCATTCTAGGATGTGAGATAGAGAGATGTAGGAAGATGAGGGGAGGTGAGGGGAAGTTTTTTATCCGCTGATAGGCGATAGGCTATAGGCTGAATTTATGCGTGAAATGAGACGAGATATGGGGTGTTTGATTATAAGATATGAATTAGGGGGTAATTGGTAGATACGATCTTCGATTTGGGAGATATTCAAGAACTCTCAATTTTGGTAAGTTCATCCCTGCTGTTCTGATATTAGAACAGCTAACCCTAACAAAGGTCCGTTGTATGTGCGACACCAACAAGTTGAGGGAACAACTTCCTCTTCTGATCTCGAACTATATTAAATACCCCTTGATCTAGCCTACTAGATATAGACCATCTCCGGGTCCACCCATATTCCACCGAGAGATTTCACAAAAATCGAGAATCAATGGACGTTTGGATGCCCAAATAGGCAGCTCGAGAGAGGGTCATGACTAAGCACGGGTTTCCCCCCCCCCCCCCTCCATAACCAAAACAACATACGATGCTTCAACCCGTGGCCTGTAAATAATAGAGAAAACAGTTCTCCAAACATGTTTAACCTAGGCGTGCAGGTTATCAACGGCCAAAAGACCTTTATACCACTAGGTAAGTGCATCATCCAGATAGACCCCAGACTAAGAACCACCATTCTCACCAAGTGCAACAGAGAACAACCCAAAGGTCCACAAACATCTATGTAAGAACCTTGGAGTATCCCCGAGTCTCACCTTCCATGATATTCTCTCCACCACCCCAGAAATGCTCTCCTGGATCCCACGACCCGTAAACGCCCTCATCCTCCTCTGCGATAGACCCATCTACCTCGCCGCGCGGTCTCGCGTCGAACACAGCATACCCGAGTATCTCGGCAGCGGGGCGGACGAGCCTGTGTTGTGGATGAAGCAGACGATCGGACATGCGTGTGGGCTCATGGCATTGCTACATGTGGTGGTCAATTTGGAGAATGGAAGATATGTCCTGGCGGGATCGGAATTGGAGAAGATTGTGAAGAGCGCGGTTGGATTGGGGCCGGTGGAGAGAGCGCGACTTTTGTACGATTCGAGGTTTTTGGAAGAGGCGCATATGGATGCGGCATCGGAAGGGTGCTCAATCGTGCCTTTGCCGCAGGAGGAATGTGGGTTTCATTTTATTGCTTTTGTTAAGAAAGATGGAAAGGTTTGGGAGTTGAATGGAGGCATGAATGGTCCATTATTGCGAGGTGAATTGGAAGGGGACTTGTTGGGAGAAGAAGGGTTGGATATGACGGTAAGGGAGTTTTTAAATGCTGCTGATACGGAAGTTCATCGCGGAATGAGCATCATTGCCGTGAATAATACCACGTGACTTCCTGGGCGTCGACTGTATGACGTCATCCATCTCGAATCCGGGGTTGGGACGCAGAGGCACTCGAGATCTTACAAAATTATAGAAATCAACTTACATACGATTCCCTTGGAACGGACTATTTGAAAGGACTTGCTACCTTGCACTGATCGGATGGACCCCTTTCTCGTCTATAGTACCCTCAAGACTATCCTGCAATGACCACAATTCTCGTCACCGGAGCCACAGGCAGACAAGGAGGCTCCGTAATTAGCAACCTTCTGGCCAAAAATGCCCCTTTTAATCTCCTCGCCGTGACACGTGACATCAAATCTACTTCAGCGAAGAACCTTGCCCAGAAGTCTCCTAATATCACATTGATCCAAGGCAATCTTGACAACCCAGCTGCCATCTTCGAGAATGTAAAGCGTCAAACCTCAACCCCAGTTTGGGGCGTGTTTAGTGTTCAAGTAAGTCCCCAAAAAGGCAGCATCCCAAATACAGACCTCGATTGACCAATAAAACAGACCGCTAATCCCAGACATGACAACGAAAGACGCCAAGGATTCGCTCTGGTAGACGAGTCCATTAAACAAGGTGTCAAGTATTTCGTATACAGCTCCGTCGACCGCGGCGGCGAGAGATCAGACCAAAACCCAACCCAAGTCCCTCATTTCATTTTCAAACACGAGATTGAGAGGCATCTCAAGGAGAAAGCAAAAGGGACCGATATGGAATGGACGATTCTCCGCCCCGTTGCCTTTTTTGAGAATTTCACACCGGACTACGTCGGGAAGGTATTTATGACTGCATGGCAGATGACTCTGAAGGGGAAGCCTCTACAGCTTATTGCCACAAGCGACATTGGGTTCTTTGCTGCCGCGGCATTCTTAAATCCCGAGGCATCGAAGAATCATGCTTCCTCGCTTGCTGGCGATGAGTTAACGTTTGATGAAATGTCGACGATTTTCAAGAAATCGACTGGCAAGAATGTGCCGACCACTTTCAGGATTCCGGTTTGGCTGATGATGGTTGCTGTCAAAGAGCTGGGTATCATGTTCAAATGGTTTCATGATGAGGGATATGGTGCGGATATTCCGGCTTTGAAAAAGCTGAATCCTGGCTCGAAGAACTTTGGGGAATGGTTGAAGGAGGATAGCCAGTTCGAGACACGATAGGGGTTGAAGGGTGAAGGTTATTTGAATTGTAGAGTGCTAGTCACTGTGGAATTAATGTGTTGATATGGGGGTTGGCTAGGTAGAAGGAGCAATGGGCTAAAACAAGGGGCTGCGAAAGCCAGTTCAGACCAGAGAACAGTGAATCAGAATTGGTGTTACCCCAACCCGAAAGACAGACACATCGGCCTCTCCATTGAATGATGTCTGGCCATCCTGCCCTTGTTAACTCGCTCGCGACGAGGCCGTGCGTGTCATGAGCCGATCCAAGGGCTTCTAAAGCATGTCATCAGGACACAGCATATCCTGCTACCGTAACCCGTACTTTTTGATCACGACATCCCAAGCATGGTCAGGTTCAGGACTAAATCGACGCAAACATAGCTCGGAAAGTTTGAAAGCGATCACATACCATTTCTTGTATGGAATTTACATAGCCAGCTCCACTATGAGGTTCCTTCATTGGTTTGCAAGAGATAGGAGAACTGCACAAGCTTGAAAGCGGTCTCGAAGACACGGTCGTCGTAGCGGAAGAGGTTCACATTCGATTTTTCAGACTGGAAACGAGTCGCCAACCAAGCCTTGGAGAGTTGCAGTCGTACGATAGTTGCGATCACCCAATGGATTGGAATATTCGGGTTGAATTGATCGATATTCTGTCCATGTAGGCTCGTCCCTAAAGGTGTGACAAGATTCTTACGGTCGTGCGTGGACATATCCAACTATCCGGCCTGACGCAGCCAGAGAATTTCGGTCAAGATCTGGGAGTTCATGATGCAGATGGTAGTATTGGTGAAACCGGTTTTGGGTAGTGGTTGATCTATCATAAGCAAGGCAATTTCATCATCGTCAACATTACTCGGAAACTGTGCGTTGAACGTTTCAGATCAATCTGAGTATCGATCCCTTGGTCTCCTGAAAATAATATGTAGATCTGTCATAGATAGAGCCATGATTTCCAAGAATACTGCCCTTTGGCAGGGTAATGGGACTATTTTTAACATCAGGGGACTATAATTCTTCATCCGAAGAGCTTTCAATAATATCACGGGGTTCAGGGATCTGCATTGCAAATTAGTTGAGACCTGTACAATCCCAGTAGCACCCCACTATCCCACCTTTTGTCCCAGTGCAACAGAAGCCTCATCACAGACATACCGACTCTTCTCTTCTTTGAAAACTGGTAGTTCTGTCTTTTTGGCTGTCATTTGCCGATCCGGATGATCATTCAGATCCGGTGTATGGTCGGTGTCCGGGGTTGTGGCGCGTTGAACGGACTTGCTCTACCCCTTCTTCAAGAAGATTTAAGCAAGCGAGTGACTCACTGACCGGTGGTCTGTTCAATGTCCGCCGTGCTCTTTTTTGGGGGCTTGGAAAGGTGCACTGCACTTCAGTTTTCACACATACTGCAGGGATATACTTTATCGCACCGCACCGCACCGCACCTTGGTAGCGCAAGCAGCTGCTTTTCTTCAATTGGAGACCAGACGAAGAGGATGTCAAATTGTGCTTGACATCGGACATGTTCACAGGCTGTTGGCACGTGGAGATAAGGTCAGGGGGTGTGGTGTCCAACCTTGGAGGTCATGGTCTTACGTAAACTCCAGCCTCCACCAGAGCACCTCATCTTCCAGTCATTTTCGCTTCAGGCTGGCTTTTGGCATCTTTAGACTTGTTTGATAATGGCACCTGGAGAAGTGTTAGACATTGGGATGAAACTTTGTTTGCAAATCATAAAATTCCATTCTATACAAAAGAAATCAACAATTAGAGCACAAAGGATCCACCGGTGAGTGCCACGGCTGGACTGGAGAGGCTTGGCCTTGCGTACATAAAGCCAGCAAACCCCTCTTCTGGCCCGATTCGATGCGTCACAAATCGAAAGAAAAACGAGAGAAAGTGTAGAAGAATCAAGAATCGTGTTTGGATGTATCCAGGGTATAGCGCACGATGCAAAAATCCAAAGAGTCAAGGAATGAGAAATTCAAAAGGAAAATGGGGGCCAAGATGGTCATCGTCCAACCTCGGTTGGACCGATAAAATGATGACAGATTTCTGTCTGCAGGGGAGTAGTAGTGGCTTCTCTCTTTATTTCAACCAAAATATTGCCGTAATCCTTCATAAACTGTGAAAATGAAAGCTGAGCTGGGTGCCGAGCGTGCGCAAGTAATCCCACACCCGCGATACATGCCCTTAAGCCCTTGCTGCCTCCATAGAGCCCTGGTCTCGCCCCAGAAGGTCTGTTTTTGAGCATGGGCCGGCAGACGTGAGACATCTACAGTCTGCATGCGAGACTTGATTGTATCAGCTGGGTAGAACAAGAAGTTGTAGCTGATTCCAGCCGTTGCTCCTGCGATCATTTGTTGGTAAATGGGGAGCGAGTCGGAGGTCAACTGCGAATTCAACTTGTTGGACTGGCGGAATAGTGATGATACGCCCTCGTATCCACCGAACCACGCTGCACTTCCGCCAGTTTCCCGGATCAAGGTTCCCACCTGGCCCCGCCAGAATCCTGCCAGCCCTTCATGCCGGAAAGTGCTTGCGATGATAGCCATTGGGCCAGCGGGTTTGAGGCCTGCTGACTCCGCGGGGACCTGCATCCTGCATTTCACCAGTTCAATAGGCGTGAGTACCAGCGAGGTCGCTGAGCCAGATAGAGCTCCACTAGCAATGAGAGCCAAAAACGGTAGGTGCTCAACGCCTGGGTAGACCGTTGCGCGCAGGGCATCCTGGATGAGACGATAACTGAAAAAGAGACAGCTGGTCTCCACCGCAGCTCCGGCCATGGGTGCACTGATCCCTCTGTATAGTCCCCGGAAGCCATCAGCTCGGAAAGACTGGCGGAAACAATCCAGTGGTCCTGTATATCGGAGAGGGAGGTGTTCGGGTTGTGACTGTAGTCGGACCTTGACAGTGTCAAAGGGGTATTCAATGAGTTTGCCTGCCATTCCCGCCGACTTGGAGAGTGTTAGTCCAGGACTCCCACACGCATATGCCAAGGACTTCCTTACCGATCCAAATGCGATGTCCTTTATCGCCTCAAGGCCCTGATTGGGCGGGAGCGACGGCAGCTCCATGGGCTCACTGATGGGGATCGCATGCTCTGTCGCCGCCATCAAGTAAGATCGGGAAAAATGACAAGGGAAGATAGTGTTATCGAGGGATCATGGTAAGACGGGGAACCGGAGGTATAAGTAGTGAGGGAAGTAAGCTGGTGGGGGAGGGGCGGTGTAACGAGGGATTTGATGGGCCTACAAGGTGCCGAGCCACAGTGCAGAAGCTAATGAGGAGAAAGGAAACGAGGCCAGGCCCCAAACTAGTAAGAATATGGGCACCTAACGATGTAAAACAGCCTGTCGGAGGAAGTCAAGTGGGAAATGGGAAGAAGGTGGAGTCAGGAAATTTGGGCCGAAGGCATTTTCGCTCTTTAGCGGACGCCAAGACATTTTATCAGATCGAGATAATCAATGAAAAAACTCGGTCTCCGTCTCTTTTGCTTCACGTTTACTTCCCTTCAATCCACTTTCTTGAATCTTCCATTTGAAATCGCGTCTTTTTTTTTTCAAGCCACATATCCTACCATGTCTACTTCAACAGCTACGACACCAGTCGCGCCTCCGACCACCGGCATGCGGAAAAATGGTAAGTGAGAAAAAAATGATTACCCTGTCCCCACTTCCGTAATGTTCCTCATCTCCCCGGCTAACCCTATCGGACCTTCAGGTAAAAACTGGCATGGCACCAAGAAGGCTTTCCGCCCTACTGCAGGTTTGACCTCATACGCTAAGCGTCAAGAGCTCAAGAAGCACAGCGACGCTGTCAAGGAACTTGAACGTGAGATGAAGGAAGAGGCCGAGGCTGAACGGAAGGTATGTCGATCTAATATCGTCTCTCTGTTGATTTGTCTCGCTTTTCTTATCCTTTCGTGTCTTTGTCTGGTATCCATCTCTTGTCAGCCTGTCTCCATAGTTATGATATTTTCACCGACAACACACGACTTCCTGAGATGGCATCACTGACCAATGAACCCCTCCAGGCCCGTATCCAGCGCATCAAGGACCGCCGGGAAGCCAAGGAAGAAAAGCTGCGTTATGAGAAGATGGCCGAGAAGATGCACCACAAGAGACTCGACCGTCTCAAGCGCAGAGAGAAGCGCAACAAGCTGCTTAGCTCTTGATGCTGTTCACGGTCTTCTCTATATCTCCGGCAATACCATCTATCCATCTCCTCCAGGACTGCATTGTGTGCATATACATCGGCTTGTTGAGGCTTCTTCCTTCTTCCTTGTCCCTAGCGGGAAAGACTGGACACTCATTCCGGCGTGGGCTGTTCGATTACAGGCGTTTTTTTCTGAGGTTATGTCATTGGTCACCACTAGCAAGCAAGACAAATGTTTTCTATAATCACAATTTACTCTTTAGCGTAATCATATTAACCAGTACGATCTATAGGTAGTAGGGGGGACTATGTCAGTTGCAGAGTCGCTGATCGGTCTTCAGGCTTGGCGTCATCGATCCCCCCTCCCCTCGAGCCAACTCCACACTCAAACACCAACACCAAGCTTCCAAGCCTTCCCAAACTTTCTTCTCAGAATGTACCACCATGGAACCTCCACATAAATTTGCACCATTCTCAACATCCCGATCAACCTCCACCACATCCCAACCCACCCAAACCTCCACCCGGAGCCCGAACCAAAACCAGCAAGCTAGCGACCCCCAATCCAAATCTGAGGATCTTTCTAGATTTGGTAGCCAAGAAAGCCGCCGAACAGACCGAAGAAAGTCCCGTCGCTCGCACCGCCATGGCTCCGATGACCGTCAAATCTCCCCAAAAGGAGAGCATCGAACTCGCCCATCCCCATCCCCCCAGTCGCAAGAGCCATCTCTCTTCGATGGCACGAGGTCCCATCGCCGCAAATATAGCAAGTCACGAGAACTGCGCTTCCCTAATCCCATGAGCCATCTGGCTTCCTCGGCGAGCGCGAGAGGATTGCTCCCTACGTGGTCGGGGGGGAAGGATAAAGACCGCGAGGGCGATGATGGATTGTTGAGGCCGGTAACAAAGGAGACGACCCGGAGTCGCTGGGGGTCTGAGTCGACGACTGGTCTATCAGATGGTCGGAATGGAAATCTGCTTGATACGCCTGGGCAGCATGAGCAATTGGCGCCTATCCGCCGACACGAGATTCTGTCTATGGATGACCTAGAAAAGATAAAGAAGCGGAGGAAGCTAGGCGAGGAGTATGGGGGTTTTTTTGGTGGCTTCTTTGCGTACAGCAGATTGACTAACGGCCGTTTCAAGGTATCTACGGTCTGCATTGACTTCGATTGGGACGTTGGCGACAGACGTCACCCGTCGGCTGGATTACACCTATTACAATCTGCTTGAGAAAACCACTGCGCTCAACTCGACTATCTCGTCGTTCCAGGAACTCTCTGACTCGGCGTCAACACTTCTCAACGACTTCGAACGCGAAACGGCCGGGTTAGATCAGGATATTCGCAGACAACTCAGTGACTTGAAAGGCTTCGAGCCTCAGATCCAAAAGGCCGATGCCTTAGAGCAACGCATGAAAGCAGGCCGACAGCGTGTCGAAGAACTAGGCAAGCGACTTGAGACTGTACGACACGAGATCGATAGCTGGGAACAGCGGGAAACAGAATGGCAAACCCGGACCAGTCGGCGACTACGCATCTTCTGGGGTATTGTCACAAGTGCGCTTTTAGTGCTTGTACTCGCTCTAGTCCTTCAGAACTGGCGAGAGTACTGGTCTTCCCACGCTGGGACCTCACGTTTGGCAACGTCGAACCACTCTTTGCCCTCTGTACCACCTCAGTCTGAAGTGTGGGATAAAGTTCTCAGTCTCGGGGGGGAAGTTTTAGGGTCTGATGCAGGGCCTGTTCGGTATCCATCTAACCTTGCAGGTCGCCGTGAGAACCTGGACAAGGCTGGTCCGACTTCTACAACTCGGTCAGGGCATGATGTATCACCTGCGGAACACAATGCTTTGAGTGTGCTGGATGAATTATGAAATATTTTCTTTTGTGTGTTCCTGGATCCTTGACCTAGACCGATCCGACCTAGCATGTGCTTCCTCGGGTCTCTGGCTTGTGCATGAATTGTCTTGAATTTGTACTTTTATTTTAAGAGTTTTTGTCATGATACCCAGTCCGCAAAGGATTCGTGTTAGCCATTATACCATCGGGCCCTCGCTCTTTTTCTTCTTCTTGTCTTCAATCAATTCGATATTAGACGCGGGGATCTTCTTGCCGTGAATCTCGAGGAGCCATTCGCGCAGGTCATCGCTAACATCACCCTGGACGGTGATCTCCTCGATGCCTGCAGGCGAACGGGTCACCGACGACCCCGTAGCAAATTTCTTGCCCAGGTCCTTTGCAATCTTCTTGTTCTCCAATCCGAAGACCTCCAGCCCGATCACAACCGTCACGTACTTGCGCTTGTTCCGCTCAACGCGCTTGATCTGAATCTTGGAGGCGGCCTTGCGCTCGCTGTCGCGTGCCTCGTTAGCAGCAGCTTTAGCCTCCTTCTTAGCGGCATCCTTAGCGGCGCGTTCTTGCGCTGAGACAGAGAGGGCGGAGAGATTGGCGTTCAGGGCATCTGGCAGAAGTGTTAGATTGTCAGTTTTTCCCATTTCCGAGCTTGTGGGATCGCTAGATGCAGGTAATGGCTAACCAGCCAAGTAGCATGGAAGCTTCGTACCCTCAGAGTATAGTGTGTCCCACAGATCCGACTCATTATCCTTAAGCCATTCTTCACATTTCTTCGCGGTACCTCCAAACTCGCAGTACTAGAAAATAATCCCGAATGTCAGCAACTTTAGGGATCTTCAATGCAAGTGTAACTCAAATCGCAATTTGTGCAGGCTCTGGGGCGCTTTTCAGTGGCTCAGAGGCATGCCACGCACGACAAAGCCGGAGCCCGGATGATAAGAGCTAAGAAGCGGGGGCATTAAGCGGAGAAAAGGAAAGGGCTGGGCCTTCATTTCCGGGGGACTGAGAACTGGGGATTTGGGGGGGGGGGGGAAGAGACTTGAAAGTCATACCTCGGGGGGCAACGTGCAAACTATCGAAATTCTATCAGCGCTATGTTCCTCAACTGGATTAGGGTTGTGGTTTGTGCCACGGGGGTCCTCACCTCCACAGTAGACAACATGTCTTGCCTGCACAACCGGGGCTGTTTCGACCTCAGCCATCGTGTATGATAATAGTACCTTGGTAAATGGTAGCTACCGGTCTAGACTTGTTCTTCTCTGCCAGAATCAACAGCGGGGGCGGAGGGGCAGTTCTGCCAGCTAAGCCGAACTGGGAATATCACGTGCAATGACGGTCACTAAATGTCTACCCTCTAAGGAGTCCTCCGTACCGAATATGCCCTGCTACTAACGTAGCAGACTGAGCCACAAATGGTATGGGGTGGTGCTAAATTGCTCATTATTCGGACCATATGACCTGCTCACCTAGAATTTTATCCTCCCAAGCTCGGATTAGATAAACGTCACTCATCAGCACGACATTGCAGATCTTTGCAAATCCCTTCTTGGACAGCAGTGTGATGGGTCCAATCTCCCCCAGATGGAGGGGCACATTCCACATCTTACCCCCCTTGGTTGACTGAAACTGGAAAGTCGGATGCGGAAAAATCCCTCGGTAAGAGCCTGTTCAACATGCAGCTGTGGTCACCATCATGATAGGGAGCCAGGTCCGCCCATTGGTGCCCCGGGTGACGATAGATCCGGAAGTGACTGATCAGATAGTCAATTGCATCATCTTTCAACCTTGCAATCTCTTTCTGGTCTCGGATCGCTCATACAGGCAGGTGTCAAAACCGGTCTCCATCAACTGGCTGCATGATCAGGAGCCTTAGATGCGAAGCTAGTCAGGGAAATCGAGAATTGTTTGCCCCTGTAGATATGAATGTTGGCAACATACGTCAAAGCAGTGCAGAAAAGACTTGTTTGACAGATACGGTCTGGGGCCAATCATCGGCGTCGAAGATGACAAACGTCAGGAGGTCCGTGGGGAAGAGACCGGGGTATAACATCGCACTAGCGCTACCGATCAAGCCTCCGGCCGGGGGGGGGGGGGAAGGGTGTTAACGATGGGCTAGAACAGGAGGGACTTGCAATGATCTATGAATAGGCGATCTAGAGAGTATTTCTGATTTCCCATCTTCAGGTTTAGAGGGCCTGACTGCGAATCCTTTATGGTAGCTTGCAGTAATAGGCGGTCATATCACTGGCTTGCGATCTCAATATTTGCGCTTCCCAAGTGTCAACGTCGAGGGTTGTGGCCCGCCAATCATGACAGTCCTCGGTGAGTGGTTGCCCAGATGCTGTTGGTGCAAGCACACAGACAAAAAGCACTTCTGTGTACGACACCTTTCACTTCTCTTTTTTTTTCCCTTTTCTTTGTGTAATATTTCAATGTTGCATATTCTCAAGCTGTCCGTGTGTACGAGGACTTGGATGGGGATTGAGAATTGAGAATTGGAATTTGGAAACGGAAAGAATATGGAAAAGTCGAAGATGTCAATGGCTGAAGCTAAAAAAGATTCACCACTGGGCTTATCTTCTACCCCTTTCAACGACCCTCTGGTATTGGTGCTTTTCGGCTCGTATCTCCGGACGATCATGGCCAATCTTTCCTTGATTTGAGTGCCTCTCTACTTCTCTGTGTTGTACCAACGGAGTACTACACAACATTCTAGAAAGCATTTAACCCTCCCCTTCTCCCTCCCCCTCCCCCTGGTTACTGAGATTCCATTGGAAGTTTTCCAAATCTTATGTGGATCGGGTCCGATTCTCTTGGAAAGTCAAAGTAACGTGCTCAGGCCGGATGTATCGGGGGGCTACAGACTGTAGGCCGAATGGCTCCGTTATACTCCGATAGCCATGTTGAAACGAGGAGCAAATACTTTGTATCATTGTATCATTGTCTATCATGATCCTCGGCACTCCGTACACTTGGTGATCCTGTACTCTTAGAATACATATGCTCCACAGGATCGACTTAGACAAAGACGCACAGTGCCGTGCAATTTAAAAAAAAAAAAAAACCAATGCATATCTGGTGGAGACGGTTTATCGGACTATAGGAGGGATTAGACTGTATTCTAAGTCTATTATCATCCTTTTCTCAGATGATAATAGCTCGACTTAGTACCCCGGAGACTAGGACGGCTAATTCCAGGACTAGATCGTATTAGATTCGATGGTGGCAATTTCTTCGGAGTTCTGTACATCGATTGTATCTTTTGTTTTAATAGAAATGACATATAATCAAGAGAAGGTAGATCTCATCATAGAATTCCATCTGAAATCTAAACTTGCTTTTCTCCTACAACCCCCAGAAAGCCGGGAACGGTGTCATATCTCCAGATTCTGGTTTCCTATCTGTACGTCTCTCGTCTCTCCACTCTCCACTCTCCACTCTCCACTCTCCATTCATCCTCTTCCTCTTCCTCTTCCTCTTCCTCTTCCTCTTCCTCTTCCTCTTTCTTTTCTTTTTCTTTTCCTCATCCTATCATCTCCGCTTCTCCTCCATCCTTATCTTATTTCCCCTCCCCGTGAGCAATCACCTAGATATGCTATATCTTTGAATGGCCATTGCCTCCACCGTACTCCCTCATCAATTACAACCCAAAAAAAGGAAAGGGAAATGACGACGTTGTTGACTCCTCGCGAAAATCATTCGCCCTTCCCGGATCCTTTACGGTGTCCCACTGGTCCCACCGCGCAACGATATTTTTTAGAAGATCACACCATCACCAGAAAATCACCGATGCAAGATGACCGTCACGCGAGGGACTCTTCCCCAGTCGCAAATCTACCCTCTGTGATCCCTTCTCCATGCTTCAATTCTATCCCCAATGAACCTGCCTACACGCCCACTCTAAACAGCCTGGCACCGGAAAATGAACTCATCCTACCTTCCTACGACACGGAATCCATTCACAGTGTTAAAAAACTGGAGGACGTGAGCGATGCATCGACAGAATTACACCCTCCTCCATGGACATTACAGGCCCCATCGGCAGATGACACCTTACTTGAGGATGAGCCATCTAGGCATGTGGACTACCTCTCACATGACTGGAAGGAGGAGGATATCTGGTCCTCCTGGCGTTACGTGACGAGTCGGAGGAATGATTATAGTAATGGTGTCAGGTTGGAGAACGCCTCCTGGAGGACATGGGCCAAGGCCAAATACAACCTGAGGACGATATCGCCGGAAAGCCTCAATTGGTAGGCTATGGATCCTATTGATCCCTTCGTCCTTTGTTCACCCCACTAACTTTTGACCAGGCTGAAGGACTGCGATGTCACCTGGCTCTACGGCCCATTGAAAAGTTCCGTCGAACGTGCCACCTCTCCATCTCCTCCTCCAAGTCGCTTGGGGACACCAAACTCTTATCTAGACCGAAAGCCAATCCTGAAGAAGAAGACGGCGTCCGAGGCTATCCTCCGGCGGTCACTATCTCAACACACGTTACTCCAACATGCCGGGGCCATTCTCAAAGCTCAAGAAGCCGAGAACAGCTGGGCTCGACCCCCATTCCCAAGGTCGAACACAGACCTGGACCAATTGCATCACTGGACTGGAAGCTCAACCTACTCTCTTGGTGGCACTCTCACTACCTCATCATCGTCCGGAATGACATCTCCAAGCGAACGGCGTCATATCCACTTCAACAATGAAGTCGTACAATTCATCGCGGTCGAAGCCAAGGGCCACGAGGACGATTGGCCGACCACCTTTGAAGAGTCATCTTCCGACGACGGTATAGTCTTGATGCGACAAACCCCCAGCCGGTCCCCCCTAAGTAACCGCAGTACCCCACGCAACAGCTTCAGCGGTGATGGCAAAACCATCGCCCCTCTCCCCTCAACCACGCTCAAGTATCGTGGGGATCCTCCCGAGCCCCACGTTCAGACGATCCTTGACCGGTGGTCCACACCCCCCACCCGGATGGTATCACCAACTCCCTCGGTGGAAACCCTACGCCCGCCAGGGCCATCGGAGCCCTCGGCCAACTTCCTTTTGGATGAATGTGAAGATCCCAGCCTGGATTTCACCGGCAATTACCCCGATCGCGATCGCGCATGGTTCCTCGAAGATGATCCAGCCTCAGGTCGCCCGATCCGATTGACTGCTTCGGGCATGATCATGCCGGAAGGCGAGACCGAGATCCCCAGCAGTAGTATCTTGGACCGGGTTGTGGACACTGTTAACACAGCCCGAGACATCGCCCATGTGATTTGGAATGTCGGCTGGCGCCGTTGATCTTAATCGCTGCAATCTTTACGACTGATGAGGACGGGTAGCCCGTCGTAAATAATGGGGCAAAAGAAGAAAACAGGTTACAGACGGTGGCGTTTTGGGAATGATGGTGTTGGATTGGATTCGGCGTAGTCTTTTTTTTTTTTTGTAGAAATTCACCCAGGACTACTTGTTGAGGTCATGTAACGAATATATTGCATTCAAAAAAACCCCTAAAATGCATTGAAACAATCACATTGGAATTCCAGCTAACTAACTGTATACAAAGTAAAATATAGCCCCTGATATAGAGCGTAGATCCGCAAGGGAAATTACGGAGGGTGGTGTATAAAATGTAGGGGGTTGACCTCGATACAAATCCAACTATTGACAGTCCCAGCAGTTCTTGTCTCCCTACAATCCTCAACTTCTGCATGGGAACATTGAACTATTTAATCTACTCATGCTTGAATTACTCCGTACAAGGATCGAGATCACCGAGAGATCACCGTTTGAATTCCAATTGCCCCACAGCGCCCCCCTGATCTCTTTTTCTTGAAATTCCCCCGTCTTTCTGACTGTCTTCCAAGACATGGAAACCGTCAACATCGCCGAATTGGTCGAGCGCCTAGGTAGCGATGAAGATGCCGTGCGCAAAATGGCCGTCTTCAAGCTCCAGAGCAACATCGGAGACCCGTCTTTCGCCGACATCTTCATCGCAGAGGGCGGCCTGGTTCGTTTACGCTACCTAACCCTTCACGCCAGCGGGAATACCCTGGCATACAGTTTAACCAGTTTCTCAAGGCTGCTCGATGTCGACAAGGGGTGGGAATGTGTTGACCAGGAATTGGTTGAGCGCGTGAGTTATCCTGGAAACCATTGCAGTGCTCTCTATCCGTGTTCCTGTCCCCTTTCCGCGGCCATGTCAGATGCTAACGCGACTGTTCTGTTTAGATTGTCGAGCTAATTGTCACCCATCCCCTAGTCAATATCCTCCGCGGCGCCATGTCCATTCTCGTCTCTATTGTTTCCCACCCGCACATGAGGAATCGCGCGTCCCAGGTCAATAACTTTGGTTTCCGCGCCCTGAAGCCCGCAATTGCCATATACCCCCAGTTCCTGGAGATGCTCGTCAGTCGATTGTCCTCTGCGGACCATGCTTTGTGTGCCAATGCGCTCCAATTGATCAACTCACTCATGCGCGACTCTATCACCCACGACCCCGAGCCGGAGTGGCCCAAGTTCATTCAGAAGTTACAGGACCTGGGCGTTATCAGAGCGGTTTACGTGCTAATGCAGGACTCCGCCCTTCAAGACCTGGCGCATCCGCTGCTGGAGTTCCAAACTCTCACCAAGGTTCTACTCCGCAAGTGGAGAGATGTCCCCGTCAACCAAGAGAAGCCTGAGCATCGCCGCGCGCTAAAAGGGATTAATCTCGCTAGCAATCCGGAGAAGAACACCGAAGAGGCTACCGAGAATAGCGAGGATACACGGCGCTCCAGACGACACCATTCAGAAAAGTGGAGGCGGCTTGGGTTTGAATCGGAGAGTCCGGTAGGGGAATTCTACGAGGTCGGTTTCCTGGGTATGATGGATCTGGCGGATTATGTTCGCAGTCATGGGGACGAGTTTCAAAACATGCTCTTGGAGCAATCTACAAAGCCATCACGACAACGGTGTCCGATTGCTCGGGCATCTTTGGCCGTCACATCCATCTTATACGAGCATTTCGAGGTCGAAAAGTCCGACATGGATGACAATAAAACATATCTCATTTCAGAATCTCGCACAGGCTTTGATAATTTGTTCCAGCCGTTGCTGTTGCATTGGACCCGACTACATGTTGCCGGCTTACAGGCCTTCTTCCGCCTGTGGAAAGTGACTGCCGCCGAGGAAGAGGACTTGGATAAGATCATTGAGCTCGTGCGCATCCTCATTGAGTCAGTGGTTGGCGGAGCTGCTCGGATCAAGGATGTCCAGGATGTCGAAGAGGAGCTGGCCGATTTCGAATACCACCGATTGCGCAGTCTACAGATGGAACTCCTTGAACTGACGTATGAGGATGCATGGGGCCAGCATTTGCGACAGGTGCGCGAGGAACTTCACCATGAAGCTCTTCAGTTTGTCAAGGAGCAACGGATTCGATCCTTGCTTCAAGGCAGCTGGTTCGCTCTAGACTCTCACTCCAAATCGGATTTGGGGGCAGTACAGAAGTCTACTGCCACATATCAATATGTCCAGCTCTCTCATAATCGACGATATCTGCATTTCGGCCAATTTAACCTTATGGGCGACCGAGCTCCGGAGTTGGACACTCTCCCAGAGAAAAGTGAGTGTCATCAAGTGCTCACCTGGAACCACATCTATGATCTTCTTGTATTTGCTGCTAACACTGGGCCGTGCCATCAACAGTCGATCTCTCAATCGTCTCGTCCGTCGTCTCCAACGTCTCCACCAACCCAGATCAATCCTCCACATCCACCATGAAGACTACACCCCGTCAACCCGCAACCAAGATCACCATCCACGGATACGCGACCTCCACAGCTACCGGACACGGGAAAACCCACAGCCACACTCGGTCCGGCAGCAGGACCACCCAAAAAGAGGTAGTCCTACTTACGCTGCGGCCGTCCTCGCACAGCATTGCGTCCGAATGGCTAGATGGTCTGCTGATGCTCCTCAATCAGCAGCCCATCACCGCAGAGACAAGCAAGTTGATTGACCTGGTCAGTAATTATGGGTTGAAAATTCGACTGCTTAATGTACGGTTTGACGATGCCACTTTCGCCGGTGAGGCTCCCCAGGTCCCTGCGAGAGATGGCTTGGATGACGATTATTACTATGATGTGTTTGGAGGCGCATAGGAACTCCCTACAGCTTTCTTTTCTCTTTTCTCTTTTCTCTTTTCTCTTTTCTCTTTTCTGTTTTGGTTATTTTGGGAGGAAAGGGAGGGGATTTTGGTTTCTTCAAGCTCTGCCGACTCAGATTCTGGTCAATATACCCGGTGTGCGATTTGTCTTATGAATGTCAATGTTCTAATATATAAAATCTAATGAGCAATCACATCTATATTTCTTCATCTGATATCTACACATTGGTACAAATCTGGCAAATGGCCCACCGCTTGGCGTCATAGGCTTATCGGACGCGTATCTCACCTTTCTCCGGGTTTTTGACCACGCTCATCATGGACGGTCGTCCTCCTAAACGACACTGCAAATCTAACGATTCAAAGCAAGAGCCAAGAACTAAATCAACTCGAAAAATCACCCCGGTCATCATCTCAGATAGCTCCAGTCCCATTGAACAAACTGAACCCTTCGCCCTCTCCTCACGTCCAAAACCTTCCTCCTCGCGAGGCACAACACCGCCAGCCCGGCTCCCACCGTCCTCACCTTCTCCAAATAAAAAGACGAAATTCTCCCCAAATCTAGACTCAAAATCCGAGTCCCTGCACAGCTTCTTCCAACCCGCAACAGAGGGACAGCGATGGGCACCACCACAAAAGACGGAGAAGCAATCCCTCCCGCCGGTCAGGGAAACCGTCGACGCGGACCTAATTGAGGACGATTACGACTCCTACGATGAAATCTTCACACTGCATCTAGCTAATGAGCGAGTGGCAACCCATCCGACGGCCGTGAGCACCAGCCAGATGTGTCAGCCCGCGCCAAAACTAAGGCCAATGGCCTCAGCTAAACCCCCGCGGAAGACGACAAAACGATTCCTTCTATCTACAGACCCTAAAAATAGCATAACGAAGGGGCCATTGGCTGCACAAACTGTTGGTGAATCGGACTGTCGACCATGGGCCCAACGGTTCGCTCCGGCCAACCTGAGCGAATTAGCCGTTCATAAGAAAAAAGTCTCGGATGTACAGCATTGGCTGGAAGATGCTTTTGCTGGGAGGCGCTTTGAGGTGAGTTTTGATCAGCCGAGGATAGTTAGGGGTTGAGGTTGATTATGATTCTGACGACATGCAGAGGCTACTCGTCCTACGGGGTCCGGCAGGTAGTGGGAAAACGACCACTGTGTCCCTGCTCTCCGAGTCAATGGGTTACGACATTGTTGAGTGGAAGAACCCCCCTGCTTCACAATTTGGAGCTCACGATTATCAACCCATGAGTGCACACTTTGAAGAGTTTCTTGGGCGGGGTGATAAATTTGGAGGGCTTGACCTCGAAAATGCCAGCGAGTTCGATCCCCAGCAAGATAAGAAACCTCGGGACCACCGGATACTTCTCATAGAAGAGTTTCCAACTGTGATTGGCCGGGCATCTTCCACCCTCACGGCGTTTCGGGCGTCTCTGCAGCGATATTTGGCTGCCTCCGCGAATGATCATGCCCGGGGCAGTTATGGAATGCATCACCCGCCGGTCGTGATAATCGTGTCGGAGACGTTGTTGGGATCTGCATCCTCGATTTCAGATAACCTGACAGTTCACCGGTTGCTGGGGCCCACGATCTACAATCACCCCGGGACAACGATATTAGATTTCAATAGCATTGCGCCCACTTTTATGCACAAGGCATTACGATCCATTTTGGACAGAGAGGCACAGAACTCCAGGCGTGTTCATATCCCTGGGCCAGGTGTTATAGACAGCATCTCTGACATTGGCGATATCCGCAGCGCTATCTCCTCTCTCGAGTTCATTTGTCTCAAGGGGGACGACACGGGGAGATGGGGAGGTAGCGTGGCCAAAACAAAGAAGGGTAGAGGCGAGGTTCGCTTGACAGCGATGGAGAAAGAGTCTCTCAAGATGATAACTCAGAGAGAAGCGAGTCTGGGCATGTTCCACGCCGTTGGAAAGATCGTTTACAATAAACGCATGGACCCGAGTCTGATCGAGGGCGATGCCGAGATCCTTCCGCCGCCACCGGAATATCTGCGCCATTATGCCCGACCAAAAGCTTCGCAGGTATTGGTCAATGATTTGGTCGATGAGACCGGCACCGACATATCAACGTTCATCAGTGCTCTCCATGAGAACTACATCCCATCATGTGATGGGGATAATTTCACCGACTGCCTCAACGACTGCATAGACGCACTTTCGGATGGCGATATCCTCAGCGCCGACCGCCGATCAGGGCAAGGGGGACGGGCCGGAATAGGAACTGGAATCGCATCAATTGGCAGCGGCGTCGATGTGCTCCGGCAAGAGGAAATGAGTTTCCAAGTTGCGGCGCGTGGTCTTCTTTTTGCCCTTCCACACCCGGTCAAGAGACGGGTTGGCCCTGGAACTGGACGAAGCCGCGCGGGTGATGCCTACAAGATGTTCTACCCGGCATCCTTACGATTGTGGAGAGAGGCCGAGGAAATCGATGGACTGATCGATTCATGGATGAACCGATCACTCGATCCTTTTCGACACCAGCATCTTTCTCGAAATGGCTCTGACCTCAAGGGCGTCAGTTCCTGGAAAAGTCTCCAGGTGGGAAGGTCGGCATCAGCCAACTCAGGGAAGAAAGACACCGCTCCGAGTGTGATCACGATGATGCCCCGGCATGATCTACTGCTTCATCAATTACCCTATTTGGCTGCAATCCGGCGTCAGGACCCGGATTGTTGGCAGTTGGATAAGATCACCAGCATTCAGGCCAACGAGAATCTTCGTAATGATGAAATGGATGACATGGAGGAGTCTCCGGCACAGTCGTGGATGAAACAACCCAGCAGAAATGCTTCTAAATCTCAACTGCCCGAAGAGGAAGAGAAATTGATTCTTAGTGACGATGACATTGTTGATTGAATGTGATATTGCTACCTCTCATATATGCCATAGTAAATAAACTATTTGATATAAAGACATACAATATGCTCGTAGATATCTCGTAATCCACTTTCTTATCTACAGCCCCAGCTTTCTTTCTTTTAACCACCTTGCCACTTCATAGCCCTTGGAAATTTCTAAAGGTAAGTCATTTCATCTTCATAATTCTTTTCTAGGTCCACTCATACTCAAATAGAATGCTCAATGATTACGAGTCCTCGAAACGAGGACACGATAACTCCTACCTGATCAATCGCTCTCGAGTCTCGGCTGTGAGCACAAAGGAAAACGCGAACCTCGCTTCGACCCCCACTTCTCGATCTCAAATATCTGAGGACAGGCTTGACTATATCCAATTAGAGAAAGATGTCCCAGTCCTCGTTGCTGCCGTCGCCCAAGCGGCGGTGCCTAGTTGGACAAGCATGATTCTCATGGTCTCTCTTATATTCGGAGGCTGCTGTGCCAATGTGGGTGTCAAGAGAACATCCAATGCTGCTATAGGGGTAATACAGGACTGATCTTGTATATAGGTCTTTGCGCTAGAGGCGATTATCAAGTGAGTCAACATGCCAGGTCAATCTACACACAACGCTAATCTCACATCTTCAGAGAACAGCCCACTGCGGGTAAGCACGACAACCAAAACCAATGAAAACAACCACATCAAATATTCTAACAAACACCGTTCCTCGCTCAGGTCCCTTAATAACCTTCGCTCAATTCGCCATCTGCGCCTTATTCACTATCCCAAGCTTCCTATCCCCCTCAGCCGGACCACAAGCCCTATTCCTGAACCCACGCGGTATTCCACTACGCTCATGGGTGATATATACCGCCTACTTCGTGAGCGTCAACCTCCTCAACAACTGGGCCTTCGCATACAAGATCTCCGTCCCACTCCACATCATCCTCCGGTCCGCAGGCCCCGTCGCCTCAATGGTAATCGGCTACGTATACAACGGCAAGCTTTACTCCCGTGGCCAGATCGCTTCGGTAGGTTTGCTGACGGTGGGCGTGGCGGCAGCCGCCATGGCTGACGCGCAATCCAAAGGTGTATCTATCCACGTCAACTCTGATGCGGCGGACACAATGACGACCGTGATGGGCTTCACGATCCTCGCGCTTGCGATGGTCCTCTCTGCGTTCCAGGGAATATACGCCGATCGTCTATACGCGACTTACGGCAGGGGTCATTGGAAAGAGGCGCTTTTCTACTCGCACGCGCTTTCTCTGCCGCTTTTCTTGACGAGTTGTCCGCAGTTGCTGGGTCAGTGGCGCGTGGTGGCTTCGTCGCCTTCTTTGCTGTCGCATTTGGATTCGGACTTGTGGGTGTCGAAGAGTGCGGTTAGGAGCACTGTTTTCTCGATGCTGGGGTGGATCTGCCAGGTTGAGGCCGTGGAGGCTTTGCTGGCGCATCTGCCAGTTCAGGTGGCATTTCTGGCGATGAATGCACTAACGCAGTACCTGTGTATCCGCGGAGTTCATCTTTTGTCGGCCAGGTCGTCGTCGTTGACTGTTACTATTTTCCTGAATGTCCGCAAGTTGGTTTCGCTGCTCCTGTCGATCTATCTCTTTGGGAATCATTTGGCTAGGGGTGTCTTGGGCGGCGCGGCTCTGGTGTTTGTCGGGGGCGGTTTATATGGCTTTGAGGGTGCACGTTTACGAAGCGTTGCCAAAAAGGCTCAGTGACATTGTACATTAGATGGACGCCTTGACCTACTGTTTAAAACAGTCACATGTCGGGTTTCATCTTACAGTTGGTTGCATTTCCAAGAGCTCCCGTTGCCACGGATGGGAACGATATATCGATATCATGTGCAGGCCGCAATAGTTGTACATGAAATTGAGATAGAAGCAGCAGCTTCTTCCACCCCATTGGAGTGGAAAAGACATCAAGCATGACGCAGAATCATGATCACCTAGACTACCGCCCGAGCCAAACAATGATAATAAAAATAGAGAACCATCTACAACACCTCGCCCACAATCTTGGCCGCTTCCTTGTATGTTTCTAAGAGCCGCTCACACTTCTCTCTCTCGGCCTTGATGCCGTCATCCTCGTAGAGAAGCTCGCCGAAAAGATCTTCTTTATAAAGCTCGCTCACAAGTCTGTTCTGTACGACATCCTTACAGTGGTTGACAAGGAGGTGCATGACAGCCTTGGGAACTTGATCTGCAATGGTCTCTCGAACAATATTGAAGTATGATGATATGAGTCGGCGAATGAGCTCGGTTTCGAGCATCTCACGGTCCGTGAATGCAGGCTCGGTGTCCTCATGGGGCTACAACAGTTGAAGTCAGTCAGATGCATGTAAAGCATAATGACGCCTGCGCAATGGTACTTACAAAGACAGACATGTCACCGCCATACTCCGGTGGTGCAATGTACTCCTCAGTCGGCATGATGGGAGCCCGAACCTCAGCACGCCGAATGCTCTGGCTAATGCTGGGCTCACCAACATGTGGACCTTGCCGGTTGGTGTTCATGCCCGCTGGCGACATGGCCATGTTGTGAGTACCCTCCTTGCCGAAAAAGTAGTTCAGGAACGAGTCCCGGGCAGTGTTCGAGGCACCGCCACCGAACGCAGCATAGTTAGATTGGGCGCCGTTCAGAGTAGCAGCAATGCCATTCTCGCCTGTGCGACCAACGTGTGGGGACATGCTCCGCGACCCCTTGGAGGAGTGGCTTCGAGTGGGAAGGTTTTGCTTGTCAGCATGTTCTTCTTCGTCGGGGCCTCCTGTATTGCCATTAGGAGCTCCCAGTTCCTTTTGACGTCGCTTCTCACGCTTTCTTTTTTCCTCTGCTAGCACCGCCTTTCTTTCTTCATCCTGTTTGTTCTGCATGATTGAAGACATGGCAGCTGCGGCGCCGAGGAAGTTCGGATGGTTGGTGTTGATGTAAGCTCTTTGGATTGAGATCAAAGATTCTACATAAGTCGAGCAGGGGCCAAGGCGCTCACGAAGAAGATCAGATACGACCTCAATCAGCTTTCCTTGGAGACGAGGGAAACGCAGAAGTTCTTGATTGCCACAAGTGTGACAGATCTTGATAAGCTCCTCATAGACCAGCTCCACACATCGCTGACTGGGTGATTCAAGGAGTTTAATCTGTGGTTTGACCAGCAAATCAAAGGCCAGTTCCGGGACAAACAGGCTGGGACGAGGACCTGTCGAGTTTCGGATGGCCGTTCGAATGTCGGAGACAGTCAGGTTATGGGTAGGATCAATTGTTTCCAGTGAGTTTCCGAAAACAGAGTTAAAAATGTAGTAAATTCTAGCGCCACCGCATAGCTCTTTGGTAGAGATCTCCGATGATGTTCCATCGATAGATGAGATAAATGAGGCGGCGAATCTGGTCATCTGCTGAAGAATCAATGACCCCCGATGTTCTTCGCCACTGAATTGTTTGTTTCCATAGCTGGCCAACTCTTGTTGAGTCTGGCCCATCAGGGTGTTCAGCCGAGCCTTAATATCCGGGAGCCGGTCTCGAATGTGAGACATCAGGGTTGTGTTCAGGGTCTTGGCCAAAAAGTGCGTACCGCAACGATTGGCCATATTCCTGTAGGCTGGGTGATGCCGGAAGAACTCAGACTCTGAACGCAATGCATCGGAAAGCGATTTTCCCGACTGGATATCCTGCTGAGACCGGTTGACAACGCCAATGAATCCAAGCTTCAGAGGATACACACGTCCAGATAAGATGTCCATCGCATTGGTGCCATGGTCCATAAGATCCAGCTTTGACAGAACACCAATCGTCCTCCGGCCCATGGCATCCACCTGACGGGCAAGCTTCAGCGCCTCGGAATTGACCAGGTCGACATTGGCCGGAGAGACGGCAAGGATAATGCTGTTCGGTTTGGCGATATATTCCAGAATCAGGGTCCGTGTTTGTTTTTCAATGTCGGACGGTTGATCACCAATGGGCACCTTCGTAAGTCCAGGCAGATCCACGAGGGTGAGGTTGAGCACATGGGGCGAGAAAATCTTAAGATTGATCGGTTGTCTATTGATACCCTTGTTGCTTCCTGCGATCCTTGCCGTCTCCGCTTCGATCTCTTGCTTCACTTGCCCAAAGTCATCAAACTTGCGCCCCGGCTGGTGGTGGAATTCGGCCCATTCGTGTTGACCGGCAACACTAGCAGCCGTGTGAGGGATATGAACCTCATCGGTTTCCGGCTTATCATCACGTTCACTGGGCACGTTGATAAGTTGCAGGATCAAGGGCCGCCGGGTAACAATTCCGCTACCTCTTGGGAGAAAGTCCCTCCCGACTATATTCTCTAGGACCGAAGACTTTCCGGATGACTGGGAACCAACAACAACCTAATAGAGAGAGGTGGGGATTAGTCTTGCGGTTGGCCAGACTTCAAAAAACAACTCCTTCTCGAAACCCCGAGATCTCTCTGCCGGACCAGACTCACAATTTGGGGCAAATCCAAGGAATCATTCCCAATGGTATTGAAGACCAGATCCTGAAGCTTGTTCACTGTCACGAGCAGATCCTCGCCCAGCGATGTCATGATGTTGAAATGAAGGCAGGCACCTTGAGACGCACAGGTAAGAGCTAGGGCTCGGAGTTAAGGAAGGAGGGAAAACTGGAAAAGGTACGCAAAGCGAGGTCGCGTGCAAATCACCGGGATCCCTGTAGGCCTAAGCAACTCTCTTCGAAACCTTGGGAACATTGTTTATGCCACTTTTTCGGCACACGTGATGCTGACATAAGCATGCGCTACGGTCATGACGTCGGTGACTTGGCTTGATGCACATGCGAACTACAACGACACGAGAATGTATGAGATGGATGGAGTATTTGAACTAGAAGAGAATAAGAAAAGACAGATATCTATCTACAGGACGAATGGTCATTCGAACGAGCTTTGATAGACTCGACTTAAATTGATATTGGTAGTGGACTGGGTATTGTAAAACTCAATGAACCAAGGATACTCAGTCAGACCTAGTTTGGCGAATCACCTGAGTTTGCATTTCCCCATGTCGCGTGGCTCAACCCTTGGCATCTATGTGTGATCCAATCACTCGTCCAGGCGAACATAGTTGGCAGGGAACAGACCCTGTTTGCCATTGTACTCACCAAGCCACCAGTCATCATCCGGGAATTCCTACAACCAAGTTAGCGCTGTAGATAGCGATGGCACAAAGGCCGAGAAAGATAGGGGTTGTTCCACTGACCACATTGGAAATCTTCACGCCTTCAGGGAAACCGATCTCGTTATCCTCGGCAGCTTCATAGTCGTACAAAGCCGTGGCTGTGACCCCTTTGGAGCTTGGAGTAGCCGCCGACGGTGCAGCGGCGGCGACAGGGGTGGGTGCGGCCAAGACGGGGGCAGTAGCAGGTTCTAGCTCTGATTCTGCTTCATAGTGGTGGGAGCCGGCTGTTGCGTGCGACACTGGTTCGTTGTCTTCCACAATCTCCACATAGTTGGCCGGGAAGAGACCACGCTCACCTTGAGCATTGACACCTACCCACCAATCCTGGTCCACCATTTCGATATCGGTCACAAACTCTCCCTCTCGCAATTCAATCTCATTATCCTCGGCCTTCTCGTAGTCGTACTGGATCTGGGCTCGTGGTCCACTTTGGGGCTGCTCAGGCTGACCGGGAGCAGTTGCTTCGGCCGCAGCACGGCCCAGGTCGTGAGAATCATCCTCAAGATCTCTTTCGTCTGGAACAACCTCTTGAAGGCTCCGAACAGGCATAGCGGGGGGAGGAGAATGCTGTTCCTCGTGGACATTCGTAACGCTTTCGGCAGCGCTGTGTCCAACCGGCATGGCAATTTGGATCGGCGAGCTCGCACGCACCGGAGGAGTGGGGGGTGTCGGGGAGCGAGGAGGCTGCGGCGGGGGAGTTGGAAGAGCCTGCTGGGCATCATGCTCGGGCTCAGACTCGACGGGCTCAGAAGACAGCCCCGGTACAGGAACAGGGCGACTGGCCTGCGGAACGGGCGGAGCAGGAGGAGCGAGTGGAACAGGCGCAGGTGCAGGTGCAGGCGTGTCATGAACGAATTTGTCACGAATAGCACTTACATGAGGTTGTGGTTCATCCTCTTGTTGATCATTGGCCTTTGCATCAATGGGCTGCTCAGGAATATACGATTTCTCCTGTGCGGTTTGAACGGGAGCCCAGGACTTGCCTGCATAGGAGCTCTTCCACTCACCCTGGCCACTAGTTTGGTTTTTGATCGGGGCAAGGATAGAGGCAGGCTCAGTGCTTCCAGATGATGAAGCCACTCCACGCTCCTTGGCCTTGCGCTCTGCCCAAATTTGAGCTGGTGTCTTGCCTCCCTCGTCGGCAAAAGTTCGGCTAGCAACTCCAATCTGTGCGCTCGAGCTCGGCTTAGGCTCAATGCCGATTGGGAGGGGTGGCTTTGTTCCTGGGAGCGAGGGACTAGAGCCGAACTTGCTGGCAACCCTTGGTTTAGGTAGGGTGGTCAAGCGCTCTGAGGAATTAGAGGGTATAGGTCGCTCGGGCAAGGCGGTTGGCTGTTGGTTGACTGCGGTGCTCGGTAGAATGTTGTCATTGGTGCCTTCCGGCTTCTGTGCTCTAGCTCGAATGGCAGCGATGTCAACTTTGCCGACGGGTTCATACGAGCCTTTAATAATTGCCGGGCGCTCATCCTTCAGCTGGCCGGATGCAGCAGCTTGCTTCCGAATTGCAGCAATGTCGA